TGATATCTCTATCAATGTTCAATTGTGTGTTGTCTGAGGTGACTGAAAAGGAGAAAATGAAGAAGTAATTGTCATTGCATCTGTTTGTAGGTGCTTGCAAAAAGTCTTAAATTTATTGAGTAAAGATAATTAAAAGGAACATATACTAGAAAATAAATGTCATGAACAGGTTTACGGCATGTGTTATACATGCAATATTCATGAAACAAAGAAGAACATGTAAGAGCTTTGTGTAGTGCAAGGTGAAGGGAAATATAAATAGTTAATTGAAACAGATCTACCAAAGAAATATCCTTGAACTAGAAAATAATTGATGGAAGGAAATGGTAGTAAATTCAATAAATTGATGTTTATGGCTTGTAAGAAATTGAAAACATGTAGAGAAAGTTAGAAATGTATTGAAATCACTATGTAAATCACTTTTTATCTTATTATTTGAATGAGATATGAGTGAATAGTTTATATAGTAAAAGTATAAAATTTTTGCTGAGCCGATACAATGTAATAATATATTGTATTTAGTAGAGAATCTTTTACCAGCTAAATTGTGTCATTGTTAAATTAGAGTTGATAGAAACTAGAGGAGAGCTTACCATTTAATGGCAATGTTATCTTGGCCAAAGTGTACAACGCCTATGAAAAAAAGCAATCGAAAAATCTATAAGGCTTTTATACTCTTTTTTCAATACAATAACGTAATACAATGGTAGTAACGAAAATTTCAAGAAGGGAACTGGTAAATTACTCATTTTCTGAAAATTGACATAACAAGTTTTAACGAGAAAAAACGATACGTTTTACCTTCGCCGTGTATTGAAATATTCGATGAAAAAAATACTAAGAATTATTTATCAGGAGAGAACATAGGAACAAAAGTAGCAAATTAACGTATTTATAACAAATATTCCTATGCCCTCTTACTTCAATTGGCAACGCTCGAAATAAATTAATACATACTCGACGCAATAATTTTAATTGAAACGTACGAGACGAGCTTAGTAAAAACATTTAACGGGTGAAATCAACAAACGAGAAACAAATATTGTTGCTAGTCTATGTAGATCATAGAAGAGAAAGATATGTAGAGCCTTGAAGTAGTGACCTAGCCATGGGCTTCAACTAGATCATTTCGGCGGAGCCTATATGTACCTGACCTGCTCGCAATAGAAATATTTTCTTTTTCAATGTAAAACTCATAGCTAAACTGTAAACAGATCAGATAAAGAATTTATATGAAAGACTGAATTATGGAAAGAAATACCTTCTTCTATCATTTGAATATCGACACACATGTCTATGAATTTATCAAATTACCCAATGAAGGCATGGAAAATAGTCAAATACGTCTATTGAGATGGGTTGGGGTTATAAAAGTGTTGTTTAACTTTTAATTGAAGTGTCACTCCTATTTAAATAAATTATTTATTATCAATAAGACTTTGTTCCTTTTGTTTTCAATTACTAACTGTAGAGTTGTTTTCGGGAATAGAACGGTCTCTACGTAGCTTGTGAAGATGAAAAGAGAAGCATGAAAGAGAATTTACACTTTTTTGTGATTTGGCTTCAAGATATCACATAGAAAACCAGATGTATTGAGTATTCATGTAAAAATTCATTGAAAGCGTTTAAATGAATTGTAAAGGGAGCGTAGAAATTGTTCATTTTATGCCTTCAAAATGTTCAATGCAAAGTACTAAGTTGTTATTAGCTTTCTTACGAAAAGGTAACTAGTTTAGGCAAGATAACCGAAAATAGGAACGGAATGGAGACAATATTACATCGTCTTAAAAAGTAGTAGACGCTATTATTATATTATAGGAGAAACAACGTAATGAAATATCTGCCAAGAATATAAATGTTCACTTGATAGAGATACTTTGTGGTTTGTACCTAAAGCTACATAATGGTTTCCATTAACTAGGGAAATAAGTTGATAGAGTACCAAAAGAACAGTAATTAGTTTTGTTGTTTATGATATAAAATCGTGATTTTAGCTGCGCCATCTACATTGTAAAGTGTTCGTGTAATGAAGAAATAACGAGTTCAAAGACCGTTGATGCGCCATCTGTTGTTTAAGTGAGGTCTGAAAATGTTAGACGGTTGTAAAAGTTTAAGTTTGAGTAAGGAGTGCTCCAACTCACATATTCAGACGGGAAATATGCAATATGACGCTTTATTAATACTTTTGCAGAAAATATAGAAAATTTACTGGGAAGGCTCGAAATGTATATAGGCAACGTAAGGAATTTGTAAGCTTAGCGATTATGAAGAAATACGCCAGTTTCAACAACCACAAATCTATTTAATAAAAGTATATTTAAAATGTTATTAACAGAAACTAAGAAATGCAAATATTTTAAAGAATACCTTCCCGCTTAATATCTCATCGGTAAATTACTTACAATAACCTAATTTTAAAATTTAATCCCGCATATAGATAAATTATTTATTAGATGATTTAAATCATTAATATCCCTGAATTACTAAAGTAAAAAATCACACCTAAAACTTGTTATTCGTCAGTCCCCTGATGACTATACGCTGAGCGCCATCTAAATTTACGTAACAAAACACTTCTAAACAGCGTCATCTAGAATCTACATGAGAAACAAGAGACTTCTTATAAGCGACGTCCAAATCTCCCTAAAGAAAGGGAAACTTCTGATAAGGGCCATCTACAAGAAACAACAAACAAAAACAAAAAAAGGACGCAAAAAAAAATTTTAAAGTGAAAACTTTCCATTAAAAAAATACTGAAACAAACAACCCTAAATATTTTTAAACCTGAAAAACATAAATAATCAATATATATATTTAAAAGCCAAGTACACCGAGAAACTCAAGAATAACAACACTTTGAAAGTGCACAACTAGTTTGCAAAAAACGAGACCTCTTATAGGACTTGTTCGTAAAAGCATAAGAACTCTGATTTCATCAATGATAAGTTATCGCTTCTCGGTCTTAATGGCTAAGATCAAGTGTAGTATCTGTTCTTACTAGTTTAGCCACTAGTAGATAGCTCATTGAGTTATCTTAATTGGTTACGGTATTTTTGTGGGTCTGGGTACTAAGAAGCTTGCTTCAAAGTTCCCTCGGGTTGACTTGGTCTCGCAGTATTTCCAAGTTCGGCCCATCTTCTCGGATGGAGGAGATCGCACACTTACCGGCTATTATATCAAAGGGATCAGATGCTGTCACTCCATTGGGACCTGTCAAGCGCTAGGACGATCGGAAGAGGATGAGCCACAGGACCTGCCTAGAGCTCGAAAATTCGGAGGATTGACATCGGAGGATTCAACAAGGATGGACAAGATGGAGCCACCAACATCGGACAAGGAAGCGGCGGCGGTGAAAGCTTCAATCTGCAATCGTTCCACCGCCTAACGTTCCTAACGTCAACCTAGTCAACTCGTAAGTCCTTCATAGATATCCGATCACGTAAGTACAATTCCAATTTCGTCTCCTCGATCCATTGATAATATCCCCAACATGGCGACGCCGTCCGCCCTTTCGGTTAATTCACTAATTAACAATTCTTTTGGCCGTTCCCTCATTCTCACCCGATCGTAAGGCTCGGTTCCTACCCGTATTCCTGCCCAAACTTTCTACAATACTGATATCGTAGGATAGGTTCCAACAAACCTGTTAGTCCACCTTCTCCCACTAACCCTTCTGTCCCTGTATCTAGTGCCGTGCCTAATAAATCGAGTGTACCTAGTGAAACCCTAGGTTCCCATAATAGTCAATCCACTACTCGCCTAACTTCGAAAATTAATTCTCACAGTAGAGTTTTCTCACCCTCTCCCGCAGTTACCGTTTCCCAATCAGATTACGTTCTTATCTTTCCTTCGAAAGAGCTAAAGTGTCCGGGTTGCAACGTTTGTCATTCACCTTTCAGCGCCCTAATTAGACACGTAATATAAGAGAATAAACTGGTTCCGAAACATTTCTGTCGGTGATGTAAACAATATTAAGAGTCAGTCGGTATCATCTATGTCCGCAAGCATCATAGTAGTATAAACGACTCGGCCTTTCGTGACGAGGCAGAGGCCAGCGCTTCAACAGCCCCATTTTCAAATCCCACAGTTGACCCAATTAATTCACTTCCCTCCAACGGCACCTCGCCGCCGCCACAATCTCTACCCAGAAAACGCTCTAAATCATAAAGCCGCGAACGGCCTTTCTAATAGTCAACTACCCCCGCATACGGTCAACCCAAAAAAGCCGGTCCCAGTAACCGTTGATCCCCAATCTCCTGTTTCATTCAACCATAGGACGAACCTCTTATCTTTCCCATCGATAGATTCCCATTGCCCTAAATGTAATAAAAACGTTGACCCTTCCAGCCAATTCGCCTGCCATACCTCATCCATTCACAACTACAACAGCAACAAAAAGATTAAACGCCATTACCGTGATGAACATAAAAGCCATCCCTCTAACACCTAATTGCGAATAACGATAGTGATAGGAACCTTCCCAATCCCAACCCCCTCCTCAGTCTCCCTCCATATCACCGCCAATAGTTCAGCGAATTGTTGTGAGTACTTTCGAAGACACTAACCTCACAAAAGGCTCTTTTGCGCAAGTGGTTGGTTCCTCCGCTCCTCCCTTATTGTCTACAATAGTTGTGTCCGATTCTCCTCCTCCCACTCAACTTACTACCAATCCGTCGCCCCCTAGTTAATCCACCAGCAACTTGTCTCCTCCCTCCCTACCACCCAATAGTTTTCCCAAGTCTCCGCCCGGCGCAATTCCTACAGGAATAGCTGACGCAGCACCCCCCTATAATAATACTAAGCCCAATTCCGGTCAACGCTCTCCAGCCCGCGATTGGTCCCCTACCCCTCGGCCACTAGCTCGTCCCGTCCCAGATCCCAGCGCTTCCTCCTCCTCGCCGCAGCATATGTCCCATCAACAGCGTGAACGTGAACGCGATAATCAGTTGGCTGGTTTTACCGCCCTATATCTACAAGAATTCTCCCCTATCCTAATAGCTAATGAAAACGACTGGCCTCAAATTGAGGCTGCCTTTTAATTCATGGATCGCCGCCATGGATGACGCTAAGGCACGCGTCCAGGAGGTAGTAGGAGGCCGCTACATGAATCGTAATTTTAGTAGATCCGCCTCCCTCCGTGCGGCTAATAACCCCTGGCAATCCGCCTCCAATATCCAACTCCCGTCGAGGCTTCCAACACCTTCTTATCGTTGCCGAAAGATCCGCCGGCCTTTCCGATCTTCGTTTCGCCCCCAGGAAATTCGCCACACTTTGCCTCGCCAAAAACCGGGTAGCACACACCCTTTTTACATAGCTAACGAATCCATTAAAGCTCTACAAATGGAAGAAGCTTATTCCTATCTTGGCACGCCAATCGGTTACCAAAAGGATCTAATCAAGGATGACAGCGTCCTAGATAGAATAAACCATCTTGCAACTGCAGTCAGATTTCTTTGAGGCGCAGCATTGGTCAAGGCCACTAGGTCTAGGATGCCTAGCGGTACTCCTACCACTGGCCAATTGCTGGCGGACTACTAAGACGGTTCAACGACCAACCAGCTCTAGCACCCACCAAACTGTTATGTCGATCACTCGTTCGGCGTCCTTCCGATTACGTAAACTTGTTAATGCAGAGTGGCACCTTAATGACGAGATGTGCCCAAATATAACGGCTGAAGTGGAACGAGCATGGCTCCAAAATCAGCCACAGTTCCGCCACGAAATTCATAATAATTGGCAGGAACTGCAGTTCGGAGAGCCGTGGAACCGTTGACCATTAACATCCACCATATGCCATTCTCCTTGAATGATGGTCAGGGAGTTTGCCAAGTTGGCTGAACAAGGGAGATCCACGCGGTTTCGAATCACTTCATATATACAGGCTTTGGTTTGGGCTATAAAGACTACAGATTCATCTATAGGGCTCGGTTAGGCATCCACCCGGTCAACGCCGTCAAGTCTCGGTTTAATGGCAACCCAACCTTCTCGGAATACCGACGTTGCTAGTTTCAGGTTGAGTCTCTCAGACATGTCCGGAACAACTGTCGCACAGGCTATGGTCTGCTCGGTGACACGCACAATTTCATCCAGGATAGGTTGGTCAGGGGCGCTCGCCTCCTTCAAGGAGCGTCGCTTGCGGTCCGATACCCAACTTAGGCCGGACATCGTGATTCACCATGTGTCCAGGGTGGACATAATTGACGTTGTTGTCCCATTCGAGCGTCCAGTGCCTTGACGAAGTCCTCGAAAAACTGTACAGATGAGAGTTGGATAGAGCTCCAAAAAGAAGAATTTTGGTGCACATGAGCCCTAGCAAATGGTATGACCCCAAATTTACTAGAAAAGCTGTCAGAACAAAGAATGCATCTATTTCCATCTGGAGGTGCATAAGGGCAGATGGAACAAGAGCGATAAAGGCCTATGATGGGTATATGGACAATATCCTTCACCAGTATCCTCAAAGATGAACTATTTCCAATATTTAATAGAGATAACCTGCTTATGCAAGATGATGCTAAATGCCATACATCTGCGTTTAGTCAGAAAAAACAAAATGTAAGTTCTGGAAGCCCTGAATTGAATATTATAAAAAATATGAGGGCCTATCTGAAAAACCAACTCTCAAACAATGTCTTAGAGACAAAAGAAGATTTATGGAGGTCAGTAGAGGAGGAGTTTCCTAGAATACCAAACTGGTACATTACAAACTTGTAAAAGAGTTTCCACAAGAGACTCAGACTTTGTATCCGAAATAAACGAAAAAATATAAGATATTGAAGAAAAAGAGAGGTGATTATTAACGCTAATATAGTTTATACATCAACAAAATGTAAAAATAAAAATATTTCTTCTTAAGGTTATTGGTACTGTATATAACATCATTATCTTATGGAAAAATTGCAATTTTTGTAAAGTTTTTGATATTCCCTTGTATAGATTGTCATCCTGATCGATATAATTAACTATCTTTGGGGTATAGTTGATTTAGTCTAACCCATTAATGTAGTGATACAAAAGACACAATTTCGGTTGTGATGGATTTCACCTCCAATTAACATTTAGTCAACTGTATCAATTGAGATTGTAGTTTTGTTTATAATAATTCCCAGCAGAAGGTGTTAAATGTGGAAAAATACTGTCATTTACTGTATTGATCATCTTAATAACTTACATCATAAGAATTAGCATGATACCTTAAATTGTTACAAACAACCATGATTAATGACTGATATTTATAGTTTACAAAGTGTGGTACAAATGCCATGAAACTCATGTAGCTTATATTCTACCAATTGATATAATTAAGGATAGGGTTTAGTCATTCTAACATGCTATAACCAAATCATCAACACTTTGTTTAGTGAATTTCTTTAAACATTTTTTTTATCTATTGATATATTTTTATTTAAATGTATAGCTGTGGTGCCATCTACACTCTAATTTCTGAAAAAAAGAATGTTATTTTATATTTATAAACTATTTAGTAGGTAAATATAAAAATGTCTACATTGTAATGAGTTGCATAAGTTGCGGGTCCGATATCCAGTACTCAACTACCAAGTTCTGTTCATTATTAGACAAGAGATCTTATACAAGTTATAGACTTTTTATGACATGAATTTTTATTGAATATGGATGTTATTCACTCAACATTCCAATGCCGAAAGTTTATTAGTAATATAATAATTTCTTATATTTGAAGTATGTTATTCTTTTAGTGATTCCATAAGGAATTAATGCAATGTTTAAATGAAAACTGTAAAGCAAATTCCAAGCATATTTTGGCTTTTCATTTGTCTCTTTGAATAATATCTCGAAAACAAAAATTCCAAAAGGGACATTAGTTGATAGTTGTATTTGTTGGATAAATTTCACTGACATTCTGTCCTTCAAAGTCTATTTCTATGTCTGATAGGAAGAACATTGAAAGATATCATATATAATAGAACTATTACGAATTATGTAAACATAGACAAACCTGTGCTTTGTGTTGTCATTAAAACAACAATAACCGTTATAACTAATACTATAAATATTAATCCGCTAAAGTTTCTTATTTTCGTTAGAACGGATGTGGTTTTTTCACGAACTATTCCATTTTCATCAATAAAATATTTATGATGCGAAACTGGAACAAAATGGTAGCACTGAAAGGAAAAAGCAAAATTAAGTATTAGAAAATATCACAGTTTTCTTCTGTATTTAATAGAAAATTGAACTTTAAACTTTTCCTGAAAAAATTGCAATATATCTTTCTAACGTGATATTATAGATTAGATTGAGAATACGAATTTTAAAAATTAATTAGAAATACTAAGATATAGACTAAATGAAGAGAGAGAGAGAGAGAGAGAGTATGTATGTGTATATGCGTTAGAAAGCTGGAAAGAGTCTTTTATTAATTTACATATTATCTCAACAGTTTGCCTATAAGTGACACTAATTAAGGAGATTCTGACAATTTTCATTCTAATTAAGCAATTATTCACTTTTAAAATCATCATTAAAAATTATTGATAATTAAGATAAATATATTGTTTATATTGAAACTGATTAGTTGGTGATAAAATCTAAGAATTCAAGAGACTTGAACAGATAGGAAGTGAACATATTAAAATTAAAATATTGGCTGAGAAAGCAATTCAGTATATGGTGTTTATTCTTTTAAAAAACAATTCTTTCAAGAAGAATCATCATTAAAATGTGAAAGATATTTATTTATTTAATGCTGAGGTAATCAGTTTGATCATCTTTTATTGATTTTTGTTTCCAGTTTTTTTTCCATCTTATGTTAAAAGATTGACTATGTGTATAATGGTAATTAATGGCTTTATGAAAGTATTTCTCGTATATTATACTCATTAACTGGAACGGTTTACTGGAGAAGAGGTTTAATGATTACGCTTCTGTTCTTGTTGTTATTCAGAAGGTAAGGCTGAAGTAGCCAAAGTGTTTCCCTCTTCATTATCCTTGTCATTATGCTGCACTTTTTTTTGTAATTTGTTTATTTTAGTCTCTTCATTTTGTAAACCGTAGCATAGTTGTCTTAAGAAATAACTTATAAGAACCCCTTCCCCATTAGTATTTATATGATTTATTTTTGCCTATTCACCTTTACTATTTAAACCTAATAATTGCTTCTTAGAATTTTAATTACTTTTCTTTTAAATGTCTGTACAAGTCTTTACAAGACTTTATAGACAGGACAGTCTTTTAGGGATTTCCTTCCTTTCTTTAGAAGTGCTATCAGATAATTTTATGGCAATAAAACCTTAGCAAAAAATACCTAAGTGTTTTCTATAGCTAACGGTGCTTCGAGCAATTTAGTACTAAGAAAATGAGGGCTATTAGAGCTATAGAAGTATGATTACGTATCGCTGTTTTCTTGCTTTTATTCCCAAATTGAGTTGAGTCATACGGCATATTATCAATTCTCTATGGACCTAATATTACAAATCATGTTAAAGAGTAAAAAACAAAAAGAATCCTAAAGCTATTTCCATCCAAAATGAAACTGCATTTTTTATCTCTTCCCTATCCTATTAATATCTGATATTGTCTAATAGAATATTTAAATAAATAAAAGTCGTTACATGTAAATTATCCAATGATATGTCAAAATGTAATAAAATTGCAATTATATCTTCATATTTCCCTTTCTATCGACGTTTTATCATGTATATGACAAATTCTATTCTTTTCCTGTGTACAAGGGTTTTTCAACCTTGAAGTTAATCTTTTTAAAACAAGGCTTTTTGATTAATTCTCAATTCTCTTCCCCTCAATTGACTTTATTTATTTTTTCTTAAACAGTTTAGAAATATTCAATTTTTACTTCTCTAAGCAGAGAAAGAAATTGAAATTTTTTGTTCATGGAATTAATTAAATATTGTTTTATCAAAAACAATATATTATATCAGCATTACATGAACTTTTATCTATAAGTGATATTAATAGTCCAAGTTTATGCAAGAGATTGGACGTATAGAAGTCTATGTTTCCCAATGACTATATGATAAAAAGAGAACACGATAATTGAGATTATAAATATTACTATTAATTATAATTTAACCTAGTTTATTCCTTATTTTCATGACTATTCTAAAATAAAATGTAAGAACAAGAGAGAAAGAATTTCATAGATGTCTTTTAGTAAATTACTTTGTCGCGTAAATCCGGTACAGTTCTCTTTCAATGTCTTGTTTGTTTATGAATATTGAGTATTATTTCTCTCTCTCTCTCTCTCATTCTTTCTTTATATCTCTGTTTATTTCTTAATTATTGGCTTGTTTTACTATTTTTAATTTTTTTGCTTTCTCCTTTATTTTCATTTTCTCTTTTTTTCTTTTCTACAAACCTTCGGTTGACAATTTGAGTGATGATCACAGAGTGGGCTGCAAATATGGTTACTACAGTATTTATAATCTCCGGTCTCATCAACGTATCTATCTACACGGTTGTTTAAATCCGATAGAAATAAAGTTGGACATTTCGACCCATCGGCTGTTTGTAGCGCTGGTATCATGATTTAACTGAAGACAACCAATGAATATAGTGAGAAAACGCGGGGACCTATACACAGTAATTTTCAGACCTATTTCGGTTGAAATTGTTATTCTTAAGTTTCTTTTACTTTTTGAGATATTCCTTTTAAATTCCTAGTTGTAGGTATATATGTATATATTTTAGATGTTATTCTTCCTCTTCCTTTAGTTTTCAGCTTAGCAGAAAGGAATAGTACAGAAGAAATATTATATTCTTTCTCCAGATCAAAGGGAAAAGAAGAAAGAAGAGAAATGAGATATTCCTTCTTAATTAATTCCTACCAGTCAAGTACTTTATGCAATTTGTGATTGACTTCATCTGTTGTACGATGCAAAAATAAAACATTTTAATGAAAGAATTACATTTAAACAACTTTTTAATCCAGTTTGGTTTTCTTATCTTCTCCTTCTTATACCTCTCAACAGTTTTTTTTTATAAAGCAGCTATTCTAGTAAATAAGCCAATCAGATTGTCTTATTAATTCACTTTCAGCTTTGATATCTTCTCTTTCTAGAGTTTTAGAACCACGAGTATTTTTTCAAATAGACCACATAACTACTAGTTTTCCGAAATTGACTATTTAAACGCCCTCTAGTCCAATATGGTTGCATGAAGTAATTATTTAACTATTATCGAGATGACACTAATTGCTGTAGGATCTAAAATGTCGCAGTAGCAAAATAATTAAGCCAATAGAAAGATTTTGATAACAACTAAAAAGAAACAGCAAAATTAATGGAAAAATTAGGAAGCATATTAAGAATTTTTCAAGTTTTAATTGATAAATGACATTCTCTTTTCCTTTTTTTACATAATTTTCCACAGATAATTTTCTTGATGAAGAAATGTTGAAAAATTAATAAGAAATATAAATAAAAAACAACAACAATGCAGCAAATTATTTTCTCCTTTCTTTTACTTTTAATAAAGGCGAGATAAAGTAAAAAAAGAAAAACACTAGGCAGAAAAAGAGAAAAATGTCCATAAATTGTTGTGTTTTTTTTTCGCTCTTCATTGACGTAGTATCATCCTTCTATATTTAAAACAAAAAAGATACAAGAGGCCAGATAAAATTATTAATGACGTAATATTTCACTAGGAATGTCTTTAAGCCTAGATCCTTTCAGACTATTCAATCGTCTATGAAATTAGGAAATTTGTCTTCGTGTAACAAAGCCAATAAATTCTTACATAAAAAAAAGATATTGGCGAAGAAGAGAGGAGAATTCTTTTTAAAAACAACAAAAAGTGTCATTTTCAGAATGAAACATTAAATAGAATAACCTGCTAAAGTCATCTTTGTCGTCCTCTAGTTATCTTTCTATCACTGTGTTTCCATCACTTTACTTCCTAATATTAATATTTAAACTTATTTCAATAAATAAAGTTTAAATAATTGACTATCTAGCGGTTCGAATTTGTTATCTTTCGTATTTATGCAAATGCTTGAAAAGAGAAACAATTTTCCACTGGAATTGTTTCTAACATAATTGTAGAGCGATGGACCCGTACAAATGAAGGCTTTGTTCAATGGATACTAATGCGTTTTGTTCGCTCAGGCCTCGAACTAGGATGCGATTGACTTATTTTATATAAATTTCTTAAGGATTAAGATAAACTGATTGAATTAATATAAGCCATTTAAAAAAGGTGTTGTTATTAATTTTATGATTGTATTTCTCAAGAAATTTTCATTTTATTCAAATTTTGAAAAGGTAAAATTAGTTTTTACCAAAAATAATTAATAGTTTTTTGAATTGGCTTTCATTTCCATCCAGAAATAATGGAATGCATAAATACTACAAGTATAAATCATAGACTTTTAACCATCTTCCCTCTGGAAAATTTTGCAGTATTAACCCCAAGGTGGACGGTGAAAACCAGGGCAGTCAGGTGGACAGCCAAATCTAATTTTTTTGTTTTTTTCAAAAAAAAGTTACATTTAATTGAAAATGATGAAAGCAAGGGTCACAATACCTGCATAAAAAATCGCAAAGTTCGTCTGATGGGGATTTTTCATCTTCAATACTATCAGTTGGCAAATCTGCTGATGATGGTTCAGAAGTTAATTCATCTGTAGATTGAACGGGAAGAGTGGATGATATTCGTAATATGAGTAATAAAATAAATATCTTGTAAATTTGTTTCATGGTTGCTTTCATCAATTGAAATAATGAAGTTAAATAGTTTAAGTAGTTATATCATTTATATTCGATAAAATAAACCGTTATCGTTTTTAATTTTCATTCGCGCAGCTGTGGGTATTTTAAATTAAAAGATAAAATGAATCTTTAACTATTAGTGCTTAACAAGAGTACCTTATCAAATGATTTATAGCAATAAGAAGTTACTGATATAACTTTGATTCCATCCGCGTTTAGATAAATGAACAAACAAATATGCAGTATTACAAAATTATATTCAATTTGCTTATTTTCTATTAATAAATAGTTGACTCTACTAAAAGAATATTTATTTATTTCTTTTTCATAAACGTCATATTCAATCTATTTGGATGACCTTAATTATACATTTGTTTTTGTTATTTTTGTTATTATAGGACTATCGTTCATTCATTCATTCATTCATTCGGGTATTCTTCTTTCAGTTGGGTTTGTTTCTTCTAATTTTTAATTTTTAATTTTCTCATCTCCTCTTTTATCAATATTTATTCATTTAGAGAAAAGAATGACATACCAGTGTCCCGTATTAAGTACACTTAACAATTTATTATTTAATTGTTATTTTGATTAATTAATTAATTAATTACACTTTTGCTTTTATTACAAAATACAGTAACATCCCGTTTTTCGCGCTTTGTTTACTTTCGCTTCAGAGTATTGAAAGATAGTGGCCGTTGTTCAATTTTTACAAGTCATTTCGTAAAGGTGTCTACTTATTTTCATTTATTTAAATATAGATTTTTTAAACCTTTTTTATCTCTGTTTATTATATATTTATATCTTAATGTTTAAAAATATTAACCATTGTCTGAACATTAAAAGACAAAAAAAAACAATCAATTTAAGAATTTCGTTTTCTTTGATCAAAGCTAGATTTTCAAGGACAAGAATAGGCCTTTCCTTTTTATTGGCAAAAAATAGTATTTTTTTGTTGATAATAATGATTACTTTTCTCTGTTAGGGATAGTCGAAATATTTTAATATTGAGGGTTTGAACATGTATAGTGTTTACTTTGATTGACTGTAGATGGAGCTGTTGTTATATAAATAGACAGATCAATAGTAAACAGCGCCTGCGGTACTTTGTTTACGAAAAGTAGGTAATATTAATCTACTTATTGATATCTAGGCATTAGATTGTGTCTGATTTCGTGTAGTACATAAACTGATTCTTATAAATATTTAACCCGTTTCCTCTGTATTTACAGCAATATTATTAAATATGGCCTTATCATCGAATCATTTGGAGATTCTGCGCAAGAGTTTGCTAGATAATAAGATAGATTATGTAAGATTTACGTGGTGCGATTTAAATGGAATTTCCAAGTGTAAAATAGTGCCAGCATGGTGTATTGAGAAATCTGAAAATACACTCAAATCTGGAGTAACGGCGACATGTAGTAAGTTATAAATACTCCACATTAATTAATTTAAATATCTAACAATAAACCACCATCCGTTTCCGTTCTCTTCAGATGTTCTGGCGTTCGGACCGCAGGGTATAATACCAGCAATTGAGATAGATGAGACTAAGATATGCTCCAATTGCATAATTTTACCAGCCGTAGAACTCTATCGAGATTTAGTTTGGGCATCGGAAAAAGACTGTAAGATTGCCCAAGTAATCTGTGAAACATTTTGGATGGATAGGACGCCTCAACAGGCAAATCCAAGATTCGTGGCGAGAGCTCAATTAACAAAGTTAAAAGATCTTGGTTATAAGCTCTTATCTGCTTTTGAGAATGAATTTGTTCTTAAAAAGGACGGAAAGTTTGTATTTGATGAATGTTCATCCGAAACGTATAATACGATAACAACAAGTAAATATGAGTCTTTCTTAACGAATGTGGAGAAAAATTTACGACACGCTGATATAATGTGTCCAACAATTGAGGTCGAATTTGGAGGAGGGCAGTTTGAAATTACTATAGAATGTAACGAAGGTATAAAAGCGGCTGATGATAGTTTTACTTTCAAAGAAGCCATTAAGGAGATGGCACAAAAATGTGGCATGTCAGCATCCTTCATGAGTAAAATTTCAAAGGTGATTGGAAGCAGTTCTCACTTTAATCATTCGATTAAGCGTGTTACGACGGAAGATAACGCCTTCTTCGATGCAAGTAATAAAGTTAAGATGTCTGATGAATGTAAGCATTGGATGGCCGGTTTAATAAAACACGCCAGAGCGCTTACAGCCTTCTATGGCCCCACTACTAATTGTTATGATAGATTGCATAACATATATTGCCCCACAATAGCTAATTGGGGCTTTGAAAATCGACTTGCTAGCTTTCGATTAGTGAGCAATAGTGAACATGGAACCTACATCGAAAATAGAATTCCATCGGCGGCTTCTAATCCGTATCTGGTTTTAGCTGCAACAGTAGCGGCTGGTATCGACGGTTTGGTTCATAAATTGGAATGCCCACCGATGAACGATGAAAACGCAGTTGTCTTACCGAAGAGTTTGGAAGAAGCACTCGACGATTTAGAGAAAGATACTGTTCTTTGTAAAGCTCTAGGAAAGGAACTAGTAGAATGGTTCTGTATTACCAAAAGAGTGTGCGAGATAAAGGTGCTTAAAACTAAGGAAGATGCACAGGTCATGTACGAAAGAATCATTTAGATAGACGGTTATTTAATAATAGTCTATAACAATACACATGTCGATGATTTTCCTCCTTGTTCGTTGTCATCATCTACGAAAGGAAATGATATTAGAATAACATTTTTAAATATCAAAAGAATAAAATAGACAAATTTTTCCTACCCGTTACCTTTCTCTTTCGCTAAAAGTTTGTAGCATTTTTCGGCTTCGTCGCTTGTATGAGAATGAAAGAGTTCTTTTATTATTTTAGTAGACACTTTGGACTTATTTTGTTCTTCCGCCATAATTACTAATCTTCTCCATTGAGCTATTTTTATTTCCGCCTTTGTCGCTCTCTTCTTCATTACGGCCAATTCCATTGAGTATTTAACTTTATTGATGTCAACTTTCTTTGATCCATTTTCAACATTTAAGGAACGACCCTGATTCGACGCTTCTTTAAGTAAAGCGCTCTTAGTATTTGTAATATTTCTTTGCTGTACTATTTTTTGTACACCCCATAGTTGCAGCATAATGGCGTTACTTTTAAGTTGCTCCAGTAGCTGTATAGATAGATATAAAGGCGTTATATTCTCTGACATTAAATGAAGACAATTTCAATAAAAACCTTTTCCGATATATTTTCATAATGATAAGTTTTATCAAAGTTCCAATCAGGATTTGTAGTTTTTGAAATAGTCTTTGTATTTGTCCATTCAGTTTCGCCATACATTTGGTATTTGCAGTAAAATTCTTTAAATCTTGACGGCAAGCCTCTAGCCGATAATATTTTAAAGATAAAATGTAAATCTTTTCCAATTAAATCTTCGGGCTTATCAACCCAAATGTCGTCCTTATCTGTTAGAACTTTGCCTTTTTTATTGCAAGGCAACAATTCAATGTTTATTTTGCCAATTTCGTTTCCCTATAGTTTCGTTAACAGTTACATTGCTTTGTGTGTTAGATATTTAAGAATTAATACCTTAAAATCTAATATTTCTAATTGTTCCTTAGCGTCAAGAACGTAGGAGAGACTCTGCGTCCAAACTTTTACAGATCCTACGTGTACTTCTGCGTCTTCATCTTCGGCAAAAGGATCCCTACTCTAATAGTTGCGAGATGAAAATATTATTATTAAAATGCATTCTTCCTCTGCCTTTTTCTTTTGTACCTTATCAACTTCGAAACTTTCACCATCTTGATACTTTTCAAATAATTCTTGCATAACATATTTTCTGTTCATGAATTTCTCCTTTGGCCAAACCCATTCAAGATTATTTTCAAGATTTTTCATTTTAACAAATATCTATTTTAAGAACACTACCTTAATTAGGGAAGAAGTCAATAATAAGAATTGTTTATATATTTACTTTTGTTCTTCCTTCATTTTCTCCTCTAGCTTCTGCTGATACCAGTAATAGTTCAAATTTTCTCTTTTTATTCAATTCTTCAGATATTGAATTAGCTTCTTCTATGGCTGGAACTATTTCTGCCATATCTTCATTTAATATTAGTTCGTCTGCAAAAGTTTTTTGTTTGTAATTATAAATGAATAATTCTTATTTTTTATTAGTGTTTTATACCTTTAGATAAAGGTCTATCATCGTCTCCATCGTTCATACTTAATCCCGAGTTACGGGCTATTTCTTGTTGAGCCATTTCAAAAGTAACGTCAATCTTTTTGTCTGACGGATTAGCGTAGACGAAAAGTTGTGTTGTGCCAAACATGATACGATCGTAACCTTCGAGTTCTTCGGTTTCGTTTATCACTTGGCCATTGACAAGAATTTTAGACTCTGATGAAGCTTTTTCAATGGTAAACTTTCCCTTGGTTTTCCTAATTATAGCATGTTTATTTAAAATGCTCGGACCATTGAGACGAATGTTTGACGATTCATCTTTGCCAATTATAGTTTCGTCATTATTTAATAGATGAAAAATGTGGCCAGTAAGCTGAGGATCAAAGTTAAGATTATAAAGATGAGGAGTGTTTTTTAGCGCTTTTTTCTTCTCATTCATTTCGTTATTCTTAGTACTGCCAGCTTCTCTTGCTGCTTTAAGTTTTTCTTCAAATGCCTTTTTCATTTCTTCCATTTCTCTGGCGTTTTCGTCTAATTGTGCTGCGTAATCTTCTTCCATTTCTTTCTTAAGAGCTGCTTTTTCATCGGCTGTCATATTCTCATCCATGTCATCTTCATCTGCTACAGGAACGCTTATTTTTCCCGATTTTAGCATTTCTTTTAAACGCTCATTTTCCTCTTGAAGTTCTCTGATCATTTTTTCGGTTGGATCTTCATTAACAGTTGCAACATTCTTAATTTGCTTAGCTCTATCTGCGTATCTTAGTGTAGACAAAGTTTCATCGTAATTGATATCGGCAGGGCTAATAGCAGCTATCTATTATTTCAATAGACTATTACTAAACGGTTAATGAATCGTATTTGTTTACCATTATTGTTTTACTATTTCCGCCCAGAGCATTTTTCAATAGTTTCGTTAACACAGAATCTCTGTAAGGAATACGAACTTTTTTTCCAGATGACCTGTCCGCCAAGGCTGCTATACAATTTCCCAAGGACGACAATGACTGATTAATAGCTGCACCTTCTTTCAACCTATCTCCAGTTGCTCCAGTACTTTCAGCCCTCTCACTTCCAGCTAAATCGACAAGGTTGCAAACCGCTGTTTTTGCTGTTTCTTCTCCAGCAGCATTTTTAAACTTTTGAACAAAAGTAATACCAACAATAGTATGAGCTCGACTACTCGTTGCATTCATATTTGTAGAGGCAACTGTTCTATTAAGCGTACCTTCTTCCATTTTACTCTCAATTTCTTCATAATTATCAACTGGATAAGTCATTAATCCTTCAGCTATTAGGATTAAATACACAACCTATAGATCAACTATATTAAAGAATAGAATAGAAAAAGATATTTCGCTAACCATAAAATCCTTTCTTTGGATGTTGTCTAACTTTTAAATTAGATTTCTTCGGATTTAATAAATCTCGAACTTTTTCATTATATATTTCTAACATATTGAAACTGACCTAAAGAGAAAATAACAATTTATTTAAAGAAGCACAAAATCAATATAAAAACAATTAAAGTGCTTGTTTTTCTAGTTTACTTTGAATTTTATTACCTCATAAGATGTACCATCGGCGGCTTTTCTCTTTTCTTCAATTTCTTTAAAGACGTCGTTGCAGAAAAGTGGAATAATACCCTTATTTTCTCCATAGCCTACAACTGACCAACTTTTGCCGCTACCAGTTTGTCCGTAGGCAAATAGCGTTGAATTATATCCTTTCCATGCATTAGCCAATACACCTTTACCCAAATCGTCATAGACTGTTCTTTGATCGCAAAATTTCTTTCCATTCGGATGAGATTTATCTGGACTATAATAACCATTACCTTCTTCTTTGCAACCGTCATGGGACCAATAGCTATAGTCGAATACAAACTCTCTAGGTTCGTCACTCGAATCTTCAGGGTTATGGGTCAGGATTGTAGTGGGACCCCTCATATCTACAATTAGACCAGCATTCCTGGCCCTCTCACGTTTATTGTAAGAACACGCTAAGTTAAGGTTAATTTTTCATCAATTCAACTATATTATCAATAATCAATATAAGATAAGAAAGATAGACTGAAAAAGGATATGAATGGTCGCACTCTAACAGCAACCTTGACGTTTTCTTCACTCATCTTTCAAACTATCTATCCTGAAGCTTCATAAACGCAAATGCAGTAAAAGTAAAGGAGTTGTTTTGTTTCAGGCGGTTTATTTGTAGCCCGGAGACGGCGCGTTACCAAAACAAAGAATGGTGCAGTTCAATTCTCATTCATATTTCTAATACAGAAATTACTACATTATAATTTACGAATTAATAATGATATTCCATTCATAATTAACTAACTAATTTTAATCACATAATTTTTTTTTAAAAAAACAACAAATAAATCTATTATCCTATTTATACATCTACTACAGTTTGTATTTCTATAAATAGCTTTTTTTCCATTTTCGCACAATAATTTATTAAAATCATTGTTTTTGCTTTCTCTATTTCAACTATAAACTATATCCTGTGCCTACGAGAGGAAATTTTTTTAGTTATTTATAGAAAGTAGTAAGGCCTATTTCATCTCGTCATATTTGAAAACAAACTTAATACAGAGACTATATTTAGATGTTTTACATATTAAGAAAATGGAATATAAACTGCTTATCATAGTTAATTGATATACTAAATGCAGCTAACTAACTACAGGACAACACTTTAAAGCAAATAAATAATCAATACTACATCTAAAGCATCGGTCTTAATGTTCAGATTTACTCGATTTCCTCTTAAGCCTTTTTGAAAGAGATATAATATTTGTAATATAATACGTAAAGTTAAAGTTATGTTTCTTGTTTCGTTGTACAAGGAATTAATAACGTTGTTAATAATTGCAATTTTATTAAATGCTAAATTATGTACCCCAATTACAAATAGTTCTCTAACTTCGGGAAGAGATTGGCTTTCATTTTTGCTAGTTCACACAGATTTTGACCTTCAATTATTGTATTACTGTCTTTGAACTGTTTTTGTTAATTATATATCTCTCTGTCAGCCATAAGGCTGAGGTGGGCAGTGCCTTTATTAATAAGTCTAAAGAGAATATGCCAAGTATAATATATCTGTTTGAAAAAGCCAGAAAACTTATACACCTGAAACAACAGTCTTTTTTTGTTTGGATCAATTTTTCAGATAAAATAATTTGCAATACCATACGTATTAAATGTTATGTAATACTGAATGAGATTTACTAATGCAAGACTTCTTGCAAAACTAATGAAAATTGTTATTTGACAAACAATGATACCAGATTGAATGTATATAACAAGGTGTTTGCACATGGCAGTAAGCAAAACTAATTGAACTTCTATGATATGTTAAATATCACGTGATCTATTTGAATAAGGTTTGAAGCTACTGGCAGAAGTAAATAATTTAATTAAAGCATTTAAAAATAGAAATATGTGAAAATGTTGACTTGTTGAATCTATTACAGAATCCTCATGTTACGTCACGCTAGGTAACTGATATCTCCGACGAGCCTAAGTTAAATTCTGATGCAATTTCTCAGGATTGAGTAGAATAAAGGGAAATAAGCTACACCTGTTTATTAAGTTCAAAGTTCAAATGAAATAAAGTAAATATTTTAAATAAGAAAACATAAGTTAATAAGAAGGTTAATAAGGTTAATCAGCAAAAAGAAAAGACAAGAAAAAGTAAAACTAAGCTGGCACATCTTTAATGCATGAAAAAGGGAATGTATGATTATTTCTGTAGATAATAAAGATAACATTACACAAGAGTTTGTACTTCGCTCCGGGTAGTTGATTCTCTTCCTGTATAAATATCTGATAAGGTCATGATCACTTGGTTGCTGTCAAGTTCATTTGAATCTGAGCTATCGTAAAATACTGATGATTCTTCATAAATTTCATATTCTTCAATGATTTTTGGTCCATTGTATTCCATATAATTCTCTTTAGCGGCTCGTGGGCACGAAGCTGAAGAACTGTTGAAAATCATGATTTTACAATGATAATAGGACTTGAGAAGAAATGTAAATTACCTTAAATCTCTTTTCAATGTAGTATTTTCATTTGTTAATTTATCTATTTGATGTTGCAATTTCTTCTTTTTTAACTCACAGAAAGAGCTTGTACATTTAGCATTACTCTGATCTTTAATGGCTGACATAACTGTTTCGTCTAAAGCCGAGGATTTACCCACAGATAAACTAAATAGATTACTTATTCCACATCTGTCATAGGCACGTATTTTATCAAGACAAAATCTAAATAGCATGTGCTCCAAGAAAAGGATAATTAAGCCTAACAGCATTCCAGCAATTAATAGTAGGAAGGCTGATGTAAAATTTGGTACTCCTAACTCGGCTGAAGATTCCTCTCCACCTTCAGCTGCTGTACAACCGCCTCTTAGCCAATATTCTTGTAGTCTTTCTAATTCTCCTTCTTGCTGGAATTTTAGAATATATCTGTCAATGACGGCTTTCCATGGAGACTTTTTTGGAAAGCCCATTCCATATCCAGTCATGGCATACCACGCTCCCACAGTTTTTAGTTTGCAATCATCATCTTTTGAGGCTATATATTCCAAGACCGTTGCGTCGTAAATAAAGGCGTTAATTGATCCGTCTTTAACAGCTTCTACGCCAAGTTTTACTGTAGATTTATTAAACTGTTTCATGTATTCATGCATTTGTGGAAAATTGTGCTTTAAATTGGTTTCTGTACTTCCATCGGGTACTGTACCAAACTTGAACGGTGGTTTTAATTGTTTAGCATTGATCAATCTCCAATCTTGAATTCCACTCAACTTTTCATAATGATCTTTTGTTATCATGAAAGCTGCAAGGTTAGCTGTGTAACTGGCCGTAAAGACCATAGCGAAGAGAGCCCATATACTGCCGATAAATTTACTAGACATTCCTTTTGGGTTATCAACGTTAACAGCTGCCCCGAATAATATTGCCCATATAAGCCATAATGCTCTAAATAGTGAGAAACGATGACCTGTTTATATATATATATATATATATATATATATACATGAATGTATAAATTTATACATATGTTTCGTTTACTTGGTCAATAGTTATTAGTACTATGTTAAAAAATTTAACGAAGTTATTTAACCTTTTAGTACTCCTGATCCCCTATCTAAGCCATATGGAGATAACCATTCAAAAAGAAATACTGCAACACCAGAAGCATTGACGCAAAATGCCAATATGATACACCAGGAGTACATGTCATACGGCTTTAGGAAAGCGGTTGGAGAAATCACTCCTTCTTGAACTCTAACAATAATTGAAATGCCAGTTTCTAAAAAAGGAACACTAAAATCAATAGCCGCTGCTCTTTCCGGGTTAATCTTTAAGGAAGTTACCACCATATCAGCTTCTTTGTCTAGGATATCTTTTATCAGTCCATTCCACTCGCCCCTGTCAGTATTGTAAGCTCCCCATTTTCCATCTCTTACTTGAAATAGCTCAAAATCGAAATGTAGTTCCTTCGAGAGTTTTAAGAGCAAATCTATACAAAAGCCTGAACAACACTGATAGTGATTTGGATTTATCGTTTCGGTTGACACGGCCACTTGTTCTTTAGAAGCTATACGGCAAAGTTTTGCATGCGGAAGGCACTTGCCAGTAACATTATTTGGATTTGAGTATATTACGTATGGGTTCTCCTCTAGAGTTACGATTTTCATACGTTGCCTTTGAGTTTTACTCTCGGGGGGTTTCGTTTTTCCACCAGGAAAGGTAACCCTTGTCATCTGTAATTTCTTCAATTTAGAATTCCATGAACCAATTTCCTTCCATGTTTTCTCTGCCCTTTTATGAGACATTCCAAGATTAAGTAGACTAATCTCAGCATTCGCCAGAGTACCGTCATGGTTCATTTGAAAAGACTCTAAATTGGGTTTAAGAGACCAGCTATTATTTAACATTTCATCGTACATTATCTGACTATTATTCCAGTTAAAGAGGTTATCATTCCTGTTACATGTGAAATGAGGTCGAAACGTTAGTCTATCTTTAGAGCTGGTTTCGTGAATATTAACCACAGCCTTAATCCAGATGGATATGCCTTTCTGAATGTTTTTGATAACCTGTTCTACTTTCCTCTTTGAATTACCATTATTGAAAAACCCTTTCTCGTCTTCCTTAAATTGAACAGCTGCATTAAAATAAACGAATAATATCAACAGAGAGTAATGATAACGATAGAGAAAGAATGAATTTTTCCATTCAAAATATAGATTCATGACAGCTTCCTTACCAAACATTCCCAGAGGAAACAAACTATCCAAACGCTCTTTCATTTTAAATTTTGCCGCCATAGGGGAAATCACACTCTTAGCTGCTATCCATACGAATTTTTTCTCTGTTAAACCCAGTTGGTTGGCTATTTTAAATATTTCATTTGCTTCGTCCCTAAACGAAGATATACAGAATTAAATATACTGAATTTATATAATAAAATGTTAGCTTTTTATTATACCTTGAACAGTAGAGAAAAAGAATGTTTGATGTTTTTTTATCAATTTTTTTCATTTGCAATTCAATTAATTCTTTATCCTTTGTATAAAATATATGAATAATTTGCTGAATTTTTATATGAAAACTGCAAAAATACAGAAAATAAATAAGAATTATGTAGTATTTTATTAATTATAGTTTTTAGTAAACTAACTATTTCATTTCGGTATTTATTTGATATCTGAGACTTTGAACGAATTGTATATATCCTGTTAATTTACTTGTTATAATTGTTATTGTTGCCCATTTATATTCCAATAAAAAATCTAACATAACATTTACTTGTTGTTCAATCGACGGCATTAATTGTAAAGTCAAGTCTCCTCTGTTTGCCTAAAATTTTCAAAGAATATGTAGAGAAATTGACTAGAATGACAAAGTTTTTTTTGTTTTCTACATTCAATGGAATTCAATTAAATCGTTTATTTTAAGTGTCCCTAAGCCTATATCTCTATTGTACTATTCAAGGAATTATTAATGGAATACAATTTGACAAGAGTTATAAGAATCGATAGATGGCGTTGGAAGGAAAAAGAAACCGAATTTTCTTTAAAGGATTTAGGTTTTTAAAGAATAAATATACAGAGATATAAAGCCTATTTAAGTATATACAGTACATGTAAATGATGTGTAAAATACCTGTATTATTCCTTCATTTTGCCAAATGATTGTTGGTATTTTATGTAATTTAATAAAATGAAGTAATAGTCTAGAATCAACAGAGTTTTTCTTTTTAAAGTTCCAATGATTATATTCTAAATAGATGAGACTATTTATCTTCAAACGAAGTAATCCAGATTTATTCTTACAAAATAGTTTCCATAATTTATTTAAAGAAAGATCTCGAGTATGTCTCATTAGCACAAATTGTAATCTATTACTATCCAATTTCTTTCTGTATTCAATATTAATTTTATTCATAAATTTTGTAATTGATGAACAAATTGAATCGAAAGCATTCGACTCAGGACCAGATATAACAATTCCTATAGTTATAATATTTTTCAAAGTTGTATTTCGATAGCAAACGTGCTTTGTTAGTTTCTTTTGTTGTACAGTTTCGCTTTTAAGCGTATATAAACCTTGAATATAGATTAGCCAGAGGAAACATTTCACCTGCGGAAGCATAAATAAATAAATTATATAATACTGAAGTAATACGTCTATAGATATTTATGTATTTTTAAGAAATTTTAATAAATATTGAAATATTAAATTTCTTACGTCCATTTTATTTACTGCTTTTATTCTCCAGTCTCTCCCAGAAGTAGATTTGGGATGTAAGAAGAAAAATGGTAATTTTTAATTCAAATTTCTTCTTTTTTTATTTGTTGTCGATAAAGCAAACTGCAAACTACTTGTAGAATCAAATTTTCGGTTTGTAATATTTCAGATAGCAATACAACAAATATATATATATTTGTGTATAGGCGCGCTCACAAACTTGCATAGACAGTTATATAATATACTTGAATACGAAAAAATAAAAGTTTTCTTTCTCCTCCTTCTCTCTCTCTCTCTCTCTCTCTCTCTTGTTTCTCTATTTCTTTCCTTCTCTCTTCTTTTTTTGAACAGTTTTTCTCATCTATACGGACAGCCTATGTGCAATTTTAATATCTATAGTTTTATTTTTCGTAATATTTCAACAGAAAACAAAGTAATCAACATCTGGTTTAGTTTTATAATTGTCACGTGATTAAGTACCTGTGGTAAATTAAAATTACAGAGAAAAATTGTTTTTTTTTTAATCATAAAAGAGGTGAGCAGCTTTTTGAACTATATATAATTTAGACAATTAAAAAGTGAAAGGTATTGTTTTTTCTTTAATTTTCACAGTCCATCAGAAAATATTTTTTTTTTTGGAATTAAACAATTTGCATCAAAAAGGAAAAACATACTTTGGGTCTTAAGCTATTTATCACATTGCATTTCCCCCTTCTCTCTCTCTTTCCTTGAATATAGGACTAACGTTTTATTTTTATACATTTTAGCTCTTCTTCTGGTTCTGTCATATTGTAGGTAATTAAGAGCCACGTCTAAAAGTCAAACTTCCCGTGTTAGCTGCTTTTATGTTAAATAATCGTCTTGTTAAAAGCATTCTTTAGTGGACTATAATTTTAATAGGTTTAAAATAAATCTCCTAAATATTCAAAGATTTAATTAGTAATGTTAATAAAACCGGTTGCTAAAGGTTACTAAACAACCCTTTTGATTAAAGTAATTTTCCTCCTTATCTATAATTGTTCACATTGTAAGAAATTACAATATCGTCTCTGTATGGAATATACAGCACTTGTGTATATTATTGAATGTATTCAGAGAGTTAGATGGATAGATAGATAGATGCTTTTAAGAGAGCAAAACACAACGTAAAAGCCCAGACGTATGAACTATTCAACATATAAATTAATCATAAACAGTATATATGTATATATACAGTATATTTTAAACATTTGCCGAATATTGCATTCGTCCTGCGTTTTTTATTAGGGAAAATAACATAGATAGAACCTCGCCTAGAGTTATTACACTCATTCCTATCCATAAACCAGCTTGACCTCCTATATCAGAAACTAATTGGTTAATTGAATAATCAGGTGATTCCTCTGTTTTCATGACGTTGCTATCGGCAACATATACATTTAATCTTAAAAATTCTTTCATAATCTTCTGACGTTCTTCATAAGGAATTTTATCTTTAAAGTTTACAAACTTTTTCGAAGGCACCGTAAAGTTTTCCATTAAAAATATTTCAATAAAGGTCGAGTCACTCTCGTATCCAGGAGTAGGCCATCTTGATAAAGAATAGGATACGTCGTAAGTGGTCTCATCACAAGCCGGATGGCAGCCACACTCTGTGAAAATTTTTGTCGAGTTTGTCAGAATCATTGTCTGTACTCTCCGCGCGCATTTTATTCTCTTGTAGGCTTTCAGCATAATATCTAAGCAATTTGGAGATGCTTCAATTGTACAATGGGGCGGAAAGGGATCATCCTCCCTGCATAATTTTGCCGAAACATTTGGTAACGCAGGGAAACCAGAATCAAGACATTTGCACTCTTGTAAAATCCAACTTTGCACGCAAGTCTTTTGACATTCAATCACGCGATATTTTTTATTACTCTCCGGATAGAATGGGTTCACATCTGTGCATAGGCCATGCGGTCGCCCGATACGAATATTTCTTCTAGCTCTGATTGCTAAAGATGCACTATAACCAGGAGGAACGTCGCATCCCTCTGTAAATGGGAACGGAGTGGTATTTTTAGGATGAATGACCACTCGTACACCATTAGAGGCTGAAACAGGACTTCTGCTTTGCTGAAGACCCGGTATAACTCGAATTTCGTTATTCTTTTCCGTTAGACCAGATCCGCTTAAAATAATAGCTAACCAGCCATTCTCAACACCTTCCGCTAGAGTTTGAGATGTAGACGAAAGGGGTCCATTATAAGTAAAGCATCTAGATAGATAAATCGAATAAAAGAAAGCATATCTATAGATAAACATACAATTAAAAGAATTCTACCTAGATGATTATATTCTTATATATACTTTTTCTATATAATTAACCGGAGTGAATACAACTGAATTATTAGTAACCTTAATTAAAACATTTATTCTTCTCGTACAAAACTGACATCGTGTCAATAAATAACAAGGAATTGAGGGAAAATTTCCCAGAAGGATATAAAATAAACAGCTCTTTTTTTTTTGACAGTTTATTGTCATTAATTTTTTTTAGTTTTATTTCATTTCTATTTTCCTTTATTTAAAAAATATGACAGATTGCTGTTCCTTTTTCTATCTTTTCTTAGAAAATAATAATGAATGATAAATTACTTTTTCATTCTTCTATTACCTGTAATAGTAGGGATCGAAAAATGATGAATATTCATCTTTTTCGCATTTCTTACCAGACATCCAACTTGCAACGAAAAATTGATGAAATTTCACATTTGCAGTCTTAATCACTGATTCTTTTATATTGGCCGAATAGGTTGTTCTAGAGAATATTTCTTGGAAAACATCTGGGTATTTCTCCTGATAAGGATTGAATAATTTAGCATAAACTGCTGTTTTCTTCAGATAAGCCTTAATAAATTGATTATCGTGATCTTCCACTTGTTCATGAAGGGATTTATTTGATTTAAACACAGAGTTTAAAGTGTTTAATATATCAATCTCCAAATGTCGCATATTGCAAACAGTTATAGATGGAAATTCGACTTGTAAAGGCAATACTTCAACAGTTACCTTTTTGGGATATGACAAAAACCTTATTAATAATTCAATTATTTGCCACGAAAACATTCCAGACGCAGACAGAAAAACTGTTATCCAAAATAATCTTTCGATAACTGATCTAGTTCGAATAGCTCTTGCCAAACCCGGTAAACTAATTGTATCCGCATAATTCTTTAGATTTTTTGAACGTGATCGCTGAACGGGCATCTTCTGTATGATTAGTGCGAAAAGTGAATATATATCGCACTCGTCAGAAATTTCCAGCTAAAATCTCCTCAGGTAAAATATTTTCTTTATTAGACATGAAACCTTCCGAGAGAAATTTTATGCTAAACATATTTCCTATTTTCTTATTTAATCTCTTTAAGTATCTCTTTCTTTATTCTTGTCTTGAAATGATATATCAATTATTAAAAACTACCTCCTTAGTTCACTCTAACTTTTTATACGTGTAGTTTATAATCAGTTTTATTAAGGAGTCAGTATCCTCTCGGAAAAAGCTTGACTTCTATCTTTCGGAAAACCAACCACAGTTCATTGCGCCACCTTTAAGCTTTTACCTAGGAGAGATCAAATGAAAATGCCAAAATAGAGAAACATATTTCCGAGGGAATAGCTAAAGTAGACTAAACTAGATATTATTTCCGCCATTTTCTTTTACTTTTCATTATTATTTATAAAAGAATTTCCTCTTGTTTTCTATAAAAATTAATAAAATAACCTTTTCCCCCGCAATTTTCAACTCGAGTACCTTTTAACGCGTTCCTATGAATTCTTGTCAATTATGCGGACAAATTATGATGGACTTTTTACTTTTTATAAAACATTACAAGGCATTTAATTGATATTTGATACATTAAGATTCCGCAGTTATCAATAATCTTGTTATTAATAACTTAAATAATACGATGTGCAACTGATCAACTATTTCTTAATCTTTTAATAAGGATTGATAATTATTAGAAAGCCTAATGTTTAAAATAAAGTATATATATACTGTATATATTTCTTTGTTTAATAGATATACTTAAATTATTTATTATTATATCATTTAGAAAATTTCTCTCCTCTCTGCCTATTTATCAGTGACTCCCTCTACATTGCCATCATATCCCAACAGCTTTTTGTCATGGAAAGAGTCAGCCTATTTTTATCATTTTTAATAAAAAATTACAATATAATATACAGTGCATATATACATGTGTGTCTAAAGAGCCAGAGAGGGAGAGAGAGAGAGAGGGAGAGAGAGGGCGGGAGACAGAAGCAGACACACAAACATCAGATAAAGCAGGAAACATCTGTGATGTTATAATAATACTTTAGACAGATCCCTTATTTTATTTATAAAATACTGATGTTGTAATCAAAACTGCAATCAAAAAACATCAAATTGTCAAAAGAATAATTATAATTTATTTCATGTGTAATATAATATTTTTATTTATTCCTTAATTCCTCTTTTTCTCTCTTTTTTAATCTGTAATTCTTTCATCTATCTTGTGAGTCTTGGCTTGTTTTTTTCCTTACCTAAATATTGGATAATTCTAAAAAATGTAATAAATTTCTCATATACTGTATATTTCAATTCTTGAGGATAATTGTATTGCACTTAATATAATATAAAATTTTCCAGTAGGATAAATCAACAAAAAAACATAAAAACACACATTTCTCATTGTATTTTAACGTTTCATAATGAAGAAATTTAATGAGAATAATGATAAGATCATTTTTTAAGGATTTCTTCTTTTTTTATATTTATCGGATGTATTAAAAAGACTGCATAGAACCGATATAACTTCTGCTAGTGTTATAACGCTCATTCCTACCCAAAGACCAGCTTGACCACCAATATCTGAGACTAATTGATTAATAGTATACTCGGGAGACTCTTCAGTTTTCATAACGTTACTATCCGCCACGTAGACGTTTAATCTTAGGAATTCTTTCATAATTTTCTGACGTTCTTCATATTTAATCTCATCCATAAAATTAATCTTTTTTGAAGGCATTGTAAAATTTTCCAACAGGAAAATCTCAACGAATGTTGAGTCGCTCTCGTAAGTGGGTGTAGGCCATTTTGATAAAGAATACGATACATCGTACGATGTCTCATTACATGCTGGATAGCAGAAACATTGGTCAAAAATACTTGTAGCGTTGATTAATACCGATCTTTGAACTCTTTGAGAACATTTTATTCTCTCGTAGGCCTTAAGCATGATATCCATGCATTCGGCATTCGCTTCAACGGCGCAAATCTCTGGGAAGATGTCATCTTGTCTGCAGAATTTGGCAGAGGTGTTAGCAAGTAGGGGATAACTGGAATCCAGACAATTACATTCGTCTAATATCTTCCTTTGAACACACATTCTTTGACATTCAATTACTCTATACTTTTTTTTACTGTCGGGAGAAAATGGATTAGTATTGGTGCATAGTCCATGGGGAGGACCTATTCGAATATTTTTCCTTGCTCGAATAGCAAATGACGCACTAAAATTTGGCGGAACGTCGTAACCTTCAGTAAACGGGAATGGCGTAGTATTCTCCGGATGAATAATAACTCTAACTCCATCAGATGCAGAAACGGGACTTCTACTTTGTTGAAGACCTGGTATTACTCTAACTTCGTTATTTTTATAGGTCATTCCAGAGCCACTAAGGATTATGGCTAACCAACCATTCTCAATACCTTCGGCAAAAGACTGCGACTTTCCGTTATAAGTAAAGCATCTGTAAATAATACGATAGAATAATAAAGTAGAAGGAATAGGAAGAGAGATCAAGATAAAAATGTAAATTTATCAAATTTTAATAAAATAAAGCCGGTGCTATATTTAGATAATATCTCAAATGTTATCTAATTTTTCCAGAGCATCCTCTAGTTTTTCTTCTTTATTTAATAGATGCAAATGATAATCTTTATACAAGAATTATGGGAGTATATTATATAATAGACGTTTATTTAAAACTCTTCTTATCCATTCGGTCTTACCTATAATAATAAGGATCGAAAAATGATGAATATTCAGATCTATCGCATTTGGTACTAGACATTGAACTTGTAACGAAGAATTGGTCAAACTTAACGACAGCTGTCTCGATAACTGATTCGTCTATATTTGCCGAATAGGTTGTTCGAGAGAAAATCTCTTGAAAAACATCCGGATACTTTTCTTGATAAGGGCTAAATAGTGTTGCGTAAACTGCGCTCTTCCTTATATAGGCCTTGATAAAAGGGTTATCGTAATCATCTATTTGCTCAATCAGCGATTTGTTCGATTTGAATACACCATTTAAAGAATTTAATATTTCTATGTCCAAATGTCTCATATTACAAACAGATATCGATGGAAATTCTACTTTCATTGGTAGAACCTCAACTGTAACTTTCTTTGGATAAGACGAAAATCTTAAGAACAATTCCACAATCTGCCAGGTAAACATTCCAGTAGTCGATAGAAATACAATAATCCAGAAAAATCTTTCCAGAATTGATCTTGTTTGAATGGCTCTAGATAATCCTGGTAGGCTAATTGTTTCAGAGAACGTTTTTGAAATAACAGAGTTAGAGCGTCGCAGTGGCATGTTTACGACTGTAATGGGGGATTGGTCTGTAGAATGGTTTGTTGGCCAACCGGGAAATTTTTCCCTCGCGTCGTTAAGACTCATCAACTATTCTACGATTCTCGTTTACAAACAATAATTCCTTAAGATTTCCATAAAGAAAGAAAACATTAGGAAAAGCATCTCTATATAGTAAACATTGTCATTTCTTTTAACTTATATGTAAACCTTAATCTTTTAAATCAAAGTCTTAATTTATAAACAATTTCAATTAATCTCTTTCTCGTTGTTTATTTACTCATTTACTCATTCATTAATTACAAACGTTAATGAATAAATTTATACAGTATGTAATTAGACTTTTATGTCCTTTCCACGCCATCTAGTTTTATTATATAAATTTAAAATATACAAAGGAGGATACTTAAATTGTGTAACAAATATTAAACTATATACATAAAGTTTTTTACAACCACCATAGCAAACGATTTATGATTGGTTAACTAATGCAACCTCGTCTGAAAAATTTATTAATATTACTTTTACTAATTCGTTTGATATAGTTGATTTATGTCTATGGCAAAGAAAACATTCAACTGTATTTATAGACATAATTTATCTCGAAAGTGAACAAAATACAGCACCATCTCATTCAATTAAAATAGAGAAACACGGCGCGTGCAAATGTTTCTTTTTACCTCAAAATTTTGGTTTCAATACTTCTTTTATGACTATTAAATTTAATGGTAGTAGTAGTGAAAACATAGGTTTTTCAAATATAATGCTATTTGCTTTCGTGACTAAACGTAAGATTCGGCTTTTAATTAATATCAAACAGTTATGAAAACTATACTGTACAGACAAAAGTACTCATCATTCACCTAGTTTATTCCGTGTGAATTATGCTTCATTATATATGAATGCAACTTGAGATGAATATTTCCTAGATAGAATGTGTCATTATGCAATTGACAATGAAATTCAAGTATCAAATCATTGGACTCTGAAGAGTCTTAGTCATTTTTGTAACAATTACATTCAAATATATTATTCAATCAATACTTTTTTGTATGGTGTTGAGGTTAAAATTTACTGTAATATCAAGTTTTTTCAACTCATATACATTGAAAAATAATTGCAGTAATGACAATTATTAATACCAATTTTCCAGTTGGAATATAAACTGGTATAGTGAATTTAAAGAAATTATGAATTTAACAACAAATAATAAGTTGAAACGTTTAGAAAATTTAATGAATCAGAATGAAAAATCTGTCAGTATACAATTGAATACGTTATTTCCCGTTTTTGTTAACGTGAATATAAGTTCAATAGAAGTATAGGCTAGACGTATGCTGCACTTGTATATATAATCTATTATTAGAATTAAGTGCGTCCTATTTTTTTACCTTTAGCTCCTTATGCAAAAAGTTTCATGATCATAATGACTTTACTGACTATAACATTCCAATATATCAGAGGGAAATTCTGAAATATATATACTTTTCATTTTTTCTCAATGATTATGTTGATAATTCTTATCTATTTTCTTTTTCTGCAAATTCTAAAGTGATAGAATATTTGAATTTAAGTTTGGATTTAGAAAAGAGATTGATTATCGATCATTCTCAACCAAAGGATCCATGTCGAAGCATACCGATTTGAACGAAGAGTTAATATTCAATGCTAAGAAAAATGATCTGTGGATTTCATGGCTTAATTGTCAAGTTAAAATGGGAAAAGGAGATAAATATAATGTAAATACAATATTTTCATTTGATTTGGGTGTTCAAGTTGAAGTTACAAGCTTTTCGTTAAAGTCAACTCTTGCTAAAAGAGATTTTTTTAGAATGAATTTATTAAATCAATATACCTTATACAGTACCGGCCATTAGTTATTGTTACGCCTCGAAAAATATTTTCTCTCTATGATTAAAGATGGTAATATCCTTTATTTCATTTCTCTAAGTATGGAAAGAGAAGAAATCAAAAAAATATATATTTTTCAAGTGAAACAATAACTAATGGCCGGTACTGTTTACTGTGTATAAATTTGACTAAAAAAGATCTAACCACGTGCAATTACAGATTATTTTAGTACAAATATTGAATTACCAAAACCTTGTTCAAAGAAAGTCCCTACAGAACTGATTGATGATTAAAAAATCTCTTGTTACAGTTTTAAACATAATTATTTACTATTAAAAACTTTATCTTATACTTCCTTTGCTATGTCTTCAGGCCAACGACTATTGCAATTGGAGCATAAAATAATTGTTGAATTGAATAGCACCGAAGATGTCTTTATAACGACCTTCACAAACGAGACTAGGGAAACATGCTTGAATATTTGTAATCACTTAGATAGTTTTACTAGAAAGCAGAATATTTACGACTATTATTACAAATGTCTCTGCTACTCTCCACCTTGTTCTATTTATAATGCTACCTTCTCTTATTCCAAAAATTCTATAAGAGTCTGTAATTTAATTTAATTGAGTAGTAATTTTCTCATAAATATTCAATAACGCATATCATGAATATATTATATATTTAACTGTATTGATTTTTGGACATTAGAATGTTGATAATAGTTAAAATAATAGCAGATTGAATAAAAGAGATATTAGTGTATTTATTTCCTTCCTGTTAAAAATTTCTGTGTCTTATCATTTGAACTTGGAATTAAAAATCTAAACATAAGGTATAGGCCTAACAGGCGCGTAGAGTTTAAAAGTTTACTTTGTAGAATAGACACAGGTGCTTTAAACGTAAAATAGCAATAGAATAAAAATGAAAACGTTCGTTTATGTTTACTTTTGGAAAGAGAAATTTTCAATAAATATATATAATAAACTATAAATATAATGATATATAGATGTAAATAGGAATAAGGTTATCAGATTATGAATTCTTGATAGTTGCATAATAGTGACAGTAGCAATATGACTCTTTTGCATTAGTAAGATGGTTTTCTTAAGCAAAATAATCTTAAATATAATTTAATAAAATACAAAATTTTTTATATAAAAACTTATATTTCCACACAACATATGGCCTATCGTGTATTAGGCATTGATTATTTCGGGGTGTTGCAGCGTTAGTTTCGTATTTCTATTGTACCAACAGTGCGGTTTAAAAGTCCATAGATGAAAATTGAAAATTTTCGAATGGGCAAGACATGTTTCTCTGTTTACTTAAATTCGATTATGAAAAACATCAGTCGTCTCAAGCTATTCTTAGTATTTTGTCTATGTACCCTACTCATTACTTATATTGTTTTAGCTTATTTTGATATCACTGAAATAGAGACAACTATAGAAGCGAAGAGCGCTAGTTGTCAGATACCTCATCTTATATTGTGGCCAAGTGATATGAAAGCTATTAATTTCACTCCAAAACCTTTGCATTGCTTACCTAAAGAAAAAGAATGGATAACGATTGAAAACGGAAGAATAAAATATCAAAGTATAGCTAAAGCGAATCCTGATAAGGTAAGCTGTTCGATCATAGTTATAGATACGAAAGAAGGAGAAGAAATAAATTATCATAATTTTAAACGGCTGTACATAATACAAAAAATATCAAATGTTTATGATGGTATGGAAATACCTTTCGACATGTTCTATATCAGCTGTTATTATGTCGATGAGACAACAAAAAAGTCACTAAAATACAGGGCAATTCCTCTGGGTATAAAACGACTTGAAAATATTACAATTAATCCTCCACCTTCTATTTATCCCCAACCCAAATGGAACATACTAATTTGGGTGTTTGACTCAGTTTCCAGACAGTCCTGGCAGAGGTTTTTGCCAAAAACTGTAGAAACGTTCAAGAGGATTGGTGGTACATGGCTAAACAGAGTCAATACTCTCGGACATGATTCGATTAACTCGTTATTACCAATTCTAGCTGGCAAAAACGAGGATGAAGTTCATCCGGCTATCAGAGGATGGTCACATTCAACTCATATGGACGACTATCCATGGCTGTGGAATCATCTAAAGGCTCTAGACTACATTTTGCTTTTTAATGAATGCAGTACTTTTCAATGGAAATATTTAGGATTCAAAAAGAAACCTACTCATCATTATGGAAGACCTTGGTTTTTAATGGCTGAGAAAGAGCAAATATATCATCCAAAATTTTGTATAAATTCAAAATCAAGACTATCCATGCTTCATGATTATATTAACGACTTTTGGAAAGCTTACGACGGTTATCCAAAGTTTGCTCTTACAAATTATGAAGAAATGTCACATGATAGTTTTGTTGATATTAAACTAGCCGACGAACCGCAAGCTAAATGGATAGAAAAGCTAGAAAATACAGGAGCGTTAGACAATACTATTTTTATATTGATGTCCGATCATGGAGGAAAACATGGTGCTCATAGAAACACAGTTCAAGCAGATTATGAAGTATTAAATCCATATATAGGAGTTAAGATGCCAAAAAGTTTTGAAGACTTGTACCCCAATGCTGTGAAAGCTTTAAGAGAAAATGTTGATCAACTCGTTACACCTTACGACATTCACGCAATGTTTTCAGATGTTGTTAATTATATGACTGAAGGAAAAGTTAAAGTTCCAACTCACCCAAAGTCAATTAGCTTGTTTGAATCTCATCCTACAAATCGTACGTGTGAAAGTGCAAATATTAAATCATCATTTTGCTATTGTAACAAGTTTACAAAGATAAGTACTGGATCTGCCATGGTCAAGAAAATAGCTCATAAAATGGTAGCAAATATTACAAAAAGGTTAAAACCCATTGAGAATAAGTGTGCTCCGACAACATTCTCCCAAATTCGTAATGCCTCTGCATTATTTCATACACGTTTCTTACATGGTACAAGTAGTAAATTCAAAGAATATATTTTTAAAATAACAATAGAAGTTAACCCATCGAAAGGACTTTTTCAGGGATTTGCTTTAGTAAAAAGATGGAAATTTAGTGGACCCACTCAAATAAAACTCTTTGACTTGAATAGAATAAGCACCTATGGAGATCAGTCTCACTGCATTCACAGATCTCATCCTTATTTAGCCCCTTTTTGCTTTTGTAAAACGCAGCTATGAAGAATTTGCTTGTTTGATTAATTTCTGCTGTAAATGATATAATTTCTGTCTCTTGTTGAATATCACATCGATTTTATAGAATTACACTGAAATACACAAGTGTAATCAACATGTAATAGTTAATAATACTACCAAGCAAGTATCCTGCAGCTCCATCTACTTTGTTTACAAAGAAGAAATTCAGACGCTGTCTTACTTACTAGCCTTGGTAGAATAACTAGATCTTTTTATTTCCACCTCATTTATCATTGAGATTACTGAATAACCTAATTATACAGAGTTATAAATTTAGAACAATGCCAAAAAGCATATATTGAAATTTTTGTTTTTGTTTGGGAAGTTCTTGAAATTCCTTATAAATTTATTGGATTATAAATAAAAGGATATAGTTTTTTTATAGTACGTGTACCAGATTCTATTTTTAAAATTAATAAAAATGCTAAGTTTTTAAGATTAGATATGATTTAACTAATAAATTATTTAATTCAGGCAGTTTAAATTTTTGTACTTTCTATATGTAAAAATTACTCTGCTCTATCATACACACTTACACACTTGCACACACACACACACACACACACACACACACGCACAAACATGCACATACACTCTGTTTAGCTCCCTCATTTTTTTGGCAATAGTGCTGCCACTACACTCTGAGATGTATATTTTGCAGTTGTTGCAGTTTCTCTGCGGCATACCTTAGCCAGGAGCTTTTTTCTAGCTTTCATAAATTGATTGCAAGTATATTTTTACATTTAATACTTTGCATATACTTTGTTAAGTATAACTATAAAGGTTTTTATATATTGTAATCCAATTGAGAAGGTGGTATATACAAGGGAAAAGGATAGAATATTTCAGTAATATTTACCATTAGGTAAAAGTCTGAAATTTCATGTGGATATTTTTTCAGTATATTTAGACAGTTGGTGAGAAATTGTTCTTATACGACCTAGTTCTATCTTCTAAAATTACAAAACGCAAAGCTTAAACAAAAAAAATTCATATTTTAAAAAGCTGACAAAATAATCTCTTGTTTTACAGTTTGTAATCGAATTTTAACTTCAATATTACAGATGGAAAAATAAGAAACAGAAAATTTGTACTTCCTTTTTCAACTAACAACAACTTGTAGCAAAATGGCTAGTCTTTATGGAATGTAAGTGATAGCAAATGAAAATTTCGTGTTAGGCCTAATTTTACATTTTAATTTGAAATTTTCCAGGAGCGCTAAAGATAGAAAGGCCATGTTCGAATCGAAGCAGAACAACGATCCGAAAGCAAAAGTTGGAGGCGCTCCTAAAAAGATTGGAAAGTTAGGAATAAAAGAAACTAAGACGGATAAAGACGAAAAAGTACGAAAAGTATCGAAAGATGAAGGAAAGAAAAAGGTTGTTAAAAAGAAAACTGAAGATAGTAAAAAAAAAAAGGAGACTTCCCAGGCTGTTGAGAAGAAGACAGAAGAGAAAACAGATGATAAAAACGAAGAGAAAGCTAAAGATTTGAAAAAAGAACCTAAAGAGAAGAAGGAAAGTGAACCGTTGATAGAAGAGAAGAAGACGGAGAAAAAAGAAGTTAAACAGAAAATTGTAGATAATAAAAAACAGGATGATACATTAAAAAAAGAAACTAAGAGTAAACAAGCATCTGAAAAGGTTTCCAAAAAAGAAAAAGAAGTCGAAGCACCTATTCAACTACTAGAGCATTCGACAGAAACTTTATCCGAAAATACCGAAGAGAATCTTAAAACAATTAAATATCCTAAAAAAACTGAAAAGATTATATCGTCCATTGAAAAAAGCGCTCACGATAAACCAAGAGATATCAGATTAGACAGCGTTGAAATTTTACACGCTGAAGAAAAACCTGTAGTAGAAGAACAGCCAAAACAAGATGATGTAGATGAAACTTTTGATTTAGATTTAGACTCTGAATTAGCCGCGAATGTAAAACTTGCAAAAGTTGAATCAAAGCAGAAAATTAATGAAAAAGGTCATAACGATAAAGAGGAAAAGGAATCAGTGCAGAAAGAAGTTTCGAAAGTTCCTGTGAAATTGGATAATGAGGAAGTAATTAGTGAAAAATCTGAAGTAAACAAACCAGACGTTTGCGAAGAAGAAGAAAAGGAACAAACTAAGGAAGTTAATGCTGTCGAAAATGATAAAATAGTTGAAGAGAAATCTTCAAATCTCCAGTCAGAGGGGAAAGAAACTGTTGGAGAAGCTAAAGAAGAGAATAAAGATCAATTAAAAATGAACGAAAGAGAGCTGAGTGATAAGGAAGATTCAACCCAAAATAGAGATGAAAATGTTGATAGAGAAGCCAATAATGAACATTATGAAAAAGATGAAAAAGATGAAAAAGATGAAAAAGAAACTGCTAAGAAAGAAGATGTGAAAGAGGACAAGCGTCCAAATGTGAAAGTCGAAAAGCAGCCTTCTGTTGAAGAATCTACCATAAAACAAGAGGCAGAACAGATTAATGAGATAGTAGAAAGAAAACCAGAAGAGGAATTAAAAGGTGTTGAAGAAAATGAAAAGGAGAAGTTGAAAGCTGAAGTTGTTGACAAACAAAACAAAAAATCAAAAGAGCAATTGGAAGAACAAAAAAACTCTGAGGAAAGATCAAAAGAAAAGTCAACAGAGAAAGTTCATCAAGACAAAAAGCAAGAAAGATTATCGCCTAAAGAAGAAAAAATTGATAAGCCGGTAGAAATTGCTGCTGAACAAAAATCTTCTGTCTCTGATAAAGAAGACGCGGAGGTTGACTCAATCCTAAAGGAAGAAGAAAGAGTAATGATAAATAGAGCTAGCGAAACGATTATTGAGGAAACGGAAGAAGAAGCTGATTCGGACGTTGAAAATGTGAAGAATGAGATTATATCTCAGAAAACGTTTACCGAATCGATAATGCCTAATCAGGAGTTCAAGCCTATTCCACAAGAATTTTTCGATACCATTTTTTACTATTCGGGAATGGGAAAAGCCATAGGGCAAGCTCTTTCGGAAGGTGTTTACGTTCCTCATAAAACAGCAGATTTCTCAGTAGAGAATGGATCCAAAAACTTGGTTGTGCCTGAACCGAATAATCTTCATAGAAAAGCCTCTGATCTTTCAAATAATTTGAAAGAGCTTCGAAGATTGTTGGAAGATCTGCCCTCTTTTAGTACCAGTTCGGTTAGGGATAAAAATAGAGAGGTTAGATCGGAGGAGGAGAACAGGTGCGAAATTAGGTCGAATTCTAGGGATGAAATGGAATGCAATAGTAGAAAAAAAGAATCTATGGATACTGTAAAATCGAGGGTAAAGGAGGAAAGTACTAAGCATGTAAGATTCTCCCAAGGTAAAAGATAAAATTCTCTTCAAAACTAATTAATTCTTGTATTTTTAAAACTGCAAAATCTTTCGGCAGATGTAGATAATTTATCATTAAACAATCAAGAAAATCGTCAATCTTCAAGTAAGTTTAAATTTTAAGACAGTTTTTCAACAATTCATTAAAGCACCTTAAATATGAAAAAATGTTATAAAATAAACACATTTTTGTGGTTAATAATAACAAGTAGGCATTGCAGGTAGTAAGGTCAAAAAGAACACTGTACAGGAGTTTCTCTACTACATGAAGTAGGCGAAACAAAAAAATAATACCACTCTACGCGTCATCCAGTAAATAAAACATGTAATATAGCAATAAAGTAAAAAGGAAATTATTTCTTAAGTATTTCTTAATAGATTTAAAAAAGAATTAATTAATTATTCAAATTTATGCATGAATAAATTATTTTTTCTTTCTTTAGGTTTTCTTTTATTAGTGTAAGAGAAAACTTTTAGTTTCTTTTCTTTTTATATTTAGAGATCTTTTTCTTTGCTCTCCTCCTACCATTTGAAAAAGAAATAGGTATCATCAATTATTTTAATGAGCGTACATCCATTAATTTATATATACAAAATAGCCGAAAAAACCTGGTATTTATCATAGTTGGTTTATAGTTTTATAGGTCTAGAATAAATGTTTTTTTAAGCGCTTATCGAAGAGTAAAAAAAAGAATTCTACTTGTAGATTTTGTAGTAAGAATCAAGGTTTTAATAAAAGAATAATAAGAAAGTATAGAGAGGGTGGACAGCAAGAAAAAAATTATAGTTAATTATTAAAGGCATGACAAAGAAGAAGAATGACTAACTAGCCCGTTGAATGCTTTATCTTCACTATTTTGTTTTGCCAACAATATTATAAATAGACCTTCTTACCAATTTTCTTACAGGTAGTAGTAGGGGTCAAGTTCATACTTTACCATCAATTCCATATGAGCAAACTACAATAAACAGTAAGTACAAGGAATCTTTTACGTATCTTACGATAATGGTTCAAAAATAATAAGAAACTGCTTTAATACGGTAAAATCTAATTGGACATGTAAAAAAGAAAACCTAGGCTTAAAAAGAATCTAAATAATCTTGGATAAAATATATTTATATATATAATCACGAAATGTTTTCCCTTTCTCTCAACAGGTAGCGCTTTCAGCACCAGATTTGAAAACAAACAATGGCAAGCAGCACCTGTTAAGTTTTCAGCTCGTAAGCCAAAATAGAATTCAGTTTTATCCTTAGAGATATTTCTTGATAAAACCTTATTGTTTTATTTAATAACAACGATTTTTAACTTGTACAGCTTCGCCAAAACCTTTTAGTCCTAATAAAATGCAAACAGGTAGAATTTAATCAATTGCTTACGTGAGTTGAATTAGCGTTATGAATATTTTTTGCATTGCAGAATATCATCGTCACCAACCTACGGAGATGAATAAATCTTCTCAACCAATAATCGGTAAACAAGAACGAGTTTAATACAAGTATTTTAAAATTTACATCCTTTATTTGTTTTCTTTTTTTTCTCTGATTCAGAAGAAGATATAAAATCACTTCGACCATTTTTGGTCGGTCCAACATTTGATAAAAAAGCTGGAGTTGCAAATCCAACAATTGATTTTAAAAAGTTTACTCCTCCAGGCCCCTATAAATACCCTCTTCCACCTCCAGTGGAAAAATCCCTTCCATATGCAGATCTTTAAAGCGAAACAAATCTAATATATACTCACCAAGTCTAATACTTAAACATAACATATTAATAATAATACTTAAACGATTTAATCCGTCTTTTTTCTCTTTCTCTTTCACTTTTCCTTCTTTCTATCTTTGTTCCATTTAAACTTTTTATTTGTCTGTTGTTCTTTGCTGTTAGTTTACTCTTTTCTACATAATTTTTTCTTTATTTTCTCTTTTCTTTTTTTTCTACTATAAAAACAATGAAATTTTCTTCCCATTTTTATCTTCTAATCCTTAATCATTTAATGAATGTTTATTCTATTCAATATTGCTATTGAGATAAGATGAAAAATATAGATTTTGAATAATATTCAAGTGAAATTTTTATTAAATACACAGTATATATCTGAATATATCAAAGGCGGGAAGGAATAATAGTTTACTCGTAATGAATTATAAAAACAGCAATCATAATACAAATATACAGCCATTCAAGTGAAAAAAAGCCAAATGAGCTATAAAGAACATGCACGGTTTATAAAAGTAAAGGAAAAAGTTGACATAATATCAGATCGTCTTACTGAAAGGAACAGAGTACTTTTCAAAAAATTGTTCATCATGTCTGTCACCATTAACAGATAAAAAAGTATATTTGTTTGTCTATCATATTCTATAATTAAATAATCTAAATTGAATAATTAATCATGCAATCTTTCATTTCTTACGTATGATATCAATATATTCAGATAAAAAGGTTCAAATGTTTAAAATATTGTTTTTGTTATCTAGAATATTAGAATTAATTGGGGTCGGTGTTAAGATTAGGGTAAAAGCATGGACTTGTTGACGTTGTCTACGAAACCTGAATTATTTTAGTATTTTATAATAAATATAGCGAATAGTTTATTGTTTATTTGGCTTTTTTTCATTTAATCTATCAGTTAACCTAATTCTTTCTTTTAAACATTTGAATATGGCTGAAGATTTATAAATTTTTAAGGATAATCTTCCTTTCGATTCGATGATTTACTAAGAAAATCTCCTAAATGTGAACAAAAGCTCAAGAAAGGACTAGATTAAGATTGAGATATAGAAATTCTCAATTAATAAATTACGGAGAATTAACGCTTGCTCTTTGGGCATATTAGTTGATTAGATTTATGATGATATCGTTGAAGAGTTCTTCATTGAAAATTCCATGTTATTTTCTACAAATAAAAAGAAATTTTAAGAAAAACTGTATAAATCCAGATAAAATATATTGACTAATTGCAAAATAATCTATTTACTAGGGTTATCCAAAGCGTTGGTAGAATCCGTAACTTTGGATGAATGCAAGTTTGCTTCGTGTTGAGATTCTTCGAGTTTAATTATATATGAAGAAAACTTAAAGGATTTTAAGAGTAGCCCTTTTGCTACGAAGCCATAGCAGGCGAGTAGAATCATGACAACCAAACTAATAACCATAATTACGATAACTATTATGATAGCTGGAGGAAAGAGAATAAGAAAAAAGTAAGAATAAAATATTTAAAATACCTTTATCGAACGTATCTGAACTGTTTTTAACGCTTTCCCCTATTGGTGGATCTATTATATACATTCAAGTTGGGTATGAATGCAAAGAAAACTATTTGACCTTGTCTTAAACTTATACATTACCTGTTGTATTTGGCAATAGTGTCGTACCTGAAAAGATAGAAAGCAATAAATATAAAAGTAACATTATCATTTTTTTGTTTTAATAGAACACAAGGAAAATGATGAAAATTTGGATTAATAATTAATAAGTTTGAAAGTTATTGATAGATTATTACTTGATTGTGTAGGTTTTGTACTCTCATAAATCTTATTAGTTGTAGATGTTAGTTTCGAAATGAAAGAAGTTGTTAATAAAGTTGTCTTTTCTATTATTTTTTGCGTTGTACTTGTTTTAGCAGGAGGAAGAGTATGTTGAACTTTTTTTGTAGTTAAAACTACATTTTTAGATGTTGTAGTTATCGTTGTTAGTTTGATTGTTGGCTTGGTTGTTGGCGTAGTTGGTTTCTGTGTTGTTGTTGGTTGTTTAGTAGTAGTTTTTGCAGTTGTTGGATCATCAATTTCTTTATAAAAGATTATATAATGTACAGGTGTATTATATAATTAAATATAAATTATTTACCTGTCTTACAAATAATTTTATTCGTTGAGGCGCAATTTGCGCAATCTAATCCATCATTTGATAGAACAACACACTGATTATCTGGCGCGTTACAGTCAGTAATTGTTTTCCAGTTGGAATTAAAGGTTATACATTTGCCACTATCGCAAAATATTCTTTTTGTATAACCTAACCAAACTTGATCGGTAGATATTTTAGTTTGTAATTTATTGTAATCCTCAGCTGTTTTAATAGTTAGTAACGTGGTTTGACTATCTCGGCAAAATTTTTGAGCCTCAGTAAAACTTTTCGTTACTATTTAATAAAAAGTAAAAACTCTATTTTATTACTTTAATATATAAAGGATTTAATTAAAAAAGAAAGTGAATAATTCATGTCACCTGTATGATAATTAAATTTAGCATCTATAAATGGTTTTTTGATATTGCAATTGTCAGTTTGAAGAGGAGAGTTTTTGCTTGCGGTTACGCAATCAGAAGTTGGTTCAGTTGTAGACCATGTAAGTAAGGTTGCATTATAGATAAAGTTTACGCCGTTACCACCACATATAGAACCATCTGAACAGGCTATAGAACAAAAGGAATTCTGAGCCTTATTGTACTTTCCAAAGGAATTTCCACAATAGCAGCTTGGTGAAACCTAATAACATAGAGTTTTCTTAATAAATATTAGTGTTATTTATTAATCTTACTCCGTCATGTTGTATTCCAGCATATTTGAAACCATTATTATTTCCCACATTCAATTGTAAACAACTCAATTTACAATTTAACTTAGTTACGAAAATAGGTGCCAGTGGTGACTTGTGAGGCAAATCTGGAGCGATACTTACATCATTATAACATCCAATTTCGTCATCTTCATCAATAGTTGACTGCTGGCTTTCTGCAGCTGTATATAAATATTATAAAAAAGAAATACTTTTATCATATACTGCAATACTGCGGTACTTAAATAAGGTAGAGACTACAAACTTTCTTTAATAGATCCGTATATGTTACTACTGGTAGAAATGTATTTTGTCCATATCCTTTCATTTTTAAATTTATTATTAACATCAGACGGCAAAAGAGGATAAATGACTGTGGAATCCTGAGCACAATTGTTTGAACCATCAGCAGCGTTAGAGTCTCTTATATAGAGACAATAGTCGGTATTACCCTCATTAACGGAAATTCCATTAAGAGTTGTACATTGATGTGTAGTTATCTTTGAATCTAGGTTTAAATATAGAAATTATATTAACGACACGTATACGCTATGCTAATATGGAGGATAGTTAAATTACGGCAATAGGAAATGAGTAGAGAAAACGAAACTAACTTAATACTGAAGTACACGTAAGAATAAGTAAAACAATGAGCTCTGTTGTCTTCCTCATTAGTCAAAAATATTGTTTACTCCATCATAAATCCTACTAATCTTGTGTAAATAGGTAAAAATTGAACATTTTCAATATAGACTTCTAAACTGCTATACTGTATCCTTAGTAGCAGACATACAATCGAAATAATACGGGGTAACCTGGTAACTCGTGAATATTGATTAATCTACTGTCTCCGCTACAGAGGTACAGTATATATCTACAGTACACGGTAAAGGTAAAACACACCTAATATTACTTCTACAACAAGCAATAGAGTTAATTAATTGTTTTTATCTTATGCAATCCTTTAAAAAATTGTTGTTTTAAAGAAACTATCAACAAACTATACTATTCTTCCATCAAATGGATTTCTATTACGTGAAGATATATAAAAGCCACAAATACTGGCCAGTTCTTTTTTTTGAGAAATTATCCATTTTTCTAATATTATTTAATAAACATTTATCTTTTTTATCATTATGAAAAGCTGTATACAAGATTTTTGTTTTGAGTTTTCCTTTCCTTTCTTTTCTAATCTTAATCTAAAAATAGACTTAAAGTGGTCAAAACTAGATTATAGACATTTCTAAACAATCACTATTTTGTACAGTTAAGTTGAAAAAGGCTACTTATTGTCTTTTTTTTTACATGTAAAAAGTAGAAACTATTACAGAAAGAGAGTTTAGAAAAAGTACTTTTTCTTAAAAATATTCAATATCTTTTATGATAATATCCAAACTTTTGCTTTATTTCTTTTATTAAGAAAATTTATATTTACATTTAACTAATTGAAGTTAAGTATAATTTAGTTAAAAAGAAATATAAAGATGATTAATCGAAGGAGAGAGAAAGAGAGAAAAAGGGGAAAAGAAGGTTTTGGGGACGGTAGGAATTTTATACGGTTAGTAAATTCAAAATCTACAAATATATATATATATATATATATATATAGGTATGTTATATTGAGTTCATTCTGTATAATTGATTATTTTTTGCAATATTTCATAGTTAATGGAAATATCCATAATGACATAATTCAATATTTGCTTCTGTTATTGTTACATTTTCTTAACCAAATTTTTGACAAGTTTATTACAATTTAGAAAAGAAAATTGGTATAAAAAAAACATTGATAATTAAAAATAACAAAAAAAAGAAAAAGGAGAAATTCAACAAATATCTTTCTTTTGTTTTTTTAAAAAAAAAATATTAACTTTTTTTAATCATTCTTTCAGAATTTTTCTCTGTAAATTGTATTATTTTATGTTTTGATTTTAATTATTTAAAAAGAGAGAAAGTTTTATGTAAACAAAGAAATAAATAAAATATTGACAAAAAGTGTTAAGTAAAATTTTGTTAATTACAAAAAGAAACTCTTGTGTTTTTGTTTGTTCGTCCAAAGAGAAAAAAAGAATCAGCTTTGTACACATTTAATAAAAAGAAAAGGAAATTTACATTTCATACTATTTCTTTTTCATAAAGATAAAAATACATTGATAGAGATGAATAGTTCAAACTATAGTTATATTTGTATATTGTACTTTGTTCTTTGGATAACTAAAGGGAAAAGAAAACCAGTTAAATTTGTTTTCTTTTATCTTTATCTGCATCTAATTTTGCTTATTTCTTTTACATAAATAGCACACACAAAAATAAAGAACAACATCTCAATATCACAAGTAAAACAATTAAAAATTAACAAATGTAATAAACTTGTTTTCTTTGGAAAGTAAAACATGATTTTTCTTGTTATTTTAAATGAAAAGAAATCTTTTGACAAAAACAACTTAAATAGGTTGAAATGTAAAATAACGTTAGGTATATATATATATATATATATATATATATATATGTATATTTTTTAAGTATAATTCTGAATAACAATCAAATGACTGAAGATGAAGCTTCTTTTGATCTTTCGTCTGCTATTCTTTCTTCTTCACTTTTCCAAAAAGCGTAATTGTCCTCTAAATTTCCCATAAGCTCGGAAATATCAATCAGTTCTATTGACAGGGAAAAAAACAATGATATAAAATAATACTTCTAAACAGTTATTGAATGGGAATATTAATGTTTATTTATGGGATATATGACGTTGGCAAAGGATCTAAATACTGTATTAAAGTTAATCTCTTTATACATAACTTACCATTCCAAGCTGCAAACATATCTTTAATAATAAAATCCAAAAATCCAGTTTGACATTTACCCAAATTACATGTTTTCCTATCAAAGTTGGGCATAACTAATGGCAAACCTTTCCTCTCTTCCTCTTCTGTTTGATCAAAGTATTCTTCAGAGATTCTCTTCGACCATTCAACACACAAGTCTCTCGATCTAAGTGGATTTGAAATGTCCGCGCACTTAATCAGTATTCGTAGGATAATCCGTTTTGAATCGGGTGAAGATAGGGCAGCCAGCGTAGTGTCATCGAATATTTTCGTTTCAGTGGCGAAAGATGGAGCTGGCTGTTCGTTTGGTGGGCTAATCTGAAGTGCTTTAGTTGAGCTAACAAATCTTGAAACATGTTCAAAATGCTTTGACATATCAGTAGCTAACACCATATCAATTATTGATTCTCTTAAAGTCCTATAATCGTCCCTGGATATATTCTTAAAAATATTCGCCGTATCCGAAGAGCCGGTGAGCCGGAAGGCTAAAGAAGCGTGATGAGATTCCAAAACGGAAATATCGTTGTACAACAAAGCCAGGTTAGAAGAAGCATTTACTAAGAACGGATTGGTTCTGCCTGGGTGATCGACATCATGTACAACGGCCGACAAACATGCGGCCACTCTGTCCACATCTTCTAAAATCACTTTAGCCCTGGGACGGTTTAAAAAATAGGCTGTAGCATGAAGGACATCGGATCCGTGTGTCGAATTGTGATATGGGTTGCTAATATGATAATTTTGCTCTATTATAGTTAACCAATTGAAGAGTAGAGCCTCATCTATACGTAACAGTTCCTGTACACCAAAACGTCTAAAGATTTTTAGGCCTAAGTATGCTAAGGGTCGTTTATGAGTGGCTTCTTCTAAACGAAGTATATCATACGACCACAATTCGTCATTTTCCAAATATTCTGAATATTTATTTAGAGCATCGCTTGTGTTTGAGAATTGAGATCTTATAATTCCAGGAGTAATATCTTTATCTGTAGATAAAAGCAAATATATTTCTTGAATAGAAAAATAATTATACAATTAGTATTCACAGCTTAATTAACTGTACAAGTTTTATCGCTACAAAGATAAATGTTGTCAAATATGTTTGAAATGAAACCCCTAATAGAACTTGGTGATAAGTAGGGTAGAATCATGCAATTTTCATTCTAATGACAACTCGTTGTACCTTTTTTTATTCCAATTTAAAAGGAAGAGAAATTCATATGTATAATTTTCTACTTTATATTACTCCCAATTTTTCGCTATTCTATACCGTCCCTGTCCTTGTTGTGTTTGTATGTGTGTGTGTGTTTCTCTTTCTCTCTCTCTCTCCCTTTCAGTCTCTTCCTCTCAATTTCTCTCCCACTTTAACGATTGTTCTTCTCTTTTTCTGCCTATCACTCGCCCTCTCTTACCTATTCTCTTCTCCTCTCTTGAGTAAAACCGTTTAGATTATGCACAGACAATAACCTTTTGGAGCATGAAAAGGAAAAAAATAGAAAAGAAAAGAGAAGTGGACAGTGATAAGTAGAAGTATTTTATCGTTAATACGAGATACATGGAACTGTTAATGTAGATTGAAGATAAAAATGTGTTACGCAATTATTTCAAATCAAACAGTCTTGACCTACTTAACTCTTCTTTAAATTTGATATACTGGTAACAAAAGAATATTAGTTTTATTATATCTACAATAAAATATCATCTGGAAGAAAACTATATTCATTTTTGATTGTTAACTCCAGATATGTCAATATATTACATTATATATATATTTGTGAAAATACGTTTGCTTACTTGATCCCTTATTAAAAATTGTAATTCTATATTTATATTAAATCCTTACAAGACTGAAAGAGAGAAATTGAATAGAGTTTAACTAATTAATTATTTGCTTCCTTGTTAGTCGATGCTAAAGGAAAATAATAGTAATCTAAGAATATTGAATAATTTCTTGTGTTTTTCTGTCTTTTTTTATAAATATTTAACAATGACAACAAAATGAGAATAAACGCAAAAGAAATCCGTACAAAATGAAAATGAAACTCGTCTAAATACGACTTTTTTTTATAAGGACAGCTGGAAAGTATCATTGGTGTCATTGAACTATATAACTTTGTTTTCTGTTAACCTTATTAGAAAGTCCAATTTTCAATTCGTTCAACTCGAACCAGTCTCGTATCAGAGTACTCACACTATGGTATGCCGATCAAACACTATCGATTACTCTAAATTACGTTCGCACGAGCACCATTTATCAAAGTAATACGATTAACTATCAAAGAAGCATAAAATAGTGTGTTTTTATAGTTCTCGTCCATTCAACCTGAGCATGTTAAGAAGGTTATAAACAACATTATACTGGTGGAATGAGACGGAAAATAAAACAGTAATGAAATAAAAATAAATAAATAAATAAATAGAAAATTAGGCCTATACTAAAGCTGATTGACGGCAAATACTTAACGAGATTTGCGTATCGGAAAACAGAGCTAATATAAAAAATAACAAACAAAAGATCATTCTATTAGAGATTTATAACAGAGAACACATGGATATGTTTTATATTATATATATATATATAAGCAAATATATACTATATGCTCTCTGTATTTAATTATGTAGCATTTACAAAATATTTCTCTATTATGAAAATAGCTAGAGGACAACGATGATTGCCAAGTAAGCTTGTTAAAAGAAGAAACTAAAGGATATTTAGGGTTGCAGAATTGGCTGAAGGGAAAGAAGAGATAAAATATATTGACTTGAAGTGAGTGAGCAGGACGGAGACAGAGAGAGAATAAGAGAGCGAGAGAGAGAGAGAGAGAGAGAGAGGCTAATTAAAGTATGATGTATATAAGTTATTTATATTTTTTTCAACTATAAATGGTAAGAGAATCTATATTCTTCGTAGTAAGATAAAATCCGTGACTTGTCATATAACTTTTGAGCGTGATATTAAATTTCAATACTTAATCCAAAAATTCATAATCACGAAGATAAAAATATATTTAGAAATCGAAAAAAGTAAAAAAAAGAGAATTGGAAAAACAAAAAAAAAAAAAAAGAAAGGAGACTCCATCACTTTTTTAACGGTAATCGATTGCCTTTTGAAAATATTTTAATCGACTTTTAACTATCTGTATCAAGCCAAGTTTTAATTTTAATATGAACCAATGGAAAAATCATTAGTTCTCTTTTATTCCTATTTTTTCAATTTTAGCCTAGTAAATGTTATATCTTTCTATCAAAATTGAGAATGTTGAGTAAATCTTTAGTATATAAGAGTACTATTACGCATTTAGACAAATTTACACTTTTGCTTATACAGATGTACAATAGATGTTTTTCTTTTTCTCTCAGTCATTTTTTTCTTTCTTATTCAAATTATACGCTTCTTATACTATTCCACCCACATTTTCTCCACGCTCGTTTATTTTAATACTATTTAATCTTTCTCACTGCTTTCTTATGGCAATTATTTTTGTATACTTAGAAATTAATGATATTTTTTTGCCTAAAGTATAGAAAACCTAAAGTGACATTATATATATATTATATATATATATATAATGATCAAAAGAGTGTTCGTTTCTTTTATACAGTAACGATATAAATCAATTTAGAGAAAACAATGTAAAAAACTATAATATACAATAGGGGAATACAAAAGAATACTAAGAGAAAAAGAAAAGAATAATAACAGCTTACCTGCAAAGGATTTTGGAGAAGAGAATTCACTAGAGTGTTTCCGTTTAGCAGTTGTCTAGTTAAAAAAAAAAAAGAAAAAACATAGGAAAAATTGAAAAAAAATGAAGAATAACAAATGTAGTTTGAAAAAAATATGCATATAATTAAGTCATTGAGGCTTTAAGTGAAAAGTAATTAGCTTTTTAATTAAAAAAGAGAAAAGAGGAAAAAAAAAAGAGAATAATCTTACAGTTATCAAACCACCCACGTAATCATTAGCTACGTCGTCTTGTATTTTTGAATCAAATTTTAATGGTGAATATAACTCCGCACTTCTTAGAATTTCTAACGCCGAGTCTAAAGCGTTTTCAGTTTGCGGTGTTGTCTCTTTAACCATATTAATAACGTTGATAACTCGCATAATTGGAGCGTCTAACATGACGCTTTGTTGCTGAGCAAAGCGCGTTAGGAAAGAATCTTTTCGTTTTGAAGTTATGCCAACAGTTCCGTTTGACGTTTCCTTATGAAAATCGGGTGAAATACGCCGAACCGTCACCAGAAGGTCAGAGACGTATTCGACTGTGCAACGACCTGATTCGGCTTTCCAAGAGTATTTGGTTTCGGTTGATAATGAGTTTCTGATTTCGTCGGGAATGGGTGGACGATGATCAGCAAAGATTTGCTTAAATGAGGCGTTTGAATAACACGTAACATCGCTGGAGGCTTCACGAATTTCTACGGCGTCGGTGCAATTCTCAAGGGCAGCTAAAACAGCACTGCTAACCCTGAGTTTTAGGTTGGTTTTGACGAGATCAAATAGTACTAAAAGATCATCATAAGCATCTTGTTTGGAGACGGTATGGAATAGACGCTGTATTTCATAAAAAAGCAAGAGAAAGCCAATATTAAATATATACAAAATGAATGTGGAAGTATAAAACGTTAAAGGAATACATTTTTTTATTTCAATTGGCCTATAATTTCAATTATTTTAAAAACAGAGTATATATTGAACAGTTTGTTGCTTATTCAAAAAATTATCTCTCATAAATCTATTAGTTGCGATTAATTTTCACGATTCGAAATATATAAATAAAATTTCATATATGTAATTCATTTTTTTATGACCTACTTTCTGTAATGTATTAAATAATAATAAAAAAGAGCAGCTTTTACTTTCCTAGATATTAGTATCTGTGACCTTTTCTATTTCATTTCTACATATTGGGAGAGAAAGAGTTGAGAAAGCGAGATATTTTGTTAAAACCAGTAAAATGTTAGATATAGAGCCATTTCCTTAATTTCTTTAGTTCAATTTCAATGAAATAGCCACGATGTACAACTGTATATTGATTCGACTTAGTCACCTAGAAAATTGTTGAGCTCTATATAATCTTTTTCTTTAACGCGTCTTGCAGCTTTTATCAATTAATTATTCGGAAAGGAGGGAGGAGACAGGAGGTAGGGGGTGGAAAAGGGAAAGAGGAAAAAGGGGAAAATTGCCTAAGTCACCTTGACAGACGATTCAACCTTGTTTAGGGTTGAGCTATACTAGCTCTTTTTTTATAAGATTATTTTAAGCTCACAAGGGTCAAATCAAGTTTATTCCTATCATTAATAATTTATATGATTTAATGATAGTAGATTTACTTGTATTCTCCTAACCGCTTACTCTTTTTTTAATATCCCTATTTAAATAATCAAAGTAGCAATTGGACTGTAGTTAGTTAGAAATATTGAATAAATGACTCAGCTATAAAGAATAAAAAGAAGAGAGAAGCGACCAGTCAATCATTCAAATATTGGACATTCAAACTAATGTTCTTAAAAGATATTAATCAACTAATTAGATAAAATATAATATATTCATATCATGCTAGCTAAATTTATTTCTTTTTATTTCTAAAAGTAGATTTAAATAGAAAATTTCTATCTATTCTTATTCAAGTTTATACAAGTTAGTTAAACTCTTTCACAGTTAGGAATTTACTGTACTAAGCGAATGGAAAGAGAAGACGATCTGCATATCTAAGTATAATTTCTGTTGAAATACATAAATGAGGTTTAGAAAAGCTTAGAGGAGTTAGAGGTGGTAGAAAAATACTAAGTAAATATTATATATATATATACATATATATATTTATTTTAATATATATATATAATCTTTATATATAATATTTACAGTAAAACACATAGAGTATGTAAGATTAATATTACTAGGGTGTTTTATAATACATAGACTTGTATACCCATACTTTGTTCCATATGGGACTTGTATACTGATACTTAACTGTTAAAATATATCTTGGGTAGATCAATTTCAATTTGAACGACATTGATCTGACCTTCAGACTCTTTGCATGGTTAATAGTTTATACAATTTTTGCCATATTGTATATCAGAGCAAACTGGTTATGGTAAAGATATATCTTTGATAGCTTCTCTTTAACGACAAGCCGTCATGCTCACTTTCTACCTACATTTTATTCCCTGTGTTTTCCTCCTTCCCTCTCTCTCTCCCCAACCCCCAACTATCCTTATTTCTATTTCTCTTTCTCTCTCTTTAAACACCCCTCGAAATAAAGTAAATAAAAGATATTTATACAAATAGGGGTAATTTTCTAACTTAATTTAAAGGAATTCCTTTTCTTTAAACTCTACCTACAAATTTACAAGTAATAATAGTTTGATAATAATTTCAAGTGGACGATAAAAAAGATTTAAATATATGGGAACAAGTAGGAGAGAGGTAGAAAAAAAACTAGTGATAAAAAGCTGGATAGATAACTAGATAGATAGATAGAAATAGAGAGCAGAAAGAGTCTGAAATGTATCTTTTAAGGTTGCTGACGTATTTGAGAGTTTCTATTTCGTTAGCTTTTGTGCGGTAAAGTATTGCTAGAAAAACTCTTTAGGATACTCCTTAACCTGTAATATTGACCTATTTTTTCGAAAATGTTTAAATGTTACGTAGCCAAGTTCAATGTCCATGGCCAAGGGCAAAAATTGTTTTTTTGAAACTATCTTAAGCAGTAAGGCTTTGGAAATGTTTAAAGTATGATTAATAAGATTAATAATAAAGAAGAATGTATTATAGTAAGATGGAATTATGGATATAAGTAATATTTTCGATATTAAAAACTAGCAATTAAATTATTCCATTTAGATATATTGCATAGATTATATATGTATATCTGTAGATAATGTATGTTCTATACTAATTTACAGTATACTGTATATATATAATCCAACAGAAAGAAACAAATCTCTCAAAGACATTTTGATTAATATGAAAATCTTTAAGAATTCTCATTCTGTCTCTCCTTCAAGCCTACTCAGTTTCTTTGTCTCGAATTTACTTCTTTACCGACATTGTCAGAAACGATTGAAGTTATTATATTTTATTCTCTGATTAAATTCTTTTTAATTTCAAGGAATCAGATAGAAAAAAAGGAACTGCCAAGTACAAAAGAGGCATTTTCATCAAAAGCGGATTGTGTGAATAGACCATGGCCACTCTTATCTACATATATATTTGATTTTTATTTACCTACACTATTGTTCGATAATGATATTTTATGTTTACACCCCAAACCTTTAACTAATAGATTCTGTATATTCAACATTCTACTTTTCATGAAACTGATGTAACAAAGTAAAGGGGAAGATGACAAGCAAAAATACTAAATGTAAAACATTGTTCTTTTGAAAAATTAGTTCTATTTTGTTCAAAATTAGCATCCTAAAGAGAAACTCTGTCTCTCCTAACCCTGCAAGTCATTCTAAATTCTATCGCATTTCCTTGCATAGAAACAAAGTCAAGCTGCGTCTAAAAATATGATTATATTCCATTTACAGACATTACAGTGGGGAGTAATTCGAAACAAACGAAATAAAGTTGTGAATGCACTAACCTTGTAAAAAAAACCTAGAAAACTAGACTACAAAATGTTTTTCTGTATTCTGTTATTTTTTTTTCTTAGACATAAACAGATCAATCCTAAATACTTTTCTCTAACAATATGATAATAGAATATTCTTATATTCCTCTATTTTCGCTTAGTTTTTTCATTTTTATTACAAAAATTTGTATTTAAAATTTATAACTACTTACATAATTATATCCAGTTGCTAATAAAGCTCCTACGTCCGTCTTATCGCCCTCCGACCTATTGATGTGAAAGAGAAACAAAAAATAAGCAATTATTAAGAAAAAATTAGGTTAAATAGTTCCTCGGGGAACACTCGGTAAAGAGAACTTCAAAATGCAAAATATAGGCAATTTAGGAAAACATGCACAAGAAGAGGGAAAAAAATAAAACTCCAATTACTATATTTAAAAAAATAAGTATCTATATATAAATATATATATACTGTATAAATTATATATATATACATATATATACATACTGCATATATACTAATATATACATAATTATATATATATATAAAATATATATTCATATATGTAAATAGGAAAAAAAAAGTGTCTAAATGAGTCAGAAATACGACCTTTTAGAAGAACATACTCCCGACCGCAATCTACGGCTGCAAAAATCGAAATGATGTTTTTTTTTTTGTTTTGGCTTTTTTTTTTCTTTTTAGATTTTTGTTTTATTAAGAAACTAAAATAAATCAAAGAAAGAAAAAGAAAGAAAAAGGAAGTGTGAAAATAAACTTTTTAGTGTTGGTGTGTCTTAAATATCTTTATTTTAGTTTTTGGAATAGTTTTTTCTTTTTTTTTTAAAAAAACAAATATAAAAGAAACAGGTAAATAATTAAACGTCAGAAAAAGAGAAAAATAATCAATTATAATGAACAATTTTTTCCCTTAGGTCTTTTTAGATTGTTACATTTTGCTTTCTTGTCTTTTTTTATGGATATTTTAATGCTTTAATTTGTACTTAAAAAGATTTCTCTCTAATGTTACTTACCGTTGATTTTTCGGTATTATGGCCGCAATAATGGCAAATTCATTTTGGTTACGTAACGCCTTACACAGCGAATCAACATCGAAACTTGGCGTTCTTCTATCCAACAGAAAGATATCTACAGAAGTTGATGGAATATTTTCAGTTGTTTCATGGACATCGCAGGGACAACTTGAATGGGCAGCCGCTTTAATAAATGCGTCAATGCAAGTATCCTTTTTAGGTGTTACAATAGATATCTGCCGGGGGAAAAATAATTATTAGAAAAGACCTATACAAAAGGAAATAATAATAAATATATAAATAAACATAAGAGTAAGCCAATAAATAGAATACGATATATTTAACTTAGCTACCAGCCTAAAATGAAAGGTGCATTTTATATAATTAAAAGATAAAACAAATGTTGTAATTGAGCGTAAGAGTTTAGCATGAAATCTTCAAAAGATTGTAAGTAGCTTATACCATAATAAATCAGTAATAAAACAGGTAGAAATAGGGTGTTAAAAAATGGTAGTATTTTTTGTAGATAGTATAAAATAGCTTAAGTAGTTTTGTATACATAAAGCAAGTTTGTTTTCATTTTTTTCCTTTCAACAAGTCGTATAATATTCGTTTTTTATATATTATATATGCAGTATATATATATATATATATATAAATACAGATAAATATCAATTGTACTATAGAGATATTTTGTTACAGGTTTAAGTGCAGAACAATTATAGAAATAATTAATCTTGATGATATGTTAGAAGATCTGAACAATGCAGTCGAGACTTATATTTAAATACATGTTTATACTGTATGAATATATAACTAGAGACTTTTTATGCGAATATAACCTGTTTATACAACTTAAAAGTAATAAACGTGGATAAGAGAGAGAGAGAGAGAGAGAGTGAGTGAAGACTATAGTTTATATAGAAATAATTACTAAATTTGTTTCCCAAAGAAATCACTTAACTAAAAAAAACAAGAACTTTATACGAAAGGAATAGGAACACTATGCTAGTGGGGTTTTTTTGTATATTTAAAGATCAATCATAGAACTGTTGTGAGAGTATTGGAAAAAAATTGTTATTGATATGGAAAGGTAAGTGGGAGGCCAGAAACAGGAATTATTAATAATAAATAATAATTCATTAATTGTCAATATATTAGAAATTGAGTAATTAGTATTTACACTTCGTAGCTGTTGCTTAGTAACAACTAAAGGTGTAATTGAGATAATTTAAAATCGATAAAACATTTTGTGGGTGTAAATTAAGTTTTATTGAAATCCCTGAAAGTTCTTAATTTAAGTTGCAACAGGCAACAAAAGCGTAATCATCGCATTAGTATAATTCCAATTTCTAATTAATTAAGTTAATTAAACAAACAAAAATATGTAAATTTCATTTTATATTATTTTCAGAAAACTTTATGTATGAAGATGTATGAATATATGCAAATAAATAACGCATACGTGAATATATAGTATGTTAAATGATAATAGATGTTTTCTAATATATTCAATAACTGATAAATCAGCTCCTAAAGTAGTTGACTAACACTTCTATTCTTATCTTTAATATCTGAATGGAATTTTTGTCTATATTATTAAAATTATTACTTTTAATATATTTGAAAAAAATATTTAAAGTCAGTGAAATCTTACTTTCAAGTTAATTTATTAACCTTTTAATTTTTAATTAATTATTTGAAAGAGAAAATGTTAGAAGAAAATAAGAGAAATTCAATCTTTCTATACATATATACAGTATATATGTTATATAACATATTCTATAACATTTGAGAATATAAAAGCATAAAATATATGCCAAAAGCTCAATAAAACACAATGTCTTGTCAAGTAAAACCTTGCAATTATTTTCATTTTTCTCTTTTTTTTCTATCTGTCTTTCAATTTTTTTTTAATTTACTCTTTAAATTTTACATTTCTTTTGTTAAAAGAAGCAAGAGTCTTGTCTGTGATTTGAAGAAATTCCATGCTAAATTATGCGGCTAGATAAACTAGTCGACCTCGTAATCCGAAAGCTCTCAGTTCGGTAAAATCAATCAAATAACAAGAGCAGATTCGGATGAAAGAGAAAAAGGCGTAAATTTTCCCTTTTCTTCTAATCATTTTTATGAAGTAGTCGCTACTTGGGGGGTAACGGTTTACGAACACTATATTATATCGAGACTATAAATAAATACATATTCAATATGTGTATATCGCATATCTCTAACCCTGTTTATAATTATTCATAAGGGAAGAAACGACAATATTAACCTAACATATTCCAGCACACTTTAAATAAATATCGTAAATATTCGTACTGATGCGTGCTACCAGTTCAATAAATAAAGAAAAAAGTTTATTGAGCAACAATTAAGCGGATCGATATCAATTTTGTCAATATTTAGAGTAAATATCGGTTTTCTTCAATTTAATAAAACCTTTAAAAATCAGTGTCTCCCCGAAAAAAATAAACAATTGTTCTATCAGGCAAAGAAATAGTGTCAATATCTTGTCCTTATTGTGGGAAACGCTCCAGTTTTGGGAAAATATCAACTAAATCAAGCAGTAGAGTGAACTATTAGAGGATTAGGTTGAAATAAACTTTGAAGGAAAGAATTATTTAGGACCTTTTGGGAACAAAAAGTAAGTCAACAATAAAAATATACTGTATTTATGATAAAATTTCTTTTCAACGATGATCTTTCGTATTTATTAGATATATCTTTTAGTAGTACTGTCCCCACCTAGCTTTGTTATAAGAGGAACTTGAGCTGGCCTGCCCTTTTCGAAAATGTCGCAGGGTAAGAGTATATATATATATGTGAATGGGACGGGGAGCTGACATTCGTTTTATTTCTTTTTTTCAATGGTCGGCTGAGTTTGAAAGAAGGTTGAGATAAATTTTCGCTTTTAACAGTGAATTCGGAAAAGAATACCATTTTTGGTGAAAAATTGCACATGATGATAAATGAACGACTAATAATTTAGAAAAGGGAGGGATAAAGGCAGTGTGAAATAGAAAAGAAAGACATGGATAGGGGAATGGGAGACGGGGTGGGAGAGAAATGAGAAGAAAGAAATAGTAAAAACATAATTTAATTAAATGTTATTTTACTCTCTTGCCCATTTTATCTCTAGTAAGAAAATATAAGGTTATACGATAGCTTTTTATCCAATTTAAACACATATATTATTGCCGAGAAGCAAGGAAATAAGACGGCATATAGAGGTGATTTATTTCTCTTTTTTTTCCTTTATTTCTCATTCTCACTCTCTTTCTCCTTGTCAACCTTTCCTTATGTCCTTGTCCCTTAATGCCCTCATCATCTTCTTCTTCTTCTTCCAGTGTCTTAAGCGCTATTTGCTAAGGTTATTGATACATTTATGATTTCCTTTGACTGACAAAAAAAGAAAGGCAGCAATAACACCTGTCACTATATTAATTTAATCCAATAAGCCTTGCAAAAAAAAAAATTTACGTCTGTTCTCTTCCTTCTTATCTAAAAGAATATGCCAGAAAAATTTAGGAAATGCGAATTAGAGTTACCATAACAAGGGATTACTCGGTCGAGTGCAATTCGTTGCATAGTTGTAACAAAATTGTTTATACACTTAAACCGAAAAAATAAGGCAAGATTACCAGGTTTTCAACTTATTTTCAAAATACAAAGATATATTTATATCCTATATCTATATACATATATGATAGTGCTAAACTGCTTAAGAAAAAGAGTAAAGAGAAATAGAAAAAAGCCTTACAAAAATAAATTCAACCTTCAATAGAAAAAAATAAAGGAAATAAAGAGAGAAAGAGAGGGAGGGAGAGATAGAGAAGAGAGACAGGGAGAGACAGACATAGAGAAAGAGAGAAATAAAGAAAACTAGATTGAATACATCAACATTTTATTCCTTATTTATATTCTTATAATACAATCATCATAACTTGAAAAGCATTTAATAGTCGTCAAATATTTTGTTTATTTATTTACAGTATTGAAGTGTTCGTTATATAATCTATTCTGTTTCTTTGAACGTTCAGGAAAGTAATTTATATATATATATATATATAATAAAAAAAATAGATAAAGAAATAGAAAAACAACATCAAAATCTCAATATCCATAACAAGTTCGTAAAAAGAAAGACGTAATTTTCTTATTAAAAGAAACAAAAAAGAGCAAGAGAGAGAGAAAGAAAGAAAGAAAGATAGATAGATAAGGACATAGAGAGAGAGAGAGAGAGAGAGAGAGAGAGAGAGAGGGAGAGACAGAGACACAGAAGGGAAAAGGGAAGGGAGCTAAGGAAGAGGGATTCTTGAAGATTTCTAATATAATTGATGAACGAATATTAAAGATAAAGTATTAAAGTCAAATAGTAAATATAGTAAAAAAAAAAAAAACAAAAAAGAACAAGGAAAAAAAAAACTCACCCTTGGTACTTTATAAGGAAATACTATACGTGCCAAATTCTCCATTTGACGTTCGTTCTGTAAAAATAAATGGCGGGAAGATGTAAAAATATTCAATTACTCGTTTATCTAATAAACGTTAGACAATTAACGGCTCAGGCGAATAATCTTCCAGGATGATATATTTATATATATATACATACATACTGTATATATACAAAAACAAGGATAGTTTAGAATTATGTGCAATCAACATTTCAAGATAACTATACATTTACAGTTAATATGCCCTATATTTATATATATATATGTCCTAAATTTATTATTCTACATATTCTCTTATAAACATTTATACATATTAAAGAACTTTTTATGTCATATATAAATTTTCACACGTATGCTTTATAAAATATATGCATAAAATTATTTGAAAATATTTCGTCTGCTAAATGATCTTTGTGATAAGTAAAAACAAGGAGGTTGGTAAGAATTAATTAATTACCTCTTAATTAAGCAAACAGGCAAAAATAAACGGGCATGTGCAGATTCAGTTGGATTGGCTTCTTATTGCTTAGATTATCCGCAGCCGAATATTTTCATATTCAACACAGTTAATCGCCTAAATCCTCCTTCGCTCTATAAATAATAACTAAGCTTCTAGTATACTGAACTACTACTATAGAACTAACAATAAGGCGGCCTAGAGATATCGGCCTTTGATAGATGGCGCTGTCGCAGAGTCGATTCTCGGTCGTCAAGGAAACCGACATATTTTTTCGTATACAGATTGGCACATAGAATTTAGAATATTTACTTTTATTTTTTTGTTGCTTCTTATTATGTAATCCGAATTATGAAGAACTTGTCCATTGGTCGTATCCGATAAGCTAATACTCGGCGTGCAACCCATTGTATTATCCGAAATTGCTGCAAACTTTGTCACGTGATTTGTTTACCGTCACACAGTCGAGATAAGAAGTTTAAACGTTTTTGTACAAATACTTTTATAGCTTAGATACAACTGAGGACTCCGATATCCTATAGGTTAGGCATTCTTGAGCGACATCTCATGGCCTTCTATAATTATATAAGTAGATAAGAAAAGAAAGAAAACTGGTGACAATTAAATACAAACTGTCTTGAAAATCATACAAGAAAACCCAAAAATATTGCTATCTCCTTTATATCTCTAGCTTATTTGCATAGGCATATATTTGTGTAAATATATATATATATATATATATACTAATATGTATATGTATATATAATTTATACTGTACATATATATATACATGCATATACTATCTATACATTCAGATATATATATGTATCTATAAGCAGAGAACCTAACTTATTGCATGTTTATTAAGCACTGTTAAAATTAGTTAAACTAGGTAAAGGTTCAGAGTAGTAATCATAAGACAATGACGTACTATAAAGCCTAAAGCTGTATGAGAGAACAAAGTGACTCAATTGATAAGTAGAATGTAATCTTTAAGCGGGCGTATACATCTGCCTTCTAATTGGATACGTTATCGTATATCGATAGAAAGCATTCTCAAGAAACAAAGTCTTTTAATGTCCTTTTTATTTGTTTTTTTTTTCATTTCTCTTTCTCCTATCTTTTTATTTTCTTTCTTTTTTTTGTATTTTCTTTTTTTCTTTAAAAAAAAACTCAACCCAATAATTAATACATTGGTTTCAGAAAATCTGTAATTTTTTACACTTTTCATTCATCTTCTACTCTTACACTTTACATTCATCTTCATCCTCCCCCTTCTCATTGTCCGCCACCCCCCTCTTTTTTTCTATACTATTTTTCATTCTAAATTCTTTTTTCTTTTTTTTCATCCTTCCACCTTTTCATACTTCTACCCTATCTTCTTCTCTCTATCTAGGTTAAAAAATGTTTCTGTTAAAAATAACTATTTATTCATAAATTTATAAAAGACTACCCTTAAAGGTTAGTTCCTTACATCTTAAGCTAATAATTTTAGGTTATTTAGATTATTGAATCAAGATTTATTGCTTTGTCTAAGTTTGTTTTATTAGGTTGTAGAATGCTGCCATGAGTAATTAGGATGTTTTATCAATACATCTTAAATATAAGAAAAAACTTCTTCTCTAATTGCTTTAAGTAATTTATAATATAAAGAATATTTATAAAAGAAATCTTAACGTAAAATTCAGACGTTATAGTTTTAAATTGAGTAAATAACATTCTCAACTCTATCGTGTTAACTAACTGTGTTGACTGTTTTAAATTCTTGCTATTCGCTAAGATGGTACAGGCAAACATACAATCTCCTTGCTCTCTTTCATCTTTCATACAGTTTTCCTTCTTTCTCTTACTCACTCACTCTCTCTCTCTCTCTCACAAACACACCCACATATACTCTCTCTTTCCCTCCTTCTCCCTCTGTCTGTGTCTCTCTTCCTCTGAATAGAGTATATGTACGGCGTATGTACTATATATTTTCATCTTTTTTCCATCTTGAATAAATAAATACAGTAAATATTTTATATAGGCAACTAGAAAAAACCTGTTGATGTATGCATATGCACTGGCTTCTCTGCTGAGTTCTTGTTCTCTTTGAATGTTATTAATAATCGAACCTTTCTCCAGTATGTGTGTGTTCGATTAAATTGATATGTACAAAAATCCAAAGTCTTTTCTTACTTTAAAGGTAAAATTACTTTTTTCTTTTTCCTTTACAGACTAATGATTAATACTTACGTACAAGCTGCAACAGTTTTAATTTGTTTACATAAGTATAATACTCATTAGAATCTTGATAAGAAAATGTAATTAAAAGTTATTAATCGCTTATAAAAAGACCACATTTTTATTAAAATAAGTACTTTGTTACAATTTATAATATTAATTTATAGGAAAATATTACAAGTATGAATAAAACATGAAAAAAGAGAATGAAGAGTGAATGAAAGAGAGAGAGAGAGAGAGAGAGATAGAGACTGTATTAAATATAAAAATTAAAAAAACCATTCCATCTGCGTTTGTAATCTTTCTCTCTTCCATTAATCAAAACTGCAGAGGAAAATATTAGCAAACTGAGCGAGAACGATGCATACCCATCATTAACCTTTGAGCATGCGACAAACATTAAATAGTGTTATAGCTAAAGAATGAAAGAGGATTTCTTACACTTAATTACTCGGTTAAAGAGACATTTTAGACATTTTATGAACTCTGCGTTTCAATCTTATTTCAAATATAATAATATATGTAATAAGTAAATCTAGCCATCTATGTATAGTGTGTAGGTGATTTTTCTATTATATTAATCAATCATTCCTTACACGATTAAAATTTGTTATCCGTTCCTTTTTCCTAAATTATTTACCGTAACGCCATCTATGTTCAAGAAATAATAACATAAAGACATCATTTTCTATGGCAGTAATACGATATTTGAGTTTTTAGCATTAAAGAAAAGAAAATGCTAACGTGATTATAAAACTACTATAAGAATTGGGTGGGTGGAAAGATGATAAGAAGGACAAAAAGAGAAATGGGAATAAACTATTAAAAAGATCAGATGGTCAATCTATATTGAGAAGGAAAAAAAGAACGCTAACCTTTACAAACTTTGTGTTAGTTTTTCGTTAATCCCTCATTATATTTGTAACTCAAGAATATAGTGATAACTTAAAGATTAATGTCAAGTAACATTTCCAAAAATTCCTTTTTTATAGGATAATAAAAAGAAAGAAATTGTTTATATTTAAATATCTGCTCTTTTATAAAGACTATAAAAGAAAAATAGAATTACTTTGTTTAAAGTAGCAAATAAAGTTATTTATATACAAATGAATAAATTTGCGTCTTCTTCTTTTCTTTCTCTTTCCGCCTGTCTCTCTCTCTCTAGTTGACATAAAACTTTAGGTGGCACAAGAACAATTCTTTTTTCATCTTTAATCAAGAGAAAAGGGTATCACTCATCCTCTAATAAACCGATTTTCGACTTGATGTGATCTTCCTTAACGCCAATAAGACGACGTGTTTCGCGGATGCCAAATATAGTTTGCTCTTTACAAATTTTCCTCATTTAGGAAGATTTTAGCGAGTTGGCTTACTTAGAAAAATTTATTAACTTTAAAACTTTGTCAAGCCTAAAGATATTTCTATGAAAAAAGTCTATAAAGGGTAAAATAAGGAGAGTAATCTTTAATTATACTGTATTTACGCTTCATCAGCTACTATCTCATTTTCTAAAAGTTTTAATTTGTTAAAAACAATCAATCATGATCACAAATATTCAGGTGAAGGAATACAATATAGATATAAAAAATTATATAGTAACTCTAAAGAGTATACACAGTTTACAGGTCAACTAATTTTAGATGTGAGTTATCTTTTAAAAAGCTTTCAGTGTTTTCTTTTGTCTCATATAAAGATTATATACACTCATTTAATAATTATCCTTCTTGGTTACCTCCTTAATGACTAATCTTTTACTTGAAAACTTTTAAAACATTTAAGAGATTTAATTAGCCTAATTTAAACTCGAATATTAATTAATTAAAGCAATACTATAGAGAGATGCCTTGTAGATTCTTCATACTTAACAATAATAGTTATATTTTGAAATATTGGTTTTTTATCATTCTATTATTGTTTGATTACTTCAAAACAATTTATGTTGACGGTTATTTAATTAATTATTTTATAGTTTTCTTAACAGAGGTCAGTCATTTACGATTATCAATACTATCAAGATTTTAATATAAAAAAAATAAGAGTTGGTTTTTGTACAAAACAAAATATAAAAAGATGTTAAAGCTGTTTAAAGGCAGCTAAAAATTTCATGGCCTGCACTGGACCCACGTGACTAATACTAAGGTTGAATTTTTACACAAATGTCATAGGCATAACAAAATTATAAAAGTTATTAAGCACTTGTAATTTAATAAGCCAGAGGGAGTGATACGAGTAACGCAAAAGGGATAGAAAGTAACTAGCAGGTGAATAGAGGTTCCAACCTACAACAGTCTGTTGGGGACGTGTATAAGGGTGGAAATTCTTCCAATTCCTCATTAAAATTATTTGAAATAATAACTTGATGGTTTATAAGTTTTTTCTTGTCATGCTTTATCACTCCTTGCTGAAAATGGGTCTCGATCTAAATACATTAAAAAATAAGTTATTTACATTTTCAGTTAAACGATTAACTTACTCGAATAAAATAGTCATGCGTTATTAAACTTTGACCTTCTAAAACTTTACTGGGAATACTGTCGTGTGGAACCAATAACGCTTCCTCAAAATTAGTTAATGCACCGTTTGATATGTCATTAAATTCGAATGAGCTCAGTACGGTTTCACGGGTCCAGTTAGGTCCTCTAAATAATTCAAGATTTGATGGTAAATGTTCACTTGTATCGTAAGCGTTCAATTTGTCGTTCTGTCTATCATAGCAGAGGAAGTTTGCACCAAAGGTATATTTAAATATCTGTTAAAAATATTGATTATTTATAAATTTAGTGATTAAAATATAGTAAAATTTTCCATACACTAATTAATTGAACTAGAACTTTCTTTATTTTCAAGCCACTTGTATTATGAATAAATCCATGAAAATTTACTGTACTTCCAGGTAAGAATAAGTTTCTATTCTCGAATGCAATTTTTATATTACCATTTCGATTAATTAAATTATTCGGAAAATATTCAAAAGTATAAGAATAATTTTTCTGTTGCATAGAAATATGTTAATTAATTAATTAAAAGGAAAACTGTTTACATATATCTTTCATATAAAAAAAGAAATTTTATATTTTTTACTTTAGATTGTATTTCAATACTTTTCGGTGAAATGACGTCTAGATATTTACAAGATGTTCTTGTTAGATCGTCGACATTTGATATTGAACATTCCACTTTATATTTTATTGATCCTCTCCTAAAATAAAAGATAAACTAAATCAAAATTTTAATTGTTTAACAATTATTTGTAATAATACAAACGAATCATCAGTTACAATTGTCTGCGGATTGTCTTCTGGTATTAGAAATTCTATTTGCCAATTGGTTTCACCCTCTCTTAATAAACGGAGAGAATCTTTCATATTTAATAAAAACGAGCACTCTTTTAAAATTGGTTGATTTATCCTAATAAGTATTTTTATTTACCTTCTGACTCATCCCTTATTATATATTTTTTATCTATAATTGATTTTATTATACGTCCTCTTCCCTTTATAATATCATCTGGATTATGTGGACCATTTATTGATTCTACATTTGTTATTACTTCGAGATATAAAACAATTTCAAATCCTGTATAGATTAAAAGTTTTATGAGTCCAATTTAAATTCTATTCTAAGTTTCTTTGCTCCTCAATTCAAATTTTTATTATTTCTTTCCTTTACCTTTGACATACAAAGAGATTATTGTATCAATAACAATGTTTAAACGAAAAGGTCTTCCAATAACAATTGATTTTTCCGGGTTGACTCTTTCTATAATAAATTTATTAAGATCCATTCCTTCCTCTTCTATTTCGTAATCATCAGATATATAATACGCTTCCTCTTTTATGACTGTTAAACTCTATGGCACATTTATTCTATTTTTTTCTCAGATTTTTTATTTAAAATAACACCATGCATTTCGTTTATCCTCTTATTGAGAATTTACATACGGGTTGTTTGCTTACTCATAAAATCCCTTCGTCAACAAGGTAGAAAACCAGGTATTATCACTATGGAATGCAATAAAAAGGGAAAATATGACAACGCAGAATCTGTATTAAGAAGTTTTTTAATTTTTTGTACAAGACGATATCTAACCTTTATTTCATGTATTCAAAAATTGCTACAAAATCATTTTATACACAATTTATAAGTAAAATATTAAAGGCTCAGACTTGATTTCAATTATTTTCAATACTCTTATTGATAAAATGTATTACTATTCCAATAGATGGCAGCATTATGTGATACAATAGGTTTGTATAGAAAAAAAACTGTTAATTGTAAGAAGGAAAGAAAGAGGTGGGAGGAAGAGAGAGGGAGGGGGGAAGGGAATAATTCTCTCTTTCTCATGCTTTCATCACCAAAGTAATATAGAACTATGAATATAAATGTAGAGAAAACGATTCATAGAAAAAAAACTTAAAATCATAAAAAAACATAAGTATTACATTTATCTTAACGTTATCATTAGAAAACAGCTGTGTTTTCAGTTGTTTTTTCTTGTATAAATAAGGTTGAAACAGGTCATACATTCTCTGTGTACTTTAATTTGTAAGCCAAGACTACAGAAAATGTATAAAATTATTGCCTACCTTGTCTTTCTGACTGCTCTTGGTTCGAATCATTCTACTTCGGAAAGTTCTCCAATAATAATTTTCTACTTTCAGCTTCTGCTGCTGTTAGATACACTGCCGTAAATGAGCAAACCAATGGTAACCAATTTAGACATGAGCATTTATCTAATGAACCGGTTGGGAGTGAATTTATCAAAGTTATGGAGGAAGCCCAGAAAGAAAATCCAGAAAAATTCAGGTAAAGTATTATAGTTTTATTTTGATTCATAAATATTTTGTAATACAAATTTTGTAGATTTGAAGCTATAGAATACGAGTGGGGAAAGATGATTGTCGAAATAAATGGAGTTAGAGCTAACGGACAAGATCGAACCTTTTGGGGATTTTTAAGAGAAGAAGAGAGCAGTCTTTGTATGATGAGAACTGGTAATTAATCATTTATTTTTAAATAGCTATTAAAAAATCTTTAAATTTCAGGAGTTTCCACTTACAAAATCAAGAAAGACGAGCATCTCTATATGAAATTCTTGACTTTCGATGACAGATATCCCCAATGTAAAGATTAGAAAAGATATAATTGAAGCTTCTGTACAACAATACAAACAGTAAATAAAACTAAGCTATCCAACATCTAATGATTTTACTCTTGAACTTTTAATTGCATTATATTCACAGTAACCGTTTAATTTTATTCTTACTGGGGAAAGAGACGGAATCTCGTAGAAATATTTGATTATCTTAAGAAAATTCGTTATTATTTACTTCCATGCGTTTTTATCTATCTAGGGAAAATGAAAGTATTTACAATACGTAGCTATACATGATAAATTCGTAAGGTCAACTTGTATAGAATTTCTTTTATATTTTTATTAGAGTTTTCCTCTAGAAAAGAAAGGTATAAAATTACATATTTTAAATCTTCTCTTGTTTTTTTATGACTTGAATTTATGGTATGGTAATTATCTTTGTTACTTGTTATGAAAGTCTTCGTTATCTAATCTTCCTCTCTCCAACCTTAATGAACCCTGCCTAATAAGAAAAAGAAAAATACCATTAAAAAGTACATATTCGTTTGTTTATTGGCTTAGTTAAGTTGATAATGAAGAAAATATCTTACAACAGTTCATTTGCAGTTTGTAATTCTTGAATCTTCTCCTGTGTTTTAGTCATCCATTCGTCGTATCTCGCTTGCCAGTTTAATTGAGTCTATTTAAAGATTTTAAAGTTGATTGTGTGATCAAATAGAAGTATATTTAGAAGGTAAAAGTCTAAATATAAACCTCAGCCTTTATCTTTTTCACGTTTTCGCACCAGGTTGCCTCTTTTACACTTAATTCGTCGAATAATTCGGAAACTTTTTTCTAAGTGAACGAAACCAAAAGACTTAGTTTAGCTATAAAAACGTCTATTATCAATTAGTGTAGAGATTGATTAAAGACTAAAGAGATTAATAACTTACAGTGAGATCTTCGTTTTCCAATTGTAAAGCAAATTTATCATCATTTAACTCTTTTATAATACCTTTTAACTTTCGAATCTCTTCTTCGTGATTGCATTGAAATTTGGTTTCCTTATTTTGCTTTGAGAGATAATTTTCCCTTTCGATCTCTAAATCACTGATTTTACGATAAAGAACTGAAATCTCTTCTTCGTGGTTGCATTTATTGTTAAGCTTCTTATTTTGATTATCTTCTCCTCTTTCCAGAGAAGAGTTAGAAGTTGAGGAATTTCTTCTATAACAAACACAAAATTCCATCTCTAAAGAACAAGCCCATTCAGAGAATGATTAAGCTAATAAGTATACCGTTGTATTCCGCATTGCACGTACTCCTTCTCTTTTCTAAGGACTGTTGTGTTTTTGGCTCTACGCAATTCATCCAATTTTCTCTTATACGATGTAATTTCAGATTCCATCTAGAGCAATAGATGGCGTTCAATATATTTTTAGTATATGTAAAGAATTGGAGATTTTTAAGGTACGAACCTCTTTAACCTTGCCTCTCAAAAGGGCAACCTCGTTAGTAAGGGAAACTTCCTTTTCGGCCTTGCCTTTATATCTCGACATCATTTAAATGATTTAAGCGACAATTTAGTCGTTTTACTCTCAAACATGAACCAGTCAATGGTCCGTACAAGCGGCTTGGAGACAATCTTCATTATATTACGAATCGATAGTTGGCCAGCAATCAATAGGGAATAGTTAGGAGCGTTATAAAAATATAATAAATAATGCACTAACGCCATCTAGTATCAAAATGATGTATGAGCAATAGTTTATTTATTTTAATATAAGATTAAAAAATGATAATAATAATATAAAACTGTTCTAATTTCCAACTAAGAATCACAATTATCTTCACTAAGAAACATATTTTTTTCATTTATAAATAATATCTATGATAGAAGGGAGTCGTTGTGTCAATATTGAGAAACGTTTAAGATGAGTTTCCTCTCATTGTATTTTGCCATAATAAATATCACTTCCTGAGACATCATCTGGTCCCTATCGTTGATTACAAATCTCTAATTGAAAACTTCTTTTCTATTTTTTCACCCACAAGTAACTCTAATTGATCGTACGGTTGGGTAGTTGGATAACCGGTGATATTATATTCTCCGTTCGCTCTTAATCTATTATCCCTAATTACGTACCAACCGCGATGCATATAGGGATTCAATTTAAAGTTGATAACGTTTAATTTCGAATGATTATCAATATTAAAATACAAATAGCCTGCTAAACCTCTGTAGTCTGAAGGATTTTTTATAGTTATATTTAATAGGCCTGGAATTGCTTTTATTACATTAAAGTCGAAATCTCTTGTAGGGGCTAGCATTGGAAACTTTTCAAAGTTCATTCCCAACTTAGCAATACCTTCTGTTGTAACGGCCCTCAGCGTTAAGTTCATTAGGCTATTTGGCCAATGATTTTTTATATCTAAGATAAAATCATCTATTCCTTTTTGTGCCGCCGTCTTTTTGATCTCTCTAATCAATTTGCTATTTGTTTCATTATAATGGAAAACCGGATGAGTGTATCTCCTTTCATTGTATTTAGTCCATTCATCCAGAGAGAAACAAATTCTTTCGTATTCCTTATCATTGACTACGCTTATCCTTTTATGCATTTTTTTATGACAACGTGGGCAATCGGCGAATTTGTTTATGGTAAGGTGATAAGCCTTAAGGAAGCCTTTAAAAACCTTTTCAGAGTCTTTATCCGAATAATATTTACTTATTAAGGGTATCCTTATTTTAGCGTATTTTTTACCATGCTCTTTTTCAGTAGTAGGTTGCAACTCCCAGTTAAAAGCTTTAAAGAAGTAAGTATGGGATATCCTCTTACCCCTATTCCTAAATAATTCAACCCCATCGTTAACAAAATTTGTACATGCAGAGTTAACAACCCTCCATTCTATTTTTATAGGTTGAAATAGTTGAAAATATAATGATACATTGTTTAGTTTGACTTTCCCATTATTAAGGGGAACGCTAAACTTAAAGTTTTTCTTTTCATTGATTGAATCCGTATCAATAAATTTGAACTGTAAAGAAGCCTTTTCAGAACAAAGATGAGATGGTATTGACCACGTAAGAAGAACTTGATCTGGTGTTAAAGAAGAGTAGATTTCCTTGTCACAAATGTTAAGCTTAAAGTTTAAATCTGTTTGGAGACAGTGGAACACGATATCATTTTTGTATATAAAATTATGATTAGAATGAAAACATAGTAGAACTAAATGGAAATTTATTAACTTAAACTGCGTATTGCATAATTAATCCTTATTTTTCGGGCTTTTAGTTTCCGATTAGATTATACCTTTTCATTAATTTCATTCGCTTCATATTATATCTTCTATGTCAGTAGATAAAAAGGAAACAAGGCAAGAAACGAAGAAGGTGTTTTAATGAGATAAAAATAGTGAAAAAAAACGACAGGCATCTAAAAGGTTCACTAAGAGGAATACGTTTTAAAAAGGTGTAAAGGTTTCGTAAGCCTTTTAATAGTAAATTATAGGCCGAATGGAATTAAGTCCGCAGGCGCCTTCTGAGCTCTTAGTACGTCGTAAATTATAAAATCTTTATATAGCTATATATCTATATGACACATCCATATACAGTAAACTGTATATTTATAAGAATAATGGACAATAAGAGATTGAAAAGCGAAATTGTTCAATTAATTTTCTCGTTTTAAGTGTCAAAAATCTTGAAACAGCCATTCTCTTACAAGTAATGATATAATACAGAAACTTGAAGCTCTTACAGCGGACACTTGTTTGTAGAAAAGTATAAAGAAGTTTATTCTTAAAATAAAAGATTAAATAGCTATTATCTTCTTTTAAAGACTGTTATAAAATATATACAATTGATTTATTCAGTTGGAAACATATAGCTGGTATTTACGTATATATCATCTTATGTATAATATATAATATCTTCCTACAAATACTTGTTTATACAATGAAAACGAATACAAAAATCTAGTTTATTTGGATTCCTTTTACAGTCTTAAATCAATTTATAATTATAATTGAATGAAAATTATATACATGTAATAGAAGGTTGTTTGATCTCAAATTATATCTTCAAGTTCTCTTATATTTATTGATCTTCTTATCATATTGTAATTGTTTTTTTTTTGTTCGTATTTTCGTATATAGGTTGAAATAACCCTTTCCCCACCAATTATTAATAAACACTTCAAAATATTTCATTACAATCTATGGATTAGTTTGCTAAATCAAAGTGATGAAGCTGTACGTAGATATCTAGTTGACCTATATACTACTGTCACAACAATCCTTTCGTTACTGGTCTATTTAAACCATACTTTCCCCACTATTTAGACTAGTTGAAATCATCGTCCTACTATAAGGATGTATAGGAAAGCGAATGCGTGAGTTAGTGAGCGAGCGAGTGAAAATGAGGTAGGAAAGGAGAGAGAGAGAAAGATAACAAAACTATTTATAAAATTGTCAAATTATCTATTAGGCCTATTCGGGGAAAATTAGATTTTCTTTATTTGTATAAATTTTATACAAATACGTGAAAGAAATGATTGAAAATATTTTACAAGATTGATGCTGTTTATAGGAAACAGAAAATAAAGTAAATAAATTAGTGGGAATTCTTTTCAATTATAATGCGTAACGTAAAGCGTAATTAGCCTTAATCCGGGTGTAATGGAGAAGCTGTGTTACCATACTTTGTTCCTGCCAAAACAGATATATAGAAATGGGACTTTAGGACACTGATCTGGAAAAAGATAAAAGAAGGAAAGAAAGAAAAAAAGAATCTTATTCTTCTTAGCTTTTTTCTTTGTTTGGAGAAAGAGACAATAACTTCCCAAATCGACTATATAAAAACTAATAAATCAAGAATCAGTATGTAATTTAAGTTATTTAAATGGTGCCAAAGTTAAATTTATAACTAACTCTAACTTAAAACGGATATTTATTGTTTTTATGAAAACTTTTATAAAACTTTTATCAAAGAGCTTGAAACAAAGTTAATACAAAAACTTCTTATATTTCAAGGTGAAAAAAAAGCAGAGTGTATAAAAAAGGTACAAAGGTAAAAAGAAATGTTGGAGGAGGAGGAAGGGCAGAGAGAGAAAGAAGAAAATGAAAGAGAGTAAGAAATGGTAGAGGTATATACAGTATATATATATATATATATATATATAGAGAGAGAGAGAGAGAGAGCGAGAGGAAGAAAGAAAGTTAAGGGAAAATAGAGAAGAGGAAAGGGGGTGAGGAGAAGTATAAATATGAAGGGAAAAAAGAAAACAAAGGATATATTTATACAAAAACTTTGTTTTAAATAATCGATACGAAAATGTTAAAATAAACGAATTGGGGAGGTTAAATAAGACTAAAAGAAATAAACAATAAATGCATATATTACACATATGTATATATATGTAGATATAGCTGTATATTTTTCTATATGAGTGCAAAGGATTGGTGTAACGTGAACGTTATACTTTCTTGCCTACATTGAGATAATGAATCCAAAAATGAAAAAAAAGAAAACTTACCTATTTTAGTAGAAATAATGACGATAAAATTGAATTTAAATATCAATAAGAAACCACTAAAATTCTTCATTTTTTAATCTTCTTTTCACTCTTCCGAAAGTATTTATTTTCATAAAAAATATGATGAAATTCTTTGTATATTTTCTCTCTTCTTTTTAATTTATTTCGTTTATAGAAATATAGAGAAACAAAATAAAACGTTGCAAAAAAATATATATAACTAAAAAGTATAAACGAAAATATAAAGTTCTGCAAAACGCTCTTCAGCTCCGCTTTATCCTGGGTATCCAGCCGTTCGAATAGCGAAAACCGTAAAGCCGCTTTGGCTATAATAGTTCGCACTTTTGTAGATGTTCTGTGTAGGCTTTGCCACACGCTTAAAAGGGGAATTGGAACCAGTCTATATATCGAATTTTCTTTCTCTCCTTCTCTCTCTCCATCTCTCCCTTTGCTTGTCTGTCTATCTCACTCCCACTATTTCCCTCTGGTTCTTTTGTACTTCCGTCTCCTTCAACTGTACCAAATCTCATAATTATGTAATTTTAACCTTTGCTTATTTATTCTTTTTTCATCTAGCCAGTAAGAAGTAACACACTATTTAGAATCTGGTTCTCTCCAACAGAGAGCGCGCCTTTTTTCTATATTCAAAAAGACGAAAAGGCCTATCAATGCTAGTCTTGTGTTTACAGCTGCGGAAATTGATTTAATATAGTGCAACATCTGATTAGTTTGTTTTAAGATTATTGGCTTTACCTATATTTTTTTCTTTATAGTATGAATTTCATAGTAAAGTAGAAAGATTAAAGCTAAAGGCTTTCCTGTTTATTATAAACAGGCAATTTTTCTTTCTCTTGTGGCAGCGAATTTGTTTAATTTCGTTTACGTTCTATAAATCTTCTTTTACTATTTGAAATGGCCCGGAAAAACTTTCATACAAAATGAAAAATATCTTAACTACTTACCGCACGTGCATACATTAGCTATAAAAGAACAGATACCAATATACAGTATACACTTTTGATATATGTTATTAAAATTCGTAAATATATGATTTTTAATATAGAATTTTGATTGGAATATAGCAACAACAACGACAGAATAATATAGTGTCATGCTTCACCTATTGGAACAAATTGCACTTAAAGACTGTGAATTTAAAACGTTTAGTTTATATTATAATAGAAAGAAATTTAATTAACAAGTTATTTAACTTTTCTACGTTTTTATATTACAGTATAATATTCCATTTTTTTTTATTCTGCAAAAAAAGTCCTTGAAACGCCCATCTAGGCACGTTAAGTTTGGAGGTTTCCAATTTCAGTTTGTCATCTTGACAACTATGACTCCTTTTTTCCGCAAAAGGATACTCTATATCACATTAGACATGGTAGTTTATTTTGAAAAAAATAAGTTTGCCTCACAACATAAATAAATAGAATTGGGAGAAAAGTTAGAAAAGGCGAAATATACTCATCAATGAAAGAAGAATAGACGGAAGAATCAATTAATATGGAACAAATCAAAATGTTAAGCCGTATTTAACATACATCATTCCATATTTGGTAATCTCATAGGGCATAACAAAATGAATAAAAGAGGGAAAAAAAAGTGAAAACAACCTTTATTGAAGGTGTTAAATAGTTGAATGAAAAGCCCTGAGGTTATGTTATAGATTTCAGTAAAAGATTAACCCATTTATGTCAAGTCACGCAATTAGTGCATAAAATTGCGGCATACGGTAAACTGCATCATGAATTATTACGGGTGAATCGCCTAAAGCTAATGAGTATCTTTTTTGTGTAACGTACATCTTCTCTTTTACATAACGGGAATCTCTTCTTTGCTTCTCTGCTGTTTTTTCCAGGTATAAATATAGATTTCACATAAATTCAAAAACATTAAACATCTGTGTTGCATTTGAAAAAAAAGTACTAAGTACACAAAGTACGTTACGTAATATGCTCAAGCTTCTCTTTACACCGAATATTAAATACCTATAAATTTTAGCAAATGGTTAACTTAAGGAAAACTAAGTCTAAAGAAAACAGATTAAGTGGATTATTATGGAGAAAAGCATGATGTACAATTTGTTGTTGTATCTACAATTTAAATTGGTTTTAGTATAAAATACATTGAAAAACATTTTAAAGAACAGAGAAGTGATAAAAATAAAAAATTAGAGGATAATTTTTTTGGCAATCTTTCAAAATTTGTATTACGTACAACTTCCGGGCAGTAAACAAGATGGTATTTGCATAAAAAAAAATCCGCTAAATTTTCTTTCTTTTCTCTCTCTCTCTCTCCCTCTCTCTCTCTTTCTCTTTATACCGTTTTAATTTGGTCTAGTGAGCTACTGATTTTTTTCTTTTTTGTCCATTATTACGTTTTGTACCTATAAATAGATTTTATAAGCATATGATTTTTTTCCCTCCTATACTATATTTTTATTGTAATAAGATCGATTAACCCTATATCAGTTGGGGTGAAGTTAGTAAACAAACTCTTACAGAATATTGTCCAGATCAGATGCAGGTGTAGGAACCGATTTGCCAAAGAGCAAGTGGCTTTTGTCAGTTTTTATCCTACTGCAACTCAAAATAAACTTTTTCCTCCCTTTCTGAGTTTACTTGACAGATTCTTTAGTTCATTTAAACTTAACAGCTTTTTCTTTTTTATATGCAAATTTTTGGCATTATTTTTATTATGAATTAAAATCGAAGAAAAAACTTTTATTGACTTTTTTTTTTATTAAAAAAAAAGATATTAACTTTTTTTACAATTAAAGAGAGAAAACAAGGAAGATTTTTTATTAAAAACTTTTAACTATCGTATATTAAGCGCCACCTAACAACAAATTTTGCATTGAATAAACACTGCTAGAAACATTATGGAATCGTTGTACGTAGTAAAGTTAAATATGGGAGGTGAAATGGAGGAAATTGGTCATATTTAATGGAAATGTGACAGTGTCAAATAAAGTTTTATACAGAGAAAATCATAAGCTATTATATAAGTTTATCATAGAAGGTGAAAAATGACAAGTTCTTCAGTGAACAATAACAATTTGAACAAGATTAGCTATTGGACAAATTGCAACCAATCACGATAGGGCGTCGAACCGTCTATTTATGTTAGTTTCAAGACACGTCTCTTTCTAGCTGCTATATTTCGACTTTTTCACTGAAAAGTTGTGTAAGTAACATTTTCTTTAATCAAAAATTTTTTTATTTGAAAGATTTTCCAATTATTTCCTTTAATGAAAAAGCTTTCATTCTCTAATTCCCCCCCCCTATTTTTACTTTTAAATCTCTTCTTTCATTCATCTTTTTTTCTGTAGTGTGTAAAAATTTTAAAGCATATACAATTATCTAACTATAAAGAATAGTTAAGTACAAATCAATCGATTAATCGATCGATTGATTAATTAATTTATTTATTCATTCTATTAAAAAAGAAAATAGTTTATTAATTTCTGTTTTTAAAAAAAAAATATTAATAACAAAAAAAAAATGAAAATCGTTTTTGTTGAAAAATGTTGATTTGTTTAAAATAGGATATTCTTCTTTTCAATTACTCTTTCAAATATTTTCTGATACAGTAAAAGAGTGTTTTCATCTTAAAAACACTAAATAGGAAATTAATAGCTGTACATTTGAAAGCTGTACACAAATTACGTTTGCATACATAATGACCTTTGTAAATTAATCGATTTATATGAAAAATGTTGAATTTACATTAATTAGGCACTCTGATTGTTTTCATTTTTCATCAAAAGTTTCATTTTATTCTTCTCTCTTTTCTCTTCTCTTCTCTTCTCTTCTCTTTTCATGTAATCTATATTTATTTTATTTTAGTAAAAAAAAATATTTCCGCATAAATTAACAGTAAATAAATAAAAGCTTCGACGGTTACGCATGACAGAACATCTCAATTAGTTTGCCTTTTTTCTCCTTCTATTTACGTGATTACGTTCTATGTCGTTTTACCAATACATCAATACTTTCGGGAAAATTGCTTCACCCTATACAATTGATAAAAAGTAAACGGTTTGTCATTTCTGACGTATGTAGTCGGGAGGCAATATTTCTTGAGAAAAGGAGTAATGCCAAGGTCAATTCTAAGGAGACAAACCGAAAAATACGCGACATACTCTACGTCTTCACAAAAGAATTATTATCAATAGCTGACTGACTGGCCCGTATGAAAGAGTTGATGGGCTGAAGGGGAAATAGTGACGGTAAAATCGCTTAGTGCAGTAAACTAGGGAATCGAAGCTGCGTACTCGTCCGTCTTTCTTGTCGGAAAGTTTTTCTATAATTATAGTTATTGAATATAGGGCTATTTTTCTTCCTTCTAGATTAGCTTGGAAGAAAATATGCATTGGATTAGATTGATCTGTTCGATTACCTTTATGATTACGCTACTGAGCGTCTCTGTACCAGTTGATGCAAGAAAGAAAAGAGACAAGGAAAAGAAGAAGCGCAAAGATTTGGTGGAAAACGGAAAATGCCAATTACAGGTTGCATGCGAAGAATTCGGCGATTACTCAGTTAGAGTTCCAGTAAAGGGACCTAGAGGACCTCAAGGATTACCAGGAGAGAAGGGCAGTCGAGGTGAAGCTGGAAATCCAGGAAGTATCGGAACTCCAGGTAACACAACCTTTCATTTTTCATGTTAAATTGATGATCATTGATTTCTTTTATTGATTTTTAATCGATCGTTCACACGCTGCTTGATTGCTTTCTCTTGTTGAAACGATTGATTGGCAAAGAGTATATTTTAACATTAGAAAGGTTTAAGGATGTTTATGTGGAAAATTTAGTATATTATTCAATGTTTATTCCAACAATTATTTAATTATTGTCAATTTCCCAACCAACAATCTGCCAGAAACTTAAAACTTCAATCTTTTGAAAATTTTTATATTTTAAAGTCATAATAGAATAATCTCTTTTTCGATAAATCACCCATTTTCATTACTTATTAAATATGAAAAAGTAGACGCCTTTATCAAAACCAAATCTCCATACAATATTAGGAAGTATTGTTATTCTATAAGCTCGATGCCATCAAAATTCATCGCTAGATATTGGTGAGAGTAGAAGCAGGGAGCCATTGGGTATTAAGCAATTCGTCCAACTCAAAGACCAATAAAACTACTAGATTACAACCATTTTAGGTTTAAAGTTAAGTCAGAATCGTCTATTAATTTTTACTTTATTCACCTCTATCTCTTGAAGAGCCTCTCATTTCAGTGATTTGACAAGTGACGCCTTAACTGTAATGCCTGCGGGGTAGAGCTTGTTCGCAAATGGGGATACCACTAGAGATAATTCTGCAGTAAATATTCTAGAAAAGATATAATCAAACGAATATTATAAAGTTTGTTTAGACAGCGTGTTTTGTCATATCTTCTCCAAATAATTCAGTAATTTTAAGTAAATCCCTTAAAAGATTGTAAAGATACATCTGCTTTTTTTTCTTCAAAGAAAGAAAGATATATATTTATATTGTAAGAGAGCGAGAGAGAGAGAGAGAAAGAGAGAAAGAAAGAGAGAAATATAGTGAGAGAAAGCACATTGGGAAGGAAAAAGTAAAGATAAACCAAGGGGAAAAAGCCAGAGAAGCAAGAAGGGAAAATGCTTTTCTTTTTATACGTCTTCCCTTTTAGCACCAACATGAATTTTTGAGAAGTTTCTTAGACTGTTTCATTAAATTTTTTACTACTAATTTTATATATAGATCTATATACTGCATATATATATAGTATATATATATATATATATATATATATATATATATATTTATACTTGTATACTTATCACTACATTTACTTAAAAATTGGATCATTAATTATTCATAAACTATTTATATATAGTAAATTCTCTTCAAATAACGTAGTAAAGGTTCTGAACTTTCACACTAATATACTGGTACATTTAGAGTGTTGTACTCGTTCTAATTTATAGCTAATTGACAAATGTAGGCTTTACCTGTCAGCTAACTTGCCCTTGTCACGAAACAAGTAAAGTTAAGGGAAGAACGAAAACGATCAAGTAGATGCTTTCTGTGGCTGTAAATTTCTGGAATTGTTACAAGTTAAATATCCCTTTTTGTCAGTATTTTTGAAAAAAACAGGGAAAATGGCGAATAATATTTCCTTACTCTTCACATTTTCATTTCCTTCTCTATTCTCTTTTGAAAAACAAAATTGATTGGATTTGTGCTTGAAGGGGGAAAAAATAATGCTGTATGTATTCAACCTTACGACAGCGTCAAAAACATCGGTTCTTAATGGTTATTGAGGTTAAATAAGGTTCAGTAATTCTATTAAGGATGTCGTAAATGTTTTACGCGATAAGGAAATTTAGGTACAATTTTTTGGTTCGTTAAGCAAATTTAGTGAAAGGAAAAATTTCTATGTTTAGATGGAGAAAATGCAGAATGTAATCGTTTACCTTAACATATTCCTTCCTCTTTTCTTTTCCTCTTGATGAAATGAAATTAGAAGACTATTTCGTCAAAAAGATACATTTTCTACAAAATCTTTCTTATAGTAGCTTACGTAATTACGTAAATTTGCATAAATTTAAATAAGCCTTTACGATATTCTGTGCAGAAATATTTTAATAGGAGAGAAAGTAATATAAATTTTATGTCCAGTAATGGATTTTTCTACTTAATTAATTAATGAAGTATAATAAGAGGAAAGGAATAAGACGGTAGAATAAATCAAATTTATTGTGTAATATATTTAATAAGCATCAAGATGTTAAAAAATGTAAGACTATACAGGAATAGTGATTTTCTTTTTAAAATATATCTAGGTATCCCTGCACCAGAAAGGAGAGCAGTCGCTTTTTATGCAGGACTAAGAATGAATGCTGGAAAAGAAGATGGGGGAAAAACTGTAAAATTCGACAAAGTCATATCGAATATTGGTGATGCGTACGAACCTAATACAGGAAGATTTACAGCATTAGACGGTGGAGTCTATAAATTTGACGTAGTCATATCGGCCCAGGGTAGACATAAGGTAAGAAAAAAAACGACTTAAATTTTAAAATTCCGTCTCCAGACGCTCGATTTCTTTCGCATAACTTTTCGCCTGATCTCCCAGTAGGAATAGTCTTTTTTGTATCTATCATTTGCAGACTGTTTATTTAGACAAAATATATCTGCAAAACAATTCCTCTACATAACATCAGTAGCCAACTTAAGAGTGTCCTGCCAAAAAAAGGCGTCACACCCTTCTCCCCCTCCCCCCTCCTTTTTATGAATTGCTTTTATCTTAGAAAAAAAAACAAAAAGACGCTCAACGTGTTATATAGCTTTTAGTAACCTATTAGAAATGCTTTTAAACAAGCTGGAAAAAAAAAGCTATTAAATATCTCCGATAATTCGAGTCTAAAGTAAATAATATAAAAAGACGATTAAACTTGCTATTAATTCGATGTTTTTTAAAACTGTTTCATTCAACTGTTTGCCCCCTACTTCAATTTATTAATCATACAAATTTTAATGACATTGTTTAAAAGTACTTGAAAGTACTGTATCGATTGTTCTTAATAATTTCACGATACTTGAAAAGATTTCTTTTTCTTTTTAATCAATATATAAATAAGTCGATAGACTAACAATTTCTTTTGTTTCTTATATAATTAAACAAACTAAAAATACTATGTCATTATGTAATAAAAGAAATCAAACGTTCTTGTAAAACTCTTCCTCCCTTTTCGATATTTTTTAATCCTTTTTAATTATTATCATTATTTCGCTTTCAGTCTTGGTATCTCTTTGTCTTTATCCTTTCCTACCTCTCCCTGTCCCTCTCCCACCCTTTGGATAATATTATATTTTCTCTTTTCTTCTTTCTTCTTTTCCTATTAACGTTTCTCTTTACGTTTTCTTTTTTTAGGCTGCTGTTGACCTTTTAAAAAATGGAAAGAATATAGTCTCGATTTGGGCGGAAAGCATCCCCTACTGGTCAACTGCAAGTAACAACGCCATCTTGTATTTGAAACGAGGTGATTACGTGGAAGTGAGACTAAGAGAAAAAGCTCCTTACCTACACGGTTATATGTATTCGACGTTTAGTGGTCACATGTTGTACGAGAATAGTATCATTGATAAGGATATTATTGAAGCCAAGCTTTAAGGAACTTGAGAAAAATTTCAAAAAATGAATCATTATAAAGTCTAGATGGCATTACTTGTAACTCCTCAATCTATCTATCTATCTATCTATTTTCTTTCTATCTATCTCTCTCTCTCTCTCTCTCTATGCTTATACAATACTCTCCTAACCAGAAATTTCTCCATATACAAATCCAATTGTTTACTCCATGTATAAATACATGAACAATATATAAGAGTCATCTGTAAAGTGTATTTTAGATAAAAAGTAATCTGTTTTTAAACTGTGTTATATTTCGCATAGTTATCATTTTTAGTTAGTTGAAATAATGTACTATAATAAAAAAATTCTTAAAAAAAGGATGATTTGTCTATGTCTCTGATGTTGAGTTAAATAAATACACAAATATTTAAAAAAAATCATAAAGGATGCCTTGTTTCTCTTCTATTAATTATTTATCATTGTTTACTATCTTTTACTTTCTTTGGAAATTGTCTTTCTTTCTCCTTTTTTTTTGATTTTATTAAATATTAATTAAGATTATCAAACGGATTGTTTTTTAATCCGAGTTATTTATCTAATTAAAATAATAAAATTAATTATCATAATTTAGTTAGATCAATTAAAATGTAACATTATGGATATTGTTACATTTCGAGATAGTGTCTCACTCTCGTAGCCATGTTGTTTTTTCTCCCGAAACTACCTCTTGAATATCAATGAGAAGGTCATTATCATCATATTTCTTTCATTCCCCTAATCTCCATTTTGGTTTGTCTAGAATAAGGCATAAGCAAATTTCCTGGAAAAGCCTTAAAATTCTGGCTATTTTTACATACCAATTTGATTTTTATGAGCATCCCAATTTCTTTTCTTTTGTCTCTGGAACAATAGAAAATGATTAATAGGAGTTTTTTCTACATTCTCTATAGCCAGTAACGATTAATTTACATGATAAAACCATTGGTGATACGTTTAAACTATGAGTTTTCTCTACATTGTGAAGAAGTCTATCAAAAAAAAAAGGATGAAAAGTTTTTTATTTACCTGGAAAGACGAAAAAGAAGAGGAGGAAGAGGAAGAAGGTGAGACCTGAAAGAAGAATGAATGGAACAAAATATACTTGTATTAATGCGAGTAATAAAAAGAAATTTACAAATATACAAAAGAGAGTTTTTTTTAAATTGTAAGCATATATTATATGTAATATATACAAGAGGAAAAGCTTCATTTTAATTAGACATGAGTCCTATTACATTGCTTCAAATCTTCTAAACAATAATGCAAACATTCTACCACTGAGAAATAATATATACTATTTAATCAATATAAAAGAATTAATGATTTCCATTACCAGAAAAATTGTCAATAGAACGTCTGTTTTTTTACTTACATTCGGTATGGGAAGTTTGATAATTAATGATATAGATACGAATAGCTATTTTTTAAAGATTAAAGAAGAGAAATTATTCATTTTTATTAAAGGTAAACTAGATTTAAGACAACATCTTGAAGTTTTGGATTAGCTATGAAATGTATCAAAGAAATTTAGTAGAATGGTGCCTTTTTTTATTCAAACGAAAAAGAAAATAAAGTGAAAAATAGAAAGGTGGATTGGGAAAAAATGACTGAACTCTTATTCTTAAAAGGCTTTAAGAGATGTTAATATAATTTGCATACTGCATTCAACTCAATCTGTAAGCCCTTAGAAGATTTTTTTTCTCTTTTATAGAAAAATTCTTGTATTAAGGAATAAAATATTACAAATAAAATTCCCTTTTGTTTTTGTTATGTCTCTCATTTCTAATCCTTGATCCCACTTCCTCCCCTATCTCCAATCGGTCTTTTTTTACAATTTGATGGATATTTCATGTAATTATACTATCGAATTATTCATGCAAGAATGAAAGTTTAATTGAAAATAGCTTTATACAGGTTTTGAAATGTTTCTTTAAGTAGTTTTGTTAATCCACATGATCATCCTGTCTTATGTGATTCGCCGTCTCTAGTTAATTAGAAATTAGTCACACTATTAGCTGTATATTTACCATTAAACCATTGTTGTTATTACTAATTTAACAAACTGAAAGCATTACAGATTCAATGGAAAAATGAGGCATTTTTAAGGATTAGTTATTGGTAAACTGAACAATGTTCTTTGTTCTTTTTATTATAATTGCCTAGTTACTTTTAACGGTTGATTGATATATCAATTTAAGATGGATAATTACCCTGTCTGCCTTTGTTTCTCTTTCCTCTTTCCTTTTAATCTATAGACCTAAATCTTTGACATCAAATAATTATTGATAGGAGAGTGTTTACCATAAGAGATCCGTCAATGTTAGACTAGGAATATAAATTGAAATCATCTAGTATTAAACATTTAACTGATAGAAAACGAGGAGTTAAAGAAAAGATCACAAGTAGTACATTGAAGATATTAGCATAAAAGATTGCAATGGGTAAAGTTAACTCTAAATATTTGAATAATTATAGATACATTTTCAATGATTGTACTGAAATCGGGTAATTTCAAATTTGTTTTATGTCCCATCAACAAAGATTAATGGATGATGTCTTACTTATGTATGAATATTTATGTAGAATATACTGTCTCTAGGTGTAAATTGTATATATACTGTATACTGTATAAAAGTAAAATATAAGTATATTTTACTCTTTCTCTCGTTATCTTTTCTCTTCGTTGCAGTTTTTTTCGTCTGTAAGGCAAATAATCCTTCGAGTCTATCTACAATGCTGATAATTTCTTTTTCTAGTATCAAGTCTTTCTTAACATGTAGGTTTCGTGACCTGAAATATTACTTCACTTAAAGAAGAAGGCGTTAAATTGATTGTTTTTCAATAAAACATCTACATTTATCAGTAAATTTACCGTTAAAGTTTAATCGTTAATCCAATACATTCATCACAATTGGTATTATGCTTTATTATCAATACTATTGTATGCTCTGTATGGCGAGTTCCTGGCAACGTAGAAGGAAGAAGATAAGATGAGTAAACAACAGAGCAATAATCTTGTCCATGCTAATGCTTATATTCTTCTCTGTTACATTTAATTCTTAGATATTGGTTAACAAGCTATTGTTTGTCTTTCTTTCATGTATTGTCCTATAAAATCTGAAGTTAAATGGAACAAAGAAAATTGGATTTAAAAACAGTTGGGCCTTTATTTCTAATAGTTTAGATAATCCCTGAGGGCATCTGGAAGTAGTTTAGACACCAGAACTAAAGTTTTGTCATTCCGTTCATAAAACTCTAAATTAACCCAGTTTTGCAATGTTATTTACTTGTTTATATTTACCGTTTTATTCAAGTTTAATTTATATTTATATCCTGTTCGAAAAGTATTAATGTGTTCATTATTTATTTTTTGTATTCTTGTTATTTATATTTAATGGATTCAATATTTGAAAAATATGATTATGTTGAAGGAAAGAGAAATTCTTACACATCATAAGTAAAATAGAAAATTATACCTTGGCGCGAAATAAGGGTAAATAGCTCTTATTTCATTTGATATTATTCAATATTTCGCATCAAAAATTACTTGTTAGCTACAGCTGACAGAACATTTTACACGAACAAAGCAAGCAAACATACTGAGGTTTAAATTTCTACTTCAAAATGCGAAAGAGAATATAAAGGAGAAAAGTCAAGTTAGAGATAAACATAGAAAGAGAGTAAGGATAAGAGAGACAGGCGGACGAGTAGAGTATAGAGAGCTGAGGGTAAAGGGTTATATATACGCCAAAAAATGCTTGCTTATTTGTCAAATCATTCATTATTGCTCACGAAAAAAGGAAAAAAATTGTTTGTTATTAGCTGGTAGTTTGTCAATCTTTTAAAAATATCTCAACCAGTACCACAGAAAAATAATGTAAAGAAATGCTATTCTTTCCCGTTTATTTATAGAAAGTATTTAGTAATTTTTAGATTTATTTATACAAAGTCACACAGGGTTATTTATATATTTTATATATTTCCTTTAAAGTTATAGATAGAAATTTTCAGTTGTTGCTTTTTTTTCTTTTTTAAACGATTAGACTTTCAATTTAATGATTATATTACTTCAATTTATATAAAGGTTTTTCTGTTGTTGTTGAATACTGAAATATATATTGTATATATCTACAGTATATTTAGTATTATTGAATGTATATAAAAAAATTATATATAATAAATCTATACCTCTTCATAGGCTTACCCAAGTAGTCAACAGGGGGAGTAAATATCGTCCCCAAACCGAGCCACTTTCCAAACAGCCTTTACTTCATAACCTTAAAAACAAAAGAAGAAGCTTCTCTTAGCTAAAATGTTGAATATTACTGGAAATGAGAGTTTATCTAGTTACGAAATTTGGTTACATAATTTCTGTTACAAATTACTACTACCACTTATCTTAGGAGCCATTATGTTTATTGGTATTGCAGGTTGTATTTCTTATAAACAAATTTCTTCTCTTCTTTTTGTTTGCAGTATATATTTTAGAAAATCTAACTTGTTCTAATTCTTTTTTAGGGAACGCTATCGTAGCATTCTTAATATGTTTCAGGAAGACAATGAGAACAGAGATGAACTTGATGCTGTTGAATTTAGCTATTGCAGATTTAACTTTTTTGACAACTGTTGTACCCGTAACGGCTTATAAGTAAGATTCGACATTTACATAGATGTTATGTAATCTTCTCTCTTTCTCTATCTCTCTCTCCCTCTCTCCCTCTCTCTCTCTCTCTCTCTCTCTCTCTCTCTCTCTCTCTCTCTCTTCTCAAGTGTAGATTTAGATTTAAACAGTTGTATTAAATATATTTTATTTACATCACAGGCATGCAACGGATTCTTGGTTACTCGGTGATGTTGCTTGTAAACTATTACATTTTTTGTTATACGTTACATGTTTTGTAACAATTTATACTCTTGTTATAATTGCAGTTTACCGTTATGCTATTATTGTACAAGATTTAATTTGTTCAAAAGTTAAAGTGTGCTTTATACTCTTTTTTCTTTGGTTAATTGTTATATTATCTTGCATCCCTATTCTACTTATATATAGGGTTGAAAAATTTGAAATGCCGCCTTACGAACCGTATTGTTATTGTCATTTAGTAGAAAAGGGTAAGAATTCTTATCCTTTAACTCTAGGATTTTTTATACTTGGTTATGTTTTTCCATTGTTTATGATTGTTACATTGTATTTATTGATTTATAAATATTTAGAATTAATGGAAAAGAAGCCAACACTGAAATTCAATGATAATATAAAAAGATCAAATCAGATTGCAAAAGTTTTAGCAATTGTTGTCCTAGTATTTGCAGTTTGTTGGCTACCGCTACATGTGTTTCTATTATATGTTAATTTTACTAAACACGTAACCTTTTCTCTCTCGTTCAACCTAATTTTAATAATAACTCATGCATGTGCCTATTCAAATTCGGCTATAAATCCAATAATTTATAGTTTTGTAAGTAAAGAATTTAGAGATGCATTTAAAGGAATCCTTTACAATCCTTTCCGTTCGAAATTCTTCGCTAGAGATTCTTCTACAGGTGAACGTCTAAACACGGATCAAGATCAGGCTGGACAAACTCAACATTGTATAATAGAATAGTCAAATATTCATAACTCTTATAAGATTACAAAGGAAAATTTGTCGTTTTGGTGGAAACTTATCACTCTATCTAGTATTCGTGCTCTCTTCTGCTAAATGTAATTTAATATTCTCGTGCTAACTTATTTTCCTATTGAATATTCATTTATTCAAAGTGATACAATTTGAAATAAAAATTATGTATTTTACAGAGAGAAAATCAACGAAATAGCTTTAGCATTTATTTTAGTAAAATCAATTAATTAAAGTCCCTTATCCTACGTCAATAAATCGCAATCTAAACTCGCAAATAATCATGAATATTCGTAATAATTTCAAATTAATATAAACAGATGAGTAACTTAACATTCTACATAAGTTTTTGGGTATTTAGAATGTTTTATTTAAGGAAATCCCTTTAGAAAAACTGTATTAAAGCAAGACACGACTGATCTGACAACGCTAATAGTTGGGCTTCTTATGCTAAAATGGTACTTTCCTTTTTCAATTTTCTACCAGTTATATAGCTTATTCCTATTAAAAACCATGAAAATGATACTGTAATAATATTAAAAATAATAATGATTGAAATAAAATAATTAGCGCCATCTATCTTTAAAGGTGTAAGTAGTAAGCTAACTCAGAGCTGTAAGTCAAAGATAACAGATTTTCTTAGAATTGACGCACAAAGGCGTAAAATTATAACATTGTTGTTCTCTTTTAAAATGATAAAAAGGATGTTTTAGATACGTTTATTATAATTATTCCTATTTGATTCAAGAATTGAAGATAATTTAGGAAAAGAGTACGATTTAACAATCATTCTTACATAAGAATATTAAGGTTTTGAAGATACTTCCCTCTCTAGTAATAAGTTTTATGTTGGAGATGATAAATTATTAGCTAAATGCTATTAGTAGAAATATTAATAATGGAATTTGTCATATTTGTTGCACAAAAAGTGAACATTTTCTTAAAGCGTGAGAAATAGCAGTTTGTTAGATACGTTCGTTTCTAATTTTTATGTTGTTATTAAAGATTTCTTCCTTAAAGGATTGAAGAGAAATGGCAAGAGTTTTAATCTATTTCTTAATATCCTATCTTCTGAATGTAGTAGATTCAAACTGCTCGGAAGGTTGTCTTCCAAATTTTTCTTGTAACCCATACGATAACAAATGCTACGAGAATCCAACGCCAAGTACAAGGCCATCAGTATGGTTGGGTGAAGCTCCAGACAAATGTGACAGAACGGAAAAGCATTGTGAATTGTTTGGCTTAAACTATGATTCCTCTCATCCGAAAGGTGATGGGGAATTTTGTAGAAACGGTACAAAAGTGAGATGCTTAGTTCAGGAGAACATCGATCTGGAAACCACGCCATCAAATGAATTTCGTTATGTGACATATAACATCTTTGAAAGGGATTTTGCTATAACTTACGATGGTCAACGAGAAAGATCATGTCGTATAATTTACTGGATGATTAGAAATCATCCAAATATAGATGCATTTTCATTCCAAGAGACTTTTATGGGCGGCTGCTTTTCAGACGATAATCTAACTTTAAGGGATATGTTAACCTATTATGGTTTTGAATATTATACGCAAACAATTGAATCCGATTCTCAACCATCGAATGGAGGAATATTTATTGCTTCGAGATGGCCAATAGCCTTTAATTCAAGTTATGTGTATACTAATTACAAACCAGACTCTTGGGATTCTTTCGCCGCTAAAGGAATTGTCTATGCAAAAGTTATTAAAACTGTTAACCAAAAGGCTGAAATATATCATTTGGGTGGTACGCATTTACAGTCTGGTAAGCCAAAAACTTATCAAAGTCAACAATGTAAAGAAATAGCTGAATTTTTTGGAAATTTAAGTATACCTGAAACAGAGGCTGTTCTCATTGGAGGTGATTTTAACCTGAATCAATTATTATCAAACGATACAGAGGAAACTGAGAATTTGATCAAGTGTATGGAATATTTAAATGCTAACATTCCAGTAAATACTGGACCACTAAACGCAACTACCGATCCTACTACTAATGATCTATTGCAAATTTTAAAACCTAATAAAACCAAAAAGAATTGGATAGATTATGTTCTTCCAAGTATATCCTTTAAAAAACCAATTGAATCAAGTCAAACAGTTCTTCAACCGAAAGCTAGTGAAAAGTTTCCCATATGCTTATGTGAAAGATGCATTCCGTTGGACGACTACATTTACCCGGATGACCCTGAATGCGGGAGAGTTGTAAAAATAAGTCATCTTGCGGATCATTATCCCGTTCTTGGTAAATTTGTATTTCAATAAATAAAAACTAACGCTTTAAATAATCTATTTAGATGTAAAAACAAAACGCATTTTTCATGGTAAAATAAACATTTTACGTCATAATCTATAGTTAATCCTTTAATCTATGTACTTGCTAATCTCTATATTACCTAGAACGAGTTTAAATAGTATATTCCAGATTTCTGTAATTGTCTCTTTCCTCCTCAAGTTATCAAGTAGTGTATCATCCTTAAATGAACTTTTAAATTCATTTGAATATGTATTTTAAGCACAATTAATCAAGGTTCTAGGATAAAAATAGAACTGAATGTTTCGGATTTCACCTATGAAAATCTAAGGTTTTCTTAAATAAATATCTTTCGGAAAATGCTACTTTACAATACACGCTTTACTCTCTTTTGAAGATCTAGATAATATATAACGCTTTAGAAAGGGAGATTTTAAATAGGGTCTTGCGTTAGATTATCCTTTGAACAAAAAATTGGGTAAAAAATATCTATCAATTTGGTTCCTTATTTCATTTAGAGCTACGAATTTCAAGGATAATTAAATTAATTTAAGCATTTTTAGATAATTTATAGTTGAAAGGTTCGTTTGAGTTCTGGAATTTGAGATCTATTTTAGGCTTGATCAAGTTTATCTCTAAAATTTTTTCTTTTCTTATAGATGAAGACAAAGAAGAAAACATTCTATCTCTTATTCTTTTCTTTATTCTATTTTAATATCTGTAATAACAGTATAAAAACGTATTTATAGTCCAATATTTGTAAACACAATGCACACTACTATTAAATAAATTAGAAGCGCATTTATGTAAATATATGTATATAAAGCATATATATATACTGCAATAGCCTTAAATAACCAAGGACAATTGATATCCGAAGGGAATATTAAAACTTTTCTCTAAATTCGTATTCTTTTTGTTATTTCTTTCTTTGGTATATCTTTCTTGTTTTAATACATAGGTTAGTATAACCTATGATATATACTAAATATAAGCATATACATATACAGTATATATATATATATATATATATATTGTATATAACAGATATAGCTATCGTCTAACATTACGTAATTGTGGAATATAAGAAAGATTATTGATATAGGTTACACTTTTTTATAGAGTGAAGATACTAATGACTTGTTCTCGTATATCAATAATACTAGCTAACTAAGTATGGAGAGGAAAGCCATCAACTATATAAAATGTATACGTACAAAATTTCACTTCCTACCAATGAACTGTTAGAGTAACGTTTACTGTTGTGTAAACCTATTGAATGGAGAAAATGCAGCGGAAATATCTATACACTTATCATAAAAACTATAAATCGTATTAATAAGTCTTGTATATTATAACTTAAGTAAACAAGAAGGAAATCAGTTGAGAAATGTTCTTTAGTTTTTATATTAAGAATCTTTCCTATAAATACTTTAATAAATACGATTAAAAAAAGAGAAGAAAAGAATGATTATCGAAATCTGTACATGATTTCACCTTTGATTATAAACACTTATTGACTTTATACATTTGTTCTTAATAAATATTTTATTAATTTCTCTTATAATTTTTATCAATGAAAATATTCTATAACATTTAATATATCAAGCTAAAATTTTGTAATTATTAATGATTTATATTTTAAAAAAATAGGTCAAATATAAAGATCCATCTTTTATAAAAAACATAATCAGCAAGTATAATTTACATTGTATTAAATAACTGAATTTAGAACTTTTTTATCATTTAAAAAAACATTGATTGACTAGTTAACTTTTATTTACGTTTGTTCAATAAATTGGTGAATGAATATTTTCAAGTTGGATTTTATGGAATATTTATTCAGTTTGCTTGAATCTGATCTATTTTATTGAATTTTATTGAAAAAAATTGCTTTGTCGCTTCAATTAATCATAAGCTATTGTCATCTTGACTCGCTATCTCCTTCTTTTGTCTTTTCTTCCTTTTCTTCCCCAAAACTTTTAATATTCATGAAAGCATTTGTGAACATTTTATTTATATTCTCTATTAGTACACTAACACTCTGCGGTAAGCTTTTTTATAGTTGATGATACTTTTAAGGACAATTGATTGAAATATAGGTTCTACTTGTCAAAGAGATGAGGATTGCTCATACAATGGATTATGCATTGTTGGAAAGTGCAGCTGCAGCTATCCATTGAATGGAACAATTTGCAACTATGGTAATTAATAAAATAAGTATTCTATCTTATGTAATTAAGTTATTCATGGACAACTCAAGGAACCAAGATAAAATTCTATTTTCAACAACAAAGTTATGGTTCATCAATAGGATCAGAAATTCCAGTTAAAAACACTTCGGAATGCTTTGAAATTTGTCTCTCTATAGATATATGTGTTGGATTTTTCCTCTACTATAATAATAATATAAATCATATGAAGTGCTTTTTGAAAAGTCAAATTAACTATCCATTAACTTTTCATAGCAATGAGGATATAATTACTGTTATTTTAACTGGTAATAGAATTAACACAAAGCATTTACCTTCTTAAGCGTATACCATTTTATTTTCATTATCTTATAATTAGATAAAAAGCTTGGAATTTGTGGTAGTGAAACAATCTATACTGAACATCATTTAGAATGTTTAGAATTTCTATGGAAAAAGCATGGATGCTCTAATTTTGGATTAAAATTTTCTGAAAATCTACCAAAATGGATGTCTAACATGACTACAAAAGAAATTGAAGACGATATGATAAATGTTCTGTTACCACCAACCTTTTACATAAATACAAATGTTCAACCTAATAATTCAAGATGGTATCGTTACAGCTGCTTTGGACCTGGTTCAAAGGGTCATTACAACATAGCAGCTTTTAAAGATACTATAGTATCGAATCTTATTTCTCAAGACGATTTGTATCATCATTCTCATGTCGTTGATGGAACTTCACTTAGCGATATTAATTTAGGGAGTTGTACCAGAATGCCGTCTTCTAACCCTTGGATTGCCATTGATTTAAGAGAAATATACGATATAAGAACGATTGAAATCATTCCACCGAATTGCTGCAGTAATATTATCAAATAGCTTATCAATATTTATATATATACTGTATATTAATAATTACTATTAACTCGTTCAATTTCCGTTAAAGGTCAAAATCAAACTATTAGCGTCTACGCCTTTAGTACAGATAAATTTGTACTCAACGATACAGTATATGAAAACGAAATTTGCGATTATGATATTGATTTATTAACTGGATATGAGAGAAGAGTTATTGAATGTTTACCAAACTTAAAAGGGGGACGTTTCGTTAAAATTCAAGAAGAATCAAACAATAGCTTAACGTTATGCGAAATTTATATATATACAAGTAATATAATTTAATCATATTTAATCTTTGAGAAACAGATATTCTCTCCTTTATCCATATAGGCGATCTAGCTTTAGGTCAACCTTCATACTCTTCGAGCTCTCTCGATGAAACATCCTACCCTGGTGCAGCTGTTAGTGAATATTATAAATTGGGAGAATGCTTTGTTTCCATTGTGGAAGAAAGTCATCAATGGTTATCTGTTTATTTAGGTGGATTCTATCTTATTAGAAGTGCCGCTCTACTAACAAAAAGTTTGCATGACTTGGAAATTTTTCTAACAAGACAACATCCTGGTCTATTTTGGCCTCCTTTAGAGAGAGTTCTATGCAATAAACTAAAGAATATATCTGAAACTAATTTTCCATACATGGTTATTTGTTTAGAGGAAGCGACTGGTGAATTTATAGTTGTTTATAGTTTAAAGGACTTGCATGTTTGTCAACTACAAGTTTGGGGTGAGAAGTTAACTAAATCAGGTTTAGTATGATTTTTAATAACAGTTTAGCCTTATATTTTAGTATTTTAACGATTTTATTATAATTTTATTGATATGTCTTTTAGGAGAGAATACAAAAAATATTGCCTTGCATAGACCAGTAGCGCTATCTAGCGTACATGACCAGAAATATTCTCTGAGCTACTTTGCAACGGATGGATTATCTGATTCAAATATGGCAGCTACTGCTCAAGAAGATAATCCATGGATAAGCGTTGATCTCTTGAGGGTTTATTCCGTTAAAAATATAGGTATACTTATTAGGGCGGCAAAATCGGGTGAGGAATGGTTTTTGCATAAATCTATTACTTTATGACATTTATCATAAATCATTTGCGAAGCAGTTCTAGGAAGATATCGAAGAATAAGAGGTCACGTTGGAATTGATATAATAAATTATGAAAACGTCTCTATTAATGGAAACTGTTTTATTGAAAATGGAACAGATAGCAAAACCATCCTAAAAGGCTCATACAAATTTTGGAACTGTTCTAATGAAGGCCAAAGGGGTAGATTCGTTACAATACAATCACTTGACCAATCAGCAATACTTCATATTAATGAACTAGAAGTGTATGGAAGTGTTGATTTAGTGTACGATTTTCAAAGAATCAAATTTATAAATTGTGAAATAGAGGCTATAGATGATTCTTCGGCAGAAGTTCCGTCAAATCAAAAGTTTCCTATCAAAATAATTGATGATATTTTTATTCCATATAGCTTTATCAATCCAATTATTTCCTACATAATAATAAAACATTCTTACGAAAGCAGTATAATTATTTATTTCGATGATTTATATTTAGTAAAACAAATTGGCGTTCAACCACTGTATAATCTAAGCACTGGTGAGAATAGATATAAAATTTCTCTATTGATTATTAGATTATTAAAATGTTACCGGCAGTAAGCGTATTCCTGGAATAAGTGATGAGTTAATGTTTGCAAACTGTACTAGTTTTTTATTTGTAATTATAAAAGATTCTTTATTAGGTGCGAAAATAAATTCACTTATTACCTAGGTATTAGGTATATTGCCTGGTTCTTTCATTTATTGCTATTGCTACATTTTACTTATATATTTAATGTTTTTAAGAAAAATTCAACAACTTTACCGTAAACGTTGAAAGAATTGGTAGAAAGCAAAGGAAATTTTGCAGTTTCTTTTATACGAATAAGACACACCTCTATTCTTTAGAGTATTTCAATTGTCCAAACAAAACTTACGGAAATCTCCTTTCTATTTATAGAAGTGACTCGGTCAATTCATTGGTCATAAGTGAGATAATTGCATTGGGTTTAAAACATGACAATCCTATTGGTAAGCATTCTGTCGTTCTATTTACTATCTATAATATGTAATACTGTTCTACTTCTCAGTTCCCCAGGTTAACGGGTGTAAGTAGTTCTATGGAAAATTATTTTTAATATTTATGCAATCAATAAAGATTTATTTTTACTAATCCAAGCTCTCTGGATGATATATGGAACCAGATGGAAATTACTGAGACGTCTTATTGAACATACATTTTTAAACGTTTCAACTTTAAGAGAATGTTCATCAAGATGCTTAAAAGAAAATTGCGGAAGTTATTCTTATAGTTTTCAAATTAAAGTTTGTTTATTATCTAAATATGAAATAAATGGAATTGAAGATAAGGATGCTGTTGTTGTTAAAAGTAGACTTTATGTGACATTTACATATCTAGATGACGAAATTAACAATAAATATTGTTCGTTGAACGCTGTTACTTAATTTAAGAATACACAATTAAATGATTTTATATCTTATCTGATTTTATTTCACTTATATTATCAGTTTAAAATCAATCAAATAACTATATTTTTGTTATTAACTATTATAATATCTTCTTTAAGAAAGACGATGGAGAGGTCTTTCAAGGTTGAACAACATTTTATTTTGAGATGCATAATATATACATAAATTTATACATTTACATAAATCATGAATATTCACCTTGAACTACTTTCTACAAAGGAAAAGAAATAATAAAGAATAAATCATAAAGTAGCTATTTTTAAAGACACGTGTAAGGATTTATTGGCATAAGCGTATTTTCTTTTTATCTTAGGGGCGTTTCTCCTTCTTTGATTGTATATATAAGTTTAGTATAAATTGTATTTGTTATTGGTACACTTTTGAAAAAATCACAAGTATTTCATCAATTTAATTGGATTATCAAGAAAAGACGGAAAAGAAATAAATAACAAATAACTCGAGCAATTATGGATTCAGATATTGCTCCTCTTATTGATGAGGAACATAATAGAAATATGTCTAATCCAGGCACTGATTCTAACAACCGGCTGTCTGTTAGGAGAAAATTGAACGCCCTCGGGATATTAGTAACGGAAATGTGCGAGCGAATGACGTTTTACAGGTTATTAACCTCTAACGTAGCTTGCTCTCTTAAACAATAGTGTATAAGGTTAAAACTTCTATTTTAGTATATCGGGAAATATTGTAATATTTTGTCAAAATATGCTGAAATTTTCATCAGCAACTGCTGCAACCATAAATGGGGCATTCATAGGTTAAGAAAAATCATATATTTTATCATTTTCTCTAGTAGTTTAATAGCTATATATTTACAATTAGGAACATGTTATTTTAGCCCAATTCTGGGAGGAGCCATCGCAGATTCGTACGCTGGTAAATTCAATACTATACTTGGGGCGAGTTTTATATATTTCATCGGTAGGATGATCTTAATTATTCAAGTATTCTTTTAAGACGTTTAAACTTGATTTGAAGGTACATTAATTCTACCGTTAATTTCTTTGGATTATCAACATTTTAATTCGTCTTATTTTTTATCTCTGGTATGTTAAATCTTCTATTTTAAATGCCTAGTTTTCTATTAATTAATAAGAATTTTCCAACAGACTTTTCGAAGGGTACTTTTCTTTTTTTCAATAGTGTTCGTAGCAATAGGTACAGGAGGTATTAAGGCAAACGTTGGACCTTTTGGCGCCGACCAAGTTAAAGAGGGAGGTTCAAAAGCAGTTGAAGTATTCTTCTTCTGGTTTTATTGGTTCATCAACTGCGGAACAATATTTTCTTTTACTGTGGTAGTTTATTTACAACAAAACGTTAGTTTTGCAATTGGATACGCAGTACCTTCAGCAGGAATGTTGATTGCAATCAAAATATTTTTAGCTAAACGAAACCACTACGAACATCCAAAAATTCAAGGTTTTCACAAAAATTAAGAAACAAAAAAACTTAAATCAGCTTTTCACATTATAACTGAAACAATAACCTTCGTTTAGGGAGTGTACTGAAAAAAATGTTTGGTGTAGGCTTTTATCTTCTACGAAATTGTAGGAAAAGAGGAATAAATGATGCTAAAACATGCTTTGATAAGGCAAAAATAAATTTCGGAGGACCATATTCTAATGAAGATGTTACTAATTTTAAATTACTTTTAAAAGTTATTCCAATATTCTTATTTACAATTATTTATTGGACTTTAAATACACAGGTACTCTTCTTGTATTCTAATTTATTTTTCATACTTTACATTGTGCTTTATATATCTAGTCGGGATCATATTTTGTTATTCAAGGAGAGCGTTTGAGAGTTAAGGTTAACTCTTTTACTATACCAGTTGCTTCGTTGAATATCTTCAATTCTGTTTGTATTATGCTTTTTATTCCCTTGATGGATAGGGTAATTTATCCTTTAATGGATAAATTTGGTAAAAAGCCCACACAACTACAGAGATTAGGATTTGGAATGATTGTAATAACAACAAGCTTTCTTATAAGTGGAGGTTTAGAGATTGTTAGAAAGAAAGATATAGAGAAGAATGGTGTCATTCAACAAGTTATCGGTGATAAAACTTACAATGCATCACACGTTACCATTCTCGGGCAAATACCTCAATTTGCTCTAACTGGAGCTAGTGAAGTGTTCACAAGTATTACCAGTTTGGAATTTGCATATTCTCAAGCACCAAAATCGCTGAAAAGTGTAATAATGGGAATAAACTTGATGATGACTGGTTTAGGTAGTTATTTGGGATCTCTTCTTATAAATGTAATAAAAAAAGCAACGGCAAATGGTAAATATTGATTTTTTTCTAGAAATTATTACATATAGTAAACTATTAAACTATTAATTACCTAATTAGATCCATGGTTACCGGATGATATTAATAAGGGAAAACTGGAATATTTTTTCTTTTTGTTAGCTGGCTTAATGGCCTTAAATTTCCTAATATTCATACCAGTTTCAAAATCGTATCAATACGTGACAAAAGAGACAGATGAACTAGGAGAAGACAATGCAGAGGAGGAACATAAAAATGAGAATTAGTTAATCTATTTATATAAAACTATATTTAAATCAAAAACTACAAACGTTTCATTATAATGAAAATGTTAAAAAATTGATTTATGATTAATATACAACATATTTTATTTATATATATATATAAATATTTTCAATGCGATGTATATAAACATTGAACTTGTTAAAAGAGACTAGTGATCTTGCTTATGAATGAGTTATTTCCACGAAGAAAGTAATTGATTGACAAAATCTATATTGATTGTAAATCAATATTAAATCAATTATCGATTGCAAAGAGTATTTATGCTTATTGAACAAAATTTTCCTGTATTGAACACCATATTCATTCAATATAGCGATTTCTTACAAAACATCCGACAATTTCTTTTATTAATTAATTCAAAAAATATTTTAAAATGTCAATGAATAATTTAATTATTCAACAATTCAAATGATTTAACAGACATCAAACGTCTCCGATTAAAGAAAATAAATTAAAGATTGAATATTTATGACGTACTTATTTTGAAGAACGATTTGCTGTAGTATATTAGAATATTCTGTTTGTAAATGGAAAAAGGTTTATAGCAATAGTCTTCTAGGTCAGGAATACATTAAGAAGTAGTGTTCTGTTTTTTAATTCATCGAACTATATTTTCATTGGCTGCTATTATTTTAAACATGTAGCGCCCTCAGCTACCTTTCAAAATGTAGTTGCACATTAATACACTTATTCACATGATTAGATGAATTTGGAATTTATTTATTGGTACTATTCTACTACTGTTCAGCATCTGCATTTGAATATTAAACCTTCAAGGTATATACTGCACTGGCCTAAATCATTTGAAGATATATTGCATTAAACTATTTATAAATAAGTTCTTCATTGGATTCAAAGCTGCAAACATTAAAGAAATTATGAAAATATCTAAAATTACTTTGTGGTTGCTTTTTAAAATTTCTTTATATATTGAAAGTATTATTAACAATTTTTTATTTGTATTGTAATGTTCTATCATTTATGTCTATTTCTCTAGATGAAGCAGGAAATTGTGATCATATTTGTAGTCTGTTTTCGAGTTGTCAAGTTATACCTGGACTTTGCATGTGTAATGACAAATATGAAGAATTTTTTTGCAGCCATAGTAAGTATATTATAATAGTTGAAAAAAGAAAGCATTCCCAAGTATATCTTTCTTTTATAGGTAGATTTGCTAAAATTCTATTTCGACACGATAGTTCAGGAAATGATCTTGGTAGTTTCGAACAGGTTAATACCTTAGAAGAAGGTTTTGATTTGTGCAGAAATGAGCCTTCGTGTGTAGGATACTCAATTAGAAGAGAGCTTTTTGGCAGTTATAAAATCTGGTTGAAATATAAAATTATTTATCCTGTTCTTGGATCAACCGACGACATGGCGTCAGTTGCCATGTTAGGTGTTTATATACTTTTTTCATAGAACATAGCACATAATTAGAAGGTGAAATAATTATTTTTAGATAAAAAACTGGGAATATGCGGAGACCCTTTTGCAACCGTACAACATGAACCAGAATGTATAGATTTATTATGGAAAAATGTCGGTTGTAAAATCGGAACGGAAGCTTACTTGAACAATATAAATGATTGGAAAGGTGTTAAAAGAAGTTATGATATAGAGAATGAGATGCAAGTATTTAGTGAAAATTCAACACATTATTCATTACCATCATCTTGGGATTCAAGAAAAAGCGTCAGAGAAATGTGTTTTGGTGAACTATCACCTTCTACGAAAAATATTGCAATTTATAAAATTGTTACATCTTCGCCTGTTTCTGAAAATGAACTCTTCCATCCCAATCATATTGTTGACGGTGTTGAAATGCAAGATCCACTTTTGGGTGGATGCGCCCTACTTGAAGGAAAGCAGCCGTGGATATATATAGATTTATTGATACCTCATAAAATAAGACAAGTAACTCTTATCCCGCCGTCTTGCTGCTGTATGTAGATACATAATAAAAGTAGAGTTTTAATAAAATTTTGAATAAACATAGGTGATGATCAAATGGTGGATTTAAATTTAAAGCTTAAGCCACCGTCCGTCATTAATTCGGTATTTTATTATGAAATTTGTGAGCAGAATGTCTCTTTAACGACTGGAGAAAAGCTTAAAACAATTTTATGCAAACCTCATATCAATCCTGGACAATATTTTAGTGTTTATTCAAATATTAACAAACACTTGGCAATTTGTGAAATTAAATTATTTACAGGTAAAAAATTTATAACTGTAAAATATGAATACTTAATTAATCATTTTCAAAATAAAGATGACCTACTATTAAATAAAGAAGCGTTCTCCTCAAGCTATCATACGCCCAGTAGTATGGCTTTCAATGCTGTAAGCGAATTTCTTACAGATTTCTACTTTCAGTCTGTTCCCTCACAGCATCAATGGTTCGGAGTTGATATGGAAAATGTTTATTACGTTTACGGGGTAGATTTAAGTAAAAAAAACGCTCCGAATGCAAAATTTAACAATCTAAATATCTATTTAACAATTCAACATCCAAGTACTAATTGGACAAGTATTACTAAAAAATTATGTAATACTTTTATTACATCTGATTTTACAAAGAATTGGTATACTGTTTTATGTGAAAATAAAGAAACTTTCGGCAGATTTTTAGTTCTCGAAAAGAGAGATAGTGAATCGCTACAACTATATAAAATATCTGCATGGGGAATTCTTAAAAGTAGAATTACTGAAGATGATTACAGTATTAATAAATTGAATTTTCAAAATCAACAGTTAATAGAGTATATCTTTATTATATTTTAGCCTTCAAAAATATTGCTTATAACAAACCGGTAAAAGCGTCCAGCATGCTTGAAGATAACCTTGAAGGCTATGTTCCCTATGCGTATGCAGCTACTGATGGGATATTAAATTTTTTTATGTGTCACACAAATAATATTAAAGGTTGGGTTCAAATAGATCTACTTGGTGAATACAAAGTAAATTACATAGGAATGCTAACAAGAAGATACTGTAAGTTTAAAAAATTACTATTTTTATCAATTGTGCTTTTAATTAATTATCTAACTATAGATGCATATGTATATGCTAATATTAGGGGCTATTTGACAAATGTAAGCTTAACAACCGATCAAGCTATACCATTTATCATACCCAATTGCTTTGATAATTCGGATGGAACTCACATCAGTGTTATTGCCGGAGAAATGAAATTCTGGAAATGTAAAGTTCCCGAACCTTTTGCTAGGTACACTGTATTATATAATTTAGGAACACAACCAGTAAAAGCACACGAAATTCAAGTTTTCGGTTATCCACTCAATCATTCAAGTATTTTCAAAAGATTGGAATTTATGTCAGCAAATTCAAATCATATGGGTAGTGCAAAAAAATATAAGACTATTTCAAATATTTTACCTGTAAAGGCTATTGATAAAAAGTTGCCACCAGCTTTTCAAAAATTCATGGCTAGTTGTACATCTGCAAGGGAAACTGGAATGCCTTCAAGAATAACTGTATTTTTGAACGCTACTCATATCATAGATGAAATCATAGTACTTCCTTGTTTTGACTTACATGACGGTAATAGAAATTTATTGGATATAAATTAATAACAAATCACTATTTATAATAGAAATTTTAGAAAATATTGAATCATATGTTGAATATAGCAGGAACTTTAAATATCAAAAATGTGATATAATAGTTGGTGACAATAGTACATTACTTATTCCAACATATTTTCAATGCCCACCGAAAACGGAAGGCGACCGAATATCAGTGTACAGAAATGATTCAAAAAGCTTAAGTATATCTGAGATTATAGCTTTTGGTGTTCCATCAGCTAAGAATTTAGGTTGGTTTTAATTGCTTTTGTTATTTAATAAGAATATTTGTATTATTCTACAACAGAAGCGGCTAATGAACAAGGTGAATAGATATGAAAAAATAAAGATTTATAAGTCTATTATCTAAAATATATTAGTTGATCTATTTTTCATTTATTATAATAGAGAGTTGGAGATTTCTGAAGGAAGGATATAAGCTACAATCAACGATTACTTATAGAACAATACAGGAATCTCTATCGATTTTAGATTGTTGGAAAGAGTGTAATAAAGAAAATTGTAAAGCCTTTTCCTATTCAAAACTGTTGAGTGAATGTATTGTTTCTAAGGAAAAATTGATGAAAGGCTTTACAATGGGTAAAATTGAACCGAGCAATCAAGAATTCGCAACATTTATCTTAACAGGATGTACGATTAACTGCGGACAAGACATCAACTGTTTTTAATTATTTTGCTATGGTATTATTAAGTGAAAAACTCTTCTTTTACTTCAAAAGCAGATTTATATATTTATTATAGTAAATAAACAATCAAATTGAAAATGTACCTGTTTTTTCATTTATCAATAGAAATATTCTATGAGTTAGTCATAATGGTTTAGAAATTGGTAACGAACCTAAATATTTACATTGATTTTAGCTTTTCCAAGTCTTATCTTTTTCAAATTCAAATGAAAAGTTGATTTATCGATTCTCTTCTCAAAGTATAGCCATTAGTGTAGAGGTCTCTTCATTCTTGAAATTAGTAACCTCCTGATCAAATATAATTTTAGAATCAGGATTTTCTAAAAGACAAGAAAGAATTGAAAAATGAAAAGACTGAAGATAAAGATGATGATTTTCAAAAGTTGTTTTATTCTTTTAATATTCTCTATAGTGGCTTGTAAGTTAATGAATTATTCATTAAGCATTATAAACAGTGAATATTATTTTAAAAGGTTCTGCATGCCAGAGTGACGATGATTGTATTGCTAATGGATATTGTCAAGAAGGAAACTGTCATTGTAATACATTATATAAGGGTTCCCTCTGTAACGAAGGTGAGGAGGAAACAAAAGACAATCAGAAATTTTTTTTACGATACTTTCGACGTTTTTATTTCAGGTAGAAGCATCAAGATCTATGATAATTACGTTTCTGAAGACTATCCTCTCACGCAGGAGCCTTTTATAATTTCTACTTATTCAGCATGTTATGATGCTTGCTTAAATAATACGAAATGCGTTGGATTTGTTTCTATGTTTTATACATCACAATTTCATTGTTCAATGCAGGAAATAATTTCCTATCCAATGATTTACCGTTCACCGAAAGCATCAAAGAATTATACAACTATGATTCTGAAAAGTAATTTACCAGTTTTCATTTAATTTTCCTATCATAGCTTATTCACTTTGTCATGTTGTTTTGTTTTGTTTTAGACAGCGAATACGGCGTTTGTGGATTAGGTAATATTACAGCAAGACACTCAGAAGAATGTATTGAATATTTATGGGAGAAAACTGGTTGCGTAAAGAATAGTTTTTATTTTTTAGCAAAGTTATCCTTTTGGATAACAAATCTTAAAATCGACAATATAAAATATGAAATGAAATTTATAAGAAAAAATTCAGTACATATTAGCTACTCTCAAGCATTTAATGAACAGAATGAATGGTATAGAGTTATGTGCTTTGACCATATTTCTCCATCAATTTTTAATATAGCGCTGTATAAAACCGTTGTTGTATATACATCCAACGAAACTGAGAATTCTGAACTTTACCATTATTCTCATATTGTTGATGGCGTTACAGAATCTAATCCATTGCTAGGCGGCTGTTCAAAGGCAACTTTTTGGATAGGAGTTGATTTACTTCAAGATTACTTCATTATTACAGTAGCAATTTATGCACCTACCTGTTGTTTGTATATTGAAATGTTTTAAAAGAGATATATGAGCTAATAACAATTTATCCATTCCTATAAAAAATATAGGTTCGACTCAAATTGTTGATATTACTATTAACAAAAATCATATTCAAAATATAACTAAAAGACAGGAAAATCTTTGTATGGAGAATGTTTTACTTAATTCATCAAGTAGTAAGACAATGGTAAATTGCTTGTTAACCGTAAGTTCCGGAAGATATGTTATTCTTAGTAATGCTCTTACAACATCTATGATAACTATCTGCGAAATAGAAGTATTCACAAGTAAATTATTCTATTACTCTAATAAATATTTTGTATTGTATTTATTAAAAAAATTAGGTAATATATTATATAAACAACAACAAGTATATTCATCTGGAGTTTCGAAAACCTATTTTTCACCAAATTACGCTCTTAAAGAGAGGGTTTCTACTGGCTATTGTTTTGTTGCATCTTACTCAAGTACATCTTATGGTTGGATTACAATAGATCTTCAAAACATATATCTCATATATGGAATTGATATTTTATCTCTTATTAACACTAGCCACCATATTGATATTATCTTGTCTAACAATAACAAAACTTCAGAAGGAAATTTTGAAAATGGAATAATATGCGGTAATGAAACTAATTTTATAGCAGACTATTACTCTACATTCTTCTGTAATATTAACAATTCTACTGGTAAATATATTTCTATAATAAAGAAAGAACTTGGTAAATTATCTATTTGCCAACTTGAAATGTGGGGTTTACTTATTGGAGAGAACAGTTTGTTAAATTAAGTCCAAAATTAAACAATTACTATGTAAAAATTATTTTTATAGATGAAAGTGCAGTAAATATCGCTTATAATAAACCTGTTTGGCAGTCGTCTCTAAAACAAAATTCTCTCATTTATGCTCCCTACTTTGCTACTGATGGATCTAGTGGAATATATTTTGCAAAAACCTTGAAAATTAAATATTCTTGGTTGCTTGTTGACCTTCTATCCCAGTATAAAGTATTGTGTATGTCTATCTTGATTCATCCTAGAGAAACATGTAATAAATATATATCAATGACTTTTGACATTTTTTCTATATCATTGATCATTGTAGATTTGGGTCTATATAATAATATTCATGGTCATATTACTAGAAAACTATTATATATTCCTCTTAATTCATCCCTTTTACTGGCCTCCATGGTGGGAAATTGCTTTGAAACTAATTCAACAGAATCAGAAAGTCTGATTAGAGGAAAATTGAAGTTTTGGTACTGTAAGAATCCTAATCCGATCGGTCGCTTTTCATTACTATATACATCTCTTGACCAAAGTTTAACAATACCTGAATTGGAAATTTATGGAACTCCTGAATTTGATGCATATAGCGTTATAAATACAAGGACAGCTTTTATGAATTCAATTGATACAATTAGCACAGATTATCCAAATTATAAAAAATATGGCGTAAAAGCGGTAGACGGTTTTACATGTCCCATAACGAATAACGTTATAATTCCTGGTTCAAGTTGCGCTATGGGCGTTGATGTAAAAGAGATAAAACTAACGGTGATTTTATCAAAGGTTTACTTAATTAAAGAGATAGTTGTTATTTTACCTATGAACAAATTAAGTATGTGTACAATAATTTTGCTGTCCTACTGAACTAAAGACTCTTTTCCATAGGAAGCGATTCATTCAATAACGTATTTATATCTGCCGATCAAACAGCTGATCTAATCACCAGAAAACTTTGTAACTTTTATAAGAAAAATTATGAAAAAAATGTAACTTCATTACCAATATATATTCATTGCTTGGGTGAATTATACGGCGATCAAGTTTCTTTCTATCGATCCGATGGTTTTAATAGATTAGAGATTTGCGAAATATTTGTGCTCGGTCGTAAAGCAAATTTTCCAGGTATTAATTATTAAAATATTAGTAATTTCATTCATATTTCTCATTTCACTAGCTGAAAATTTAGTTGATCGATTTGGTAAGTAAAATAGTACTTTGGTGAATTATAAAACTTAAATTAACCTTTATTACTAGTAAATGTATGGAGAATGGTTGAAAAAGGAGCAAGAATAGCTGAATTATTAGTGTCAAATATCAAATTGAAAACAAAATCTATAACCGAATGTTCAAAATTTTGCTCAAAGACATTCTGTAATACTTTTACTTATTCATTTTTTAGTGAAAGTTGTCTTGTTTCTAATTATACTTTATCTCCCAAGACAAATAGTAGTACCATATTTATGTATAAAAATAGTGCATCCATTACAATGTCGAGTATAAAATCGGTAATTAATCAGACATGCTACTAATATATTAGGCCTATTAAGACCAACTTTCATTTAATGTTAAATATTTTTATTGATGGATTCTTGCAATACAGATTAAAGAAACAATTTCATGTTTAAGCGTTCAATATTTGAAATTATTTTCATCTTCTTCGACGAGATATTATTAACAATAAACATTAGTAACTGTATATTATTGTGAGAAGATTTACAAAGAGAAAAGCATTAATTGAATCGATATTGAAGAGAAAAGGTGATAAAGATTTATTAAAAATATTGAACATTTTCTTTATAATTTCCTTATTGACATTACATTTCGTGAAACGAGTACTTTAGAGACGTTTCAAAAAAAGGCTTTAAATGTAACATTTATGATATTGTTTTTCAAATGTTACCTTCTTTATGTAGAAAATAATTAATATATTGCTTATTCAAAATCACACTATTTATTGCCGAGGAGCGTTTAACCATACACTTCCAATGAGATTTACTGTTGAACGATGCAATATTTTTATATATTCATCACTTCAATAACTATTCAAAATATTGAATTATCATGTAAGATTTTATTCATTTAACATAATAATTCTCAGTGGAGTCTAAAGTCTATAAATCACATATATAGCTGGCGTATGTCTAACTAATGACGACTGCTCTGAGGGATTTTGTATTGATGGAACTTGTACTTCTTGTGAAAAGAATACGTTGTTTGCCTCTATTTGTAACTTTCGTAAGTATTTTATAGTTCCTATGTAACCATCATCTTGCTACTTTTATTTTCAATTTAAAAGGGAATACTTTAAAAATTCTCTCAAGAGTGTCAGCAAATGGTGATGACACAGATTTAGAAATCAGCGATATTCCCTATAGAGCGAACGTCATTGAAGAATGTATTAATCTATGCTTAGAGAGAGACGATTGTATGGGATTTAACATCTTTTCAAATATTGATTTCATTCATTGTTATTTCAAAAAGAAGATAATTCAACCCTTATCTATTGATACGTCAATAGATTATTTATTTTTAAGAATGGGTACAGCTCATTTATTATTAGTGATACATTATTAGTTAAGGATATATCGAACTAATCACTTCAGATATTCAACAGTCCATATGCGGCATTGGCAGTGAACCGTTTGAATACTATCGTGAATGTATACAAATGTTATGGTCTCTTACAGGATGTAAACCAAATACTTTCGGTTATACAATGTACCTAAATGAACTTATTGGACCATCAATAACCTTAAACATAATTCAATCAAGCATAAAAACGCTTTATTCAAGATCTTTTCATCATACAAATTCGAACTTTAACGACCAAAAAGTAACTTATTCAAACAGATATCTTTGTTTTGGAGAAACGTCATTTAGCAATCGTAATGTAGCACTATATAAACGTACTTTCTCGTCAAACGAAGACATTTGGACGAATAGATTTCATCATTCATATCTTGTTGATGGTGTATATGTCAATAATGCTTCCCTTGGAAGCTGTTCAAGGTTAAAAAACGAACACGAATGGATTGCAATAGATTTACTATCATCATACAATGTCAGGGCTGTCTCAATCACAACTGGAAATTGCTGCAGTATAATTTTTAAATAGTTTAATTGATTACTAACATTTATTTTAATATTCATCGTAGTGACGAATCAATATGTTTTCATTCGAGGAATGAATGATAAACCATCAGAACAGACGAATATTTTACACACTGCGAATTGTGGAATCTTTCAGATATCACCGAATCAAACTCAAATACAATACATTTGCTCTCCGACTTTTAAAGCTAGTAGGTATATTCTCATAGCAAATGAACGTAATGAAGAGATAATTATCTGCGAGCTTGAGGTTTTTACCAGTAAGGCTTCAGAATAAGTTTTCAATTATCTAATCTTTCTTTTGTTTGAACAGATAATTTAGCTTTGGGAAAATTGGCAATATCTTCGTCTTCTAATAATAAGATTCATACGCCAGGATATGCTGTACACGAGCCTAAATTAGACAATTGCTTCTTTTCTAAATTAGAAAGCATGTCGTGGTTTTCTATTGACTTGGCAGCGGAATACTTTGTATATGGTATTGACTTGCATTCAAGTGAGGCCTTATTTATTTCGGATATGTTAGATGTAACGATAACAAATGATCCCCCTTTCATACAAATACCAACTTCGATGATACAATGCGAGAGAATCAATGATATGCTTGAATTTGATTTATTTATTACATTTCTTTGTCCAAGTAAAGATATATTTGGTCAATTTTTGTTCATACGTCAGTCTACTTTCCGGCTGGTGATTTGTGATATAGAGGTTTGGGGTAAATTTTATAGATCATCCCGTAAGTTGAGGAATAATTTAGAGTTCTATGTAAAATTAATAATTCATATAGCATTTCAAGATGTTGGCTATAAAAAATGGGCTTGGTTATCATCTTATGATACCTTTAGTAATTTTACGGGACGCCTTTTCGATTTTACTCCAACTGGAGATCATCCAACTTTATATCGAATAGCCTCGAAAAGTGGTAAAAATCCTTGGATTTGTATAGATTTGGCGAGAGTTTATATAGTACATTACATTGGAATTTTAATAGAAAAAAACGTTGAAAGTAGTATTATTCTTTTTACGTGAAACCATACTTTTTATTAAAAATGTTTCCGTACGTTTTTGAAGACGCTGTTGAATATAAAACGTTAGGCGGTCATGTCGGCAACGAACCATCTTTTGAATCTAAACATACGTCAGAGAGAAATTGTTTCACATATAGCTTTAATATTCATGGAGAGTTAGAGAAGAATAGTTTTTCGTTTTTCGCTTGTTCCCCTTCAAAACCAAGTGGGAGATTTGTTTTACTATCGATTCTTACAGACAATGAACCAATAGAATTTGTCGTTAGTAAGATTATAGTCTATTCGAATATTATGGACAATTTCAATGAGAGATATAGATATTTAAAGCCAAGTTTCATTGAATACGAATTGCTAGATCCGAGCGTCGAAGTAAAGCATCAATATCGATATCCACCAGTTCGATTGTACGATAAGAATCCTGGTATTATACTTAACAATTTTTCGTTTGTTTCTTGCATACCTATAATATCGAATAATGAAATATTTGTAAGATTAACTTATAATGAATTATACTTGATAGATAGTATCCTTGTTCAAGCAGCATATTTAATACCTCTTGGTAAGTACATTAGGGATACAGCTATCTTAATAATATACTGTATATATCTTCATTTTATCAATATTATCATATATAGTTAAAGAAGATTATGCAATTCTATATCCTATTATAGAAAATTCTAATAAAGAGGGAGAAAATTTGATTTGCAGTTTTTATAGAATGAATTTAAATTTCGTAAATAAAAATCCTATTATGTTTAAATGTCCTAATCAAACATATGGAAATTCTATTACACTTCGTAAAAAACCCTATAATGAGAAATTTGTTTTATGTGATATTGCAGCGTTTGGTTCACTTGCTCCAAACCAAAACATAGGTAATATAAAACTACAAAATATATGGCAAGTAACAAATTCAATACATTTGCAGATGTAAACAAAGGAAAATATACAGACAAAAGTATGGTTTAGATCATTTATGCATTTAAAATATAAATAATTATTAATTTAAAACATATATCTATCAAATTAGAATTATGGAAAATTATTCATCAAACAGCAAAGCTGTTGGCACACTATATCGATAAGACAATAGAAAATGTTACAAGTTTAACTCAATGTTCTATAGAATGCGAAAATTATTCTTGTTTATCGTTTTCTTATTCTATTGTTGAAAAAAGCTGTGCAATTGCCAAAATTCGGATAACTTTATCGAATCTTATAAATAGTGTATCTAGCAAAGACGACTATTTCACTTTTGCACTTATTGATTGTTATTTAAACGCTGACGTTTGCCAGGCAACATGTCTTTAAAGTAAATAAAAAGTTATTTGCTTTCATACAAAACAAGTTGTCTCATTTTCATTGAACTCTTACATGAATAAGTGAATAATTTCAATCTAATACATTTTTCAACTTATTGATACTTTAACATTATTTCCCCTTGTATTAATAAATAATCCCTTAAATCAAACGTACATTTCATTCCACATTATTTAACCCGACATGGAAGCTTCCTACATCATTTTCTTAGTGTTATTCTTCAATTGTCCTATATGGTGGAAAACGTTTGTGTCGGCTTGCATATCCGACTCTAACTGTATTTTAAATAATGAAACATGTATATCAGGAGTTTGTAGTTGTCCGGTTTCAAACAGGATTTGCTTAGAATGTATTGTATAATATTGTTATATTATTATAATTTATTATATCTTATCATCCTTTAATTAAAAGCTTCAAATTACTTACTACTAAGGGATCTTGATTGCTTTCAAAACGACATCGTCGCTTATGACAACATGGATTATGATACTTGTGAGCTTAATTGTGATAAACATCCCAGTTGTTTCGTTTTTGCGTGGCGTTCAGATATATCGCGTTGCTATCTTAAAAGCACATGCAATTTTCCATTAATGGAAAAAACCAAATCTCCATCATTTTTTATAACAGTTTTCTACAAAGGTAAGAGAATTATGATGATTTTTGGGAATGAAGTTAATGTTTTACTGTCGAAATATTTAGATAAGGTGAACAGTCTTTGTGGATCCGCGTCGACACAACAAGTACATATTAGAGAATGTGTAGAATATATTTGGGAGAAATATCTTAATTGTAATAAAAATGCTAAAGGATTACTTGATAATCTGGATACTTGGATGACTTCTTCTTTGACTTTGGAAGCACTAAGAAACCTGATGAAAGTTTACTCTGTCAATGCTTTCCATTATAGTGAAAGTAGCAGTTATATTTCTGATAAATTTAAAAGATACTACTGCTATGGCCCGGATTCAAGTGGAAAATATAACATTGCACTGGGCAAAACAGTATATTACGAGACTAACTTATCTATCGAAGATAATTATCACCCAAATCATTTAGTAGATGGAGTAGAATTTTCAAATCCAGAACTAGGAGGTTGTTCACGAATAACAACCCTTTCAACGCAGTCTATTGCCTGGGTGTCAATTGATATGGCTGAAATGTATTTATTCAGAAAAGTTGTTTTATATCCTGCCGAGAATGGTTGTTTTTCTATTTTCAAATACATCTGTTTTATATATCTTCTAATTTCTATTTTCAATTCATTCTTTTTTAATAGGATTAACTCAAAACTTGAACATAGTATTTGGAAGATATAGTCCAAGCTATGCAAATATGTTATCCACTCCAAACACAAAAACCTGTGCAAGAGACATCATTCTCGTAGGAGATGGCTCGATAGTTGAAGTAGCTTGTTCTCAAGAAATTGTTCACACTAGATACGTTTCTCTGTTTACCTTTGAGGCCTCACTGATGCTTTGTGAAGTTAAAGTTTTTACAAGTAAGAGCAAATTAAATTTTGCTAGAATTTGTATTAATAGTATAAGCTGTTTTTAGATAATATTGCTTTAAAAGGAGAAGCTTTTGCAGCGAATGCTCAATCGATTGACCACTACGCTAGTTTTGCTGTAAGAGAGAATACCGATCAACTTTTCTTCCAAACCCATACAAATGTATGGTTTACTGTATTCTTAAGAGCATGCTACCTCGTTTATGGAATAGATCTCTTTAAAGCCACTTTTCCTACAGACATAGATGTTTCAGTAACTAATAAAAGTTATGCAGAAACTACACATGCTAACACTCAATTTTGCCATTCAACATCACACAAAAATGATGAAAACGTGTATCTATTGTGCTTACACAAATCTATAGGCCAGTTCATCCTAATTCGGGGAGAAACTCTTCTGAAATTTCAAAGAATAGAAGCTTGGGGAGTTTTAAAGGCAGAAACAGGTTAGAAATTCTGTTAAAACAAGAGAAATTTGTTTTAGATTTCTTTAATCTATCATCTATAGGTGATTATAAAAACGTTGCATCTAAGAAACCGTCATGGTCATCGCTGAATTTTCTAGATGACGTAGAGAAATCTCATAACTACTATGCAACAGATGGAGAAGATGGAAAGAATTTGATGATGACAAAAGTTGATGATTATCCTTGGTTTTATATTGATTTAATAGAATTTTATACTATTTGGGCCATCGTAATTGTAAAAAGAGCACTTGTCGGAGGTTTGAATGTTATTAATTTGTAAAATAAGAACATTTATAGTAACTTTTTACTTTTTTTCTCTTTAAATAGACAATAGATACGATTTAAAAGGTCATGTTACTGATATTATAAGCATGGATGTAGCAGAATTGTCAGTAATTAATCCAAATTGCTTTGACGAAACGGAGTCTACAGTAGGTAGTCCAGGAGAAGCACTCTTTTGGAAATGCTTGGAACCCAATCCAAGCGGTCGATATTTGTTAATTTTTCGCCAAGTAGACGACAAAATTACTATAAATGAAATTTATGCTTATGGCTCTCTATTAAATGCTCAACCTTTCCACAATCAATTACTACCTATAATTGAAGCCAATACATCTGATCTTCTGGCCAATCATAATATACCACAACACAAGCGATTAGCTATTAAAGCTATAGACAACAATTTTAACAATATTCCCAAAAAAACATTAATCTATTCATGCTGCTTTCTCCAAGGTATTACTGAAAGTAAACTAGCTATTTATTTAGATGGAGCACATTCTGTGTCGCAAATTTCCGTTCAATACGAGCTGGAGAGCTTAGGTAAAAATAAACACAAACCATTTAACTTAAGATCAGTATAACCTTGATGTTATGTCAATTAAATTTTTAGATTTATCATTCAACCAAGTTGAAGTTACCATTGAATGGACTACAAAATCAATCCTTAATACATGTGGGACTTTTGAGACTAATATAAGCAATTACTATGGAATTTCTTATTTACAATGTCAAGAAAGTTTCATTGGGAATAAACTTTCATTCAAAAAGGTTTCTAATAAGGGAATGGCAATATGCGAAATTAAAATCTATGGGACTTTATTAAAAGGTATATTGAAATAGCTTTTAAGACATTAACTAACTTTAAATTTAAATTTTATATTTAATATAAAGATGGCAGGAATTTATGTGAAGGTATTTGCCACTTTTCATTATACAATTTATAAATTATTTGTTGAAATTCGTTGAAAGAGGGAAATAAAATTTATATTTCATTTTTCTACCAGAAATCTTCAGGGTAGTACTTCATAAGAGAATTTCTACTTCAGATCGATGCGATCGACAAAAATTTAACGTGCTATTTGACGACTGCCTAAAATTTTGTAAAGATTACACTTGTTCATATTTAACATATTTTAAAGACACTAAATTGTGTTGTGCAATAACCTCATATTTATCAAATAGTCACATTACTACAACAAATGATAAGACATCTATAACAATTCAAAGGCAACAGTGTAACATCACAGAGAATGTAAATAAGCTATGTTGAATACAAAGTATGTGTTAATTTATTAGATTGACTTTTCTTTCGTGTTTCACAGTTGATCAGTAGCAGTTATTGATTGTTCCATCAAATATTTCTATAAATAATATACTGTACATCTCAAGTATTTTTTATAGATCTTAAAATATATTTTATATCATTTAATCTTGTAAACAAAATTGATTTATGTTCAAAATAACACGACATGGATATATAAAGTTGAAAAAAAAAAACTTTTGATAATGAAAACTTTTCTCTCCTCTGATAAAAAGTAAAAAGGATTCTTGGGAAATATTTTTACCTATAAAAGACTAACACTTGACATTGAAGGTCAAAGATGAATGATAAATATATGACATACTTGCATAAATTAATAAATTTTTCATTAGAAAACTGTCGATTGGAAGTTTCCCCAATGGTTATAAAGTATAATGTTATATGTATAAGGCTTTTACTGAGAAAATTATTGTTTGAAAGTATAACTTCATTGTAAAAGATTAATTAAGATATAATCAATATACCCGTCACAAGATATATTTTTATCAGATTCTCATTAAATAATATGTATATCATGTTTATTACAATTCAATAGTTTTAGCAATAAAACCCTTTCAAATGTGTAATTTAGATGAAAATTCATCAGGTTGAATATCTATCAATTAAACATATCTTCCTTCTGAAGAAAAGAGAAATTTCATAATTTTAACATGTTCAGTTGCCATAGGCTTAATAAAGTTCGTAAGCACTCATTCACCGACATCAATTCTAACCCAATCTGTTATATACTTTATGACGTTGGCCGCGACATTTTGATAAAATCAACTAAATTTGCTTAAAAACATTCGAATATTTAACATCTGCTTCCCCAAAGGCTTAATACATTATTGAAACTCTATTGATTAGATCTGGTTAGTTCGTATATAAATAATTTGTTTGACAAATAAAAGTCTTCAGTTTTCCTTGTCACTTTACCTATTAATCATCACTAAACCATCGCTCTTTCGGAAAGTTACTTACCTGAATTGACTACAGCTGTGGTTTTTATTATAGAAAAGATGTTTAAATAATTGATACTATTCATTTGTTTAAAAATCATTAAGACATAAAAAGGTAAGTTCAAGCTAAGAAGACGGATTCGTTTTTTGTTTTATATGAATAGAACAGATTTAGTTATGGAATAAAATTAAAAGGTTAGTATAAATATTTTATTCCTCTTTCTGACGGCACGTTTTAACCTTTGATAAGAGTAAGGTTAGTAGAACTTTATTTTATTCTTTTATATTAAAGTGACATGGTTGTATATAAAATTGAGAAAGAAGGTTTTATTGTTCTAAGATGGAATGTTTGTTCGATAATGAATCAATTTAACTATTTATAGCATGTTCCCTTGAATCTGTTTACTGCGTTGATATTGCCATATGTCAGAAAAAGGTAATTTAAGTTGTAAAATTGTTTTTTAAACGTTATTTTTCAATATTTATAAATAAAATTGTTAGACAAATGACACTTTTGTTTGTATCTGCCCTGATGGATACGAAGGAAATGGCAAAAAGGCTAAAGAAGGAGAGGATAATACGGGCTGTAAACTGCGTTAGTATTTTAATTGTTAAAGATAAAGTCTTTTCTGCTTGTCTCTGATTTATGGATTCTCAAATAGCCGATTGTCCGGAAAATATGAAGGAATTCGGGGATGAAGAATGTATAGCTGTTTTATCAGAACCAAAAACTTTTGAGGAAGCTGAAAAACAGTGCAACAGCAAGTTCGGCGGGAATCTACTTTCAATAACAAACGAAAATCAGCTTGAGGAGTTAGCCAAGATTGCTCCTGCAACCGATAATTTAATCTTCATAGGAGCTACCGATATAGCTCTTGAAGGTCATTTTGTCTGGAATGATCAAGCATCTAACGTCTATATGCCATGGAAAGACGGCGAACCATCTCAAGATGATAGAAAGAAAAATTGTGTTGCTCTAGACGCTTCGAGCAAATTTAAGTTCACCACTGAAGTTTGCACTATTCCTCATCCATACTTCTGTTCAACAGGTAAATAAATAAATTTTTCAAATTGAGTAACATTTAAAGAAAACTACTTCAACTAGCCCGTGTTAAGAGACAATGTAAAAAAGGCTGGACTTTAATAAATGGAGAATGTATATTTGTATCGTCAGAAGAAGTGACCTACAGCGATGCTTACCTTCGATGCTCTCAAAATGGAGCCGAGTTGGTTACAATCACATCAAGAGCAGAGGCAGACAAGATCTTTGCTAGGTTTATTTTTTTAGGATCAATGAAAAACTAATAAAAAATTGAAAATTATCATTTAATACTCGCAGTGTTCCATTTCTTACAAACATACCTTATTGGACTGGTTTAACAGATGGTTATTTAGACGCTCCTGATGGAAGTCTAGCATGGGCTAACGGAAATCCAATAGCATATTATCCACTTCAAAATCCAGACGTTCTAGCATCTGGAAAGCAATTTTGTGTTACTAGTTCTATAGATTCTAAATGGACGGCTCAAAAATGTACTCAAAAATATGGATTTATTTGTCAAAAAACACCTGGTAGTAAGTAAACTCTTTTCATCCATAGATAATTAATCTGAAGAGAAATAATTTAATCAATTCTTCTTGAATAAACTTTTATTTTCTGCCAAATAGAAAGCAAAAAGTGCCCACCAGGATCTTATAGATTTGGTGAAAAATGCTATAAAGTTAAATCAACTGAAGGTCAATCATTTAATGAAGCTAAAATGACTTGTAAAACTATGGGAGGAGATTTACTCAGTATTAATTCAGCAGGAGAACAGGAATTCATTGCCAATTTATTAAATACATTAAAATTTAATCAAGATTTATGGATAGGTTAATATTAAAAATAAGTTTAATTTGATTTAGCATTTCAAAATCAATATCTAAAATTTATTCATATTACATAGGCCTTTACGAAAAAAGTGTGAAACTTAACTTTACTTGGACTGATAATACTCCTGCAGAATATTACAATTGGGTTTCCGGTGAACCAAATCTGGAAAAATTGTTCTCTTGCGTGAAAATGTCATACGGAGATAGTTATGCTTGGAAAGATATAGAATGCGCAACAAAATTACCATATATTTGCGAATATAGTATGAAAAATGTTTTATTCTTTATTATTATGCTCTTTGAATTATTTTTCTAATTAGATAATACTCCGTGTAAAAACGCTTCCCAATGCCACGAAGATGCTGAATGTCATATGGGCCAATGTCGATGTGCTCCCGGAAAATTTGATGGAGATGGAAAAGACGTTTGCATAGGTAGAAAGATTTATAATAAACTCACGCATAACGTCATAAATAGATATTATATATAGCAAATATTATTTCGAAAGAAATTGATTAATACAAGTATTTTAATCAATATTTTTAGATATAAATGAATGTGAAGCAGCTGTTTATCCTTGTCACGAAAAAGCTAATTGTAATAATTTGAAAGGAGACTACGAGTGTAAATGCAAAGAAGACTATGTTCAAAATGGACTAATTTGCATTCGTAAGCTTTTTTTTATTTAAAGATAGTGATACTATTGTTTCTAATGACAAAAAATACCATTCTAGATAGGAGATGGTGCGAAAAGGATGAACAGTGCAACAAGAATGGCTATTGTAATAAGACCATTGGTCTTTGTGAATGTAATTCTGGCTGGGAAGGAGACGGCAAAGACGAATGCCACGGTTTAAATTCTAATTAATGAAATTAACATATTCGTAATTAGTTAATTTTTTATTTTATAATTGTCAGATATTGACGAATGTGTTCAAGAATTGCATAATTGTCACAAAGACGCAATTTGTACAAACTTAGATGGTAAATTTCATTGTGACTGTAAAGATGGTTTTGTAGGAAATGGAACAGTTTGTCAAGATATTCCATTAAACTGTGATGATTTCTTACGTAAGCATCCTGATAAGGCGAAAAATGGTCCAAGAGAAATTGATCCAGATGGTCCGGGAGGAGTTGACCCTTTCTTGGTAAACATTTTTCTGTCAATTTTCCAACAATTCTTACTGTAAAACGTTATTTAATCATATTCTGTAGGTGGAATGTCTCTTTGAAAATGGCTATGGCATTACCTTGATAGAAACTAATATAGAAAAGAAAATTTCTCTTTATAACAAACCGGAACCTGAATCTTTTACAAAGACAGTTATTTATAAAAATGATGTCACCATTTTGCAATTAATCGAATTAATAGTTTCCTCTAAATTCTGTTACCAAGATCTGAGGTAAATTTATATTAAATTAAACGAATGACTGGCATAAATTTAATAGTTGTCTCTCTTCACTTTCCTGCCATTTAGCTTTGACTGTAACGGTAAAATTAACCTTTTGGAAAATGGTTATTGGGTATCATCTGATGGTGTTAAACAGAGAAATTGGGGATCAATGCTAAACAATAATACAGTAAATTTATATTATTCATATTTCCATTGATTACATTTACTTTAAATCAACATATTAAATTTTTAGTGTACATGCGGTGAAATAGGAGCTTGTAAAAACGAACAATCAGCTTGTAATTGCGATGGATCGGGAAAGGGACAAGACTGGAGTAGAATCATTGAAAGGAATAAGCTTCCAATTAAAGAAATTGTCTTAGGAGGAATACAGTCCTCTTACGCAAAATATTTTGTTGGACCACTAAAATGTTCATCTGTTCAATTCGGTTCGAAAAAAGACATAATAAAAATGATAGATTAGTAAATTAATTACAATTTATCCTACAGATATTCCAAAGGATTGCGACGATCTCAAAAAGAATTACGAAGTTGAAGATAATGGAGTTTATTTAATCGATCCTGATGGACCAAATGGGGATGAAAGTGGCAATTTACCACCATACAATGTTTATTGCGATATGGAAACTTACTCTCATGTTGGCGTAACCGAAATTCCACACTTAAAGTAAAACGTTTAGAAATTAAAACAAATTTTAATGCAAATTTAATCAGATTAAATCAATTATTGTTTTAGAAAAGGTCCAGGTGAAGGTCCAGGAGAAGGTCCAGGTGTACCTAAAGGTCCTGGAGATCAGCCTATTGTTTATCCTTATGGATACGAAATTCTTTTGAAATTGAAGAAAATATCCCTGTTTTGCATGCAAAAAGTCACCTACGAATGTCAAGTAAGGTTTTTCGCTTTGATTAAAGAAGATTCTTTATAGATATATATAATAAATTACATCAGAATTCAAGAATATTTGGAGGAGGAGAAATTCATACAACTTGGAATAGACAAGATGGATTATCACTAAAATACTTTCCTGGTGCTTCCGGAAGAGAAGAAACGTGTGCTTGTGGATTAACAAAATCTTGTAACGACCCAAATGTTAAATGTAACTGTGATATTGTCGACGGAGAATGGAGGAAAGATTTAGGAGTTATTACAAATAAAGAGGATTTACCACTCGGAAATTTAAATGTTAAAGACATTGGCACTGATAAAAATATAAGATACACGGTCTCTAGGCTTATGTGCAGCACGAATCAATTCGGTTAGCCTATTTGTTTTATTGACTGCTAAGTTCATCTAAAAATAATCTATGTACGATAAAACAGGAATTGAGCCTACATGTCAGGTTTACAGAAGGAGAGGAGAAGATTATAGTTACGCTTATCTTATTGATCCCGATGGACCAGTTAATCCTAAATCTTCTCAGGCTGTTCAAGGTTTTCTTCACTAATACAAGTGTTTTAATTTTCCCTCACTAATCTTCAATATAATATTCTTTAGCAAATAATGTTGAACCATTCCTGGTTTCTTGTGAAATGTACAAGGATATACAAATTGGTGTTACAGTAGTTGGTCATGATACCGAGGATAAAACTACTGTTTCTGGAAAAGAGGAACCCGGAAGCTATCACAAAGATGTTACCTATCTTGAATCATCTTACAAGCAGTTGATTAAATTAGCAGACAGATCGGCTTACTGTCAGCAATCTTTTGAGTATGAATGCACTAATTCGTCTTTAATTAACGAAGATAAAAAATATGGATACTGGATAGCCAGAAATGATGCCAAAAAATATTATTTTAATGGTATTAAAGGCACCGGCTGTGCTTGCTCAGGTGATAATTCATGCGATGGGGGAAAATCGTGCAACTGTTTCTTGAAAGACGGAAAAACAAGGTGGTTTTATTTATTATAATATTTAAATTTTATTGACAATCTTTTTAAAAATCTAGAACGGATATAGGAATGTTAAGTAACCGAAAAGATTTACCAGTAACGGCCTTGAACTTTGGTGATACAGGGGATGAAGGTGAAAGCGGAGCTCATAAATTGGGCAAATTGAGATGTTTCGGTATTTTTAATTTAAAATAATAAATATTATTTCTTAAAAACTACAAATATAAATTTCAGAAATATTCAAGACTTGTGCTCATATGTGGAATTCGTATAAAAGACCATTAGGTGAACACAAATTACCCCATGGAAGATACGTTATTGATCCAGATGAATATAAGATCCTTGAACCATTTGAAGTTATATGCGAATTTCCAAGAACAAAGGTCTTAGTGGTATCGAACAGCGAAGGAACGACTGACTCTGAAAAAGAGGGAGAAGATAACAATAAACCATTCGCTTCTTGTACTAAACCCCAATATATGAAAGCTAGTAAAGAGCAGTTGAGAGCTCTTACAGAAGAATCAGTATTTTGTAGCCAAAATGCCCTCTACAGAGGTCAGAATGCCCCCTTATCAACTCACTTTTATTGGAAGAGTAGAGAAGGAGATAAAATACCTGGCTGGGCCGGAAATGCTGGTGGTAATGAATGTGCATGCGGTGAAACTGATAGATGTGATGGAGGTCCAAGTGCCGCTTGCAATACCGATATGGATGATGATACTCTTAGAACTGATAAGGGTCTTTTGTTTGATAAAACAATCCTCCCTATCTCTGAGGCCTGCATGGGCTATAAACTTAAAGCTGGAAAAGTTTCCAAAAGTACAGTTGTATTCCATGCTTTATACTGTTCAAACTATCAATTCGGTAATAAATATCTCACAACAAATATTGCTAGTATTCTAATTCATATTAAAAAATAAAGGTATTGAAAAAGATTGCCAACAATATAGAAATAAAAAGACAACTGAAACAGGAACCATGATAATTGATCCTGATGGAGGTTCTGGATCAAGCTCAAAACCGTTCCCAGCTTACTGTGAAATGATTGTGGATCCGCCAATTGGCATAACAGTATTATCGTACAATTCTAAATGAAAGGCATCTAATTATGTTAATTTTTAGATAATAACACATAAGAAAGAAGTTTGCCAAAACATCAAGGCTGATGGAGAGACTATATCTTTGACATACAATGCCGCAGATAATGAACAAATAGGCGGTTTAATTACAGCATCTCAATACTGTACCCAATTTACTGACTTTCAATGCAACAATGCCGAACTCTTGATTAATGATCAATACGGATGGTATCAAAACTCTGATGAAATAAAAAGCTATTGGGGTGGAAATACTGGAGGTCAAGGTTGCAAAGGTGGAAAGTGTAATTGCGATGGGACAGACAAAACTGACAAACAAGACGGTGGCTTATTGCTAAATAAGGAAGATTTACCTATTAAAGGTGGTAAATTTCAGAAAATTGATCCATCTGGTAGTAGATGCTGGGAAGTTGATTCATTGAAGTGTTATAGTAAGTTTTTCCGTTATCTTTATAACATATAATGCTTTTTAATAATGCAACGATTAAAATAGATATATACAAACACTGTGAACAAATAAGACTGAAGAATGCCAGATATAATCCATTGAGAAATAACAGATACGCCATTGATCCTGATGGAGCTGGTGGAAATGATATTTTTGGTGTTACCTGCGACTTTAAATATAACAAAAGAATAGGAATAACCCTTGTAAAGCACGATCAGAGTGGTATAACAAATGTTGCTCAAGAACATTCGAAAGTTTTGAATTATTTCAATGTTATAATTCCTCAAATTAGAGGTCTAATAAAGGAATCTGAATTTTGCAGTCAAAAACTTATATATACATGCAGACAAGCTGTCTTACTTAATGATATGACTACACCTAATTCATATTTCAAAGATTGGAGTGGAGCTATATCTGAAAATTGGGCTAATGCTGACAAATCATCAGTTCAAGGTTGTGCGTGTAGACTATTAAAAACATGTCCAGAAAACTTCACTTGCCGATGCGATAGTAAACTTCCAGTTTTACAAGATGAAGGTGGATGGGTTACAAACAAAAATAAATTGCCAGTTTCTGAAGTTTCTTTCGATGGTATAAGTAAACCTAACGGAAAGGGTTACTACTCACTTGGAACTTTTGGATGTGGTCCTCAACCATTTTGTAAATAGTTTTCATAATATTTTTTAAGTAATTAATTAATCTCATTTAAAATGATTTTTACTAGATTTGCCAACCGGTTGCAAGGATGCTGCAGAGAAGGGATATAAAACAGGAGAAATATTAATCAGACCAAATGATAATCTTGATCCATTTATAGTTTATTGTAATATGGAAGGAATGAATTCTCAACATAGTAACTAAGAATTATATTTTATTATACAGAAATTAACCTTTCCATTTATTTTTATTCAGAGGCCATAACAACCCTAATAAACTCTGAAACAGTCCAAAATGTTGTAAATTATATGCAAGCTAGTTACGAACAAGTTAAGGAAGTTGTTAATCAAGCTAAATATTGCTATTTGCCTGTTAAAGTTAACTGTCAGGCCAGCCCTGTAAGTAACTGTAGTCTGTTTAGATTACATGTACATGTATATAGTTTCTTTAAATGTCTTCGTATAGTTCCTCTCAGCTGGTAATGGTTGGATAGGAAGAAGTTCTAAGATTCTCAAATACTTTGGCTCAGGTAGTCCTGCTGCTTGTACATGTGGTAAAGAAAAACGCTGTGGTGGTCATGACGGTAGAGCAAAAATGTCTTCAAGATTGTGTAATTGTGATGCTTCTGACAGCGATGCTAGAGTTGATGCCGGAATTATTAAAATTAAAAATGATTTACCTCTAGAGAAACTTGTATATAACATTGGATCTTCTGCAAACGCTTCAGTTTCTCTTACAGTTGGAACATTATATTGTTCTGACTCACCTTTTGGTAAATAAATTAAGTTATTTGCGAATAAAAATGAATTTTAACTAATGCAGATTTGGATGAATGTCAGTTGGGATTCCACGATTGTCATGAGCTTGCTAAGTGTTCAAACACCAAAAATGGTTTTACTTGTACATGTAAAGTTGGATATAGAGCTTTGGGAGTACCAGATAAGTGGGCTAATGGAAGAGAATGTTATGGTAGAGTTGATATTAAATTTTTAATTAAGAAACTAATAACTTTTACTTTGAAAAAAAACCACAACAGATGACAATGAATGTAATTTGAACAAATGTCCTAAAGAAGCAACATGTGAAAATATACCTGGTTCATTTATTTGCCACTGTAAAGAAGGATTTAAAAAAGTTGCACCAACAGCATGCAGCGGTAAAAATAACATTTCAAAAGATACGACTGGTATTTAACATTCTTATGTAATTTTGTAGATATTAATGAATGCCAAGTTGGAACACATAATTGTGACGTCAACGCAAATTGTATCAATACCTATGGATCTTTCTATTGCACATGTAAAGATGGCTACAGAGGTGATGGTATTAAGGGAACCTGTGTCGGTAAGGAAAACTCAAGTAACGCCATTGGAGATATATTTTAAACAAATTTTGTATTAATTCGTTAGAAATTGGAAAATGTACTTGTTTTGGTGATCCTCATTGCGTTTCTTTCGATAAGAAATGGAATCATTTCCAAGGAGACTGTCAGTACGTTTTAGCAAGAGATGGCTGTGAAAATGGTCTACCTAAACAAGCTGCAGAATTTCAGGTAAAATTTGTAGTGTTGGTTATACAGGCTGTATAAATAAATTTTTTGGATATTGGTAGGTAATACAACAAAACTGGAGAGGAGCAGCTGAAACTATTGGTAGAGTTTCATGGACTAAAGAAGTCTATGTTTTTATTTACGGACAGGTAAATATTTAAAATATCCATGTCATTAAATTCAAAAAACAGCAAATTTACCAATAAATTTATTTCATTAGAAATTATCGCTATTGCAAAAAGGTATTGTTTACTACAATGGAGTTAAAATTATAAGACTTCCCTCAAGACCTCACGCTGCAATAAACATTAAGAGAAGTGGTCGATTCATAGTAATTAATCTTTTAATATTTACGAATATTTTGTAAAACGAGACGAACTTTTAATAAATACTTTTAGCACGTAACAACTACATCTGGACTAGAAGTTAAATGGTCTGGTGATGATAAAGTTGAGGTAATTGTGCCAGCAGATATGAAAACAAAAATGTGTGGTATTTGTGGTAATTATAACGGAAATGCAACTGATGATTGGATGGTTGCTGAAGGTTGCCCAGATAGTGGATATGGAAAATTGGTAAAACAGTAATTAATTTAAAATAATACATATTTAGTAAATATCTATGTTTTAGACAGATAATGTGGTAACATTTGGACAATCTTGGGAATATTTGCAAAGCGGTGAAGAATGTAAAAAAGATTGCGATGCCACGAATGAACCTCTCTGTAATGAACAAGAACAAATACAAGCTACTATAGTTTGCAAAGAACTTTTCTCCAAACTGGGAAGATTCAAGTCTTGTTTAAAGAAAATGACCGATGAAGAAATACAAAATTATATTTACGCCTGTGAATTTGATTTGTGTCATACAGATGATAATATGCAGGTTTTTTGTCCATTAAATCAAGATAACATTTATATACATACATTTTCATATTTGCAGCTTGCTCTGTGTAGTGTTGCTCAATCTTTGGTGGATCGTTGTCAAGAAGATCTTAAAATCCCTATTAGAAATTGGAGAAGTAGTGAATTCTGCCGTAAGAATTTCTTTTTTAAAGCGTATAGTATATAAATTAGAATTTAATTTTTATATATACCTTTAGCTCTACTTTGCGGAGAAGGCCAGATTTATAGTCCATGTGGAAATCCTTGTCAACCATCGTGCAATAATACTATGCAACAGACTAACTGTATAACAACTTGTATTGAAGGATGTGTGTGTAAAGAAGGATTAGTTATGGATGGAAATCGTTGTATCAAACCAGATGAATGTGGTTGTGAACACGACGGATTCTACTATAGTGTTGGAGATAGAGAAGTAAAACCACAATGTACAGAAGAATGTACCTGTAATAACCAATACGGAGAACCAGATTGTAAACCTCTTAAATGTAGTGACGATGCAACCTGTAAAATAGAAGAAGGTTCATGGGATTGCTACTGCAATGAAGGATATAAAGGAGACGGAAAGACTTGCGATGGTAAATCTTACTATCAAAACATTGCTGGTTTGCTAATATAATAACGATTTAATAATTTGTAGACGTTGACGAATGCTCACTCCCAAAATATCCATGTGATGCCAATGCCGATTGCAAAAATGAAATTGGAAGTTATACATGTACCTGCAGGAAGGGCTTTGAGTAATATCTCTTTATCATTTAAAATGAATTTTAAAGGTTAAAAATCTCATATTTAAATCTTTCAGGGGCGATGGAAAAAAATGTACAGACGTTAACGAATGTCTCTTGAATCTCGATAATTGCGATGTTCACGCCGACTGTAAAAATACTTTTGGATCATTTGAATGCAATTGCAAAGTTGGATACAAAAAGGATCCAGAAACCAAAGTTTGCGTCGGTAATAACGAATACTATTTTTATAAAGAGATTTAAGCATTCTAAAATAATTGAAATTCTACTCAGATGTTAATGAATGTGAAACCGGTAGAGATAGATGTAATAGAGGCTCAACAGAATGTATTAATACCGAAGGTTCTTACGCTTGTGCTTGTAAGAAGGGATTCGAAGAACTTGATAGAATAAGCTGTTCTGGTAAATAATATTTAAGGTATGGAAAAAGACTTGTGTAAGCCAATTCCTTATTTTTTTAAGATATCAATGAATGTGCCAATCCGGACTTGAACGATTGTCATGAAAATGCAAATTGTCAAAATTTGGTTGGTAGTTTTACTTGTACATGTAAAGACGGATATAAAGGAGATGGAAAAGACTGTCAGGATTACGACGAATGTAAAAATGCCGACTGGAATGAATGTCATGAGAAAGCAAGCTGTTCAAATACCGTTGGTTCGTATACATGCTCCTGCATTAACGGATTCAGCGGAGACGGAAGAAAATGTGATGATATCAACGAATGTGATAAATTGGGTTCTTCGAACAAATGCCAAAGCAAAGAAGATAATGCTAAATGCGTCAATACTATCGGAGACTATACTTGCGGTTGTCTAGACGGTTATTCCGGTGATGGATTAAAGGACGGCGAAGGCTGCGATAGTAAGTTCATTTAAAAAGATTTAAGTCTTATTACATTGACTACTGTCACAGATGTAAATGAATGTCTCCTGAGTCCTCCAATTTGCGGGCCTAATTCTCAATGTACTGATAACATTGGCTCTTATACATGTAAATGCGATGAGGACCACATAAGTTCAAGCAACGATGGCAAAAACTGCGAACGTTCGTATTTAGAGCTAAATTCTCATATATATGCTAAATTAAATTATGATATTGTCATTATAGCTGTAAAGAAATGCAAGGATAATACAATTACTTGTACTAAAACTGAAATATGCGTAAATACCCCTACTGGACCAGTTTGTGAATGTCTTCCAGGTTACCATAGAAACGATGAGGGCGCTTGTGAAGGTAAATAAATAAAATTACCCAAATCTGTATAAACGATAATGAACCAATCGATTTATCCGAGAAGTCGTTTTGGCTAAGTTATTTGTATATTCGAAAAAATGCCGAAAAAATTGTTTTCTCGCTATTTTAGACGATTAATTCGTATATTCCTTAAAGATGACAACGAATGTACAACTGGAGAGAAGAAATGTGATAAGCCACTTCAAGAGTGTGTTAATTTACCAGGAAATTACAAATGTCAATGTAAGGATGGCTATAAAGCGAATGAAAATGGAGTATGCATAGGTAAAGGAAAGACTATTTTAGAAATTTTAATATCACTAATAATTAATGTTTCAAATCAGATATTAACGAATGTGATAATGGGGACCATGACTGTAAAGGCGGATCTGAATGTAAGAATACTATTGGAGGATTTACATGTGAATGTAAAGAAGGCTTTGTTAAAATGATCGACTTTCTCTCCGGTGGATTACCATCTTGTGAAGATATCAACGAATGTCTCTCCAATAAGGATGATTGTGATAAGAACGCTGAATGTATTAACACAGCAGGATCATATACATGTAAATGTAAGGAAGGATTCTACGGAAATGGCAAGAAATGCGACGATATTACAGAATGTTTTGATTTCGATGAAAAAGCCGGTTGTGATGAGAATGCTGAATGTTTAGAATTACCTGGAAAATTTGAATGTAAATGTCATAAGGGTTACGAAGGAAATGGCTATAATTGCACAAGTTTGTACATTCATCATAGATTTTAAAATTGTCTTAAGACTAAAATCATTACGAAACTTTTTAAGATATTAATGAATGCACCAGAAATATACACGACTGTCATCAACATTCCGAATGTGTTGATACACCAGGAGCCTATATCTGTAAATGTAGAAAAGGCTTTTCTGGACATTGCGACGCCTGTGAAGGTAATTATCGTGTATAGAAAAAACTAAATGATTAAAATACACTTATGTTTTCCCACAGATATTGATGAGTGTTTAACAAATACTCATGACTGCAGCGAAAGAGCTGATTGCAAAAATACCCTTGGTGGTTTCGAATGTAATTGTAAGAATGGATATACCGGAAATGGAAAGACTTGTGTAGATATTAACGAATGCGAACTAGGTACTCATACATGTGGTCCTAATGCTGAATGTCAAAATTTAGTTGGTTCTTTCAAATGCATTTGTAATGCTGGTTTTTCTCTTGACGAGAAGAAATCGTGTGACGGTATGTTATGATAAAATCTTTTTTAAATTCTGGTATCTCATTTTTATTGTTACCTAGATGACAATGAATGTACTTCAAGTAATCATTTCTGCCATGAAAATGCTCATTGTGTTAACACAGTTGGTTCTTATAATTGCCAATGTAAACCCGGATACATTGGAAATGGATTGAGCTGTAAAGGTATCGTATATACTATGGATTTTATCTGAATTATTTATGAAAAATATAATTTCAGAGGAGGATCCAGATAGTTGCGGCGGTAAAATATGCGATCATATGGCCAGATGTGCAACAATTGCTAATACACCTGTATGCATCTGCAAATTTGGTTACCAAGGATCAGGAGAGGTTATAAATGGCGTACCTGGTTGCGTTGAAACAGATCCCTGCAAAGATAATAAATGTGATAAAGATGCTACTTGCTACAGTGGCTTAGGTATACCAGTTTGTAAGTGCAACACAGGCTTTGCTGGAGATGGATTTAAATGCGAAGAAGGTAAAAACAATATTATAACTTCATTAAATGCTGTATATTTATTTGAATTTGTGAATATAGTTGATCCATGCGATGATACTGATATTTGTGGAAATGGAGCAATTTGTACCAAAGTTGGTTTGGAAGCTCAATGTTCTTGCCCTAATGGCTTCGGAATGCTTAACGGCAGAGATTGTATCGGTAAATGAAGCATAAAATATGTCAATTTAGAGAATAATCTAAATAATCAATGTTTACTAGATATTGACGAGTGTGTCTCCAAAACTGATTCTTGCGGAGAAAATTTCGAATGTAAGAATACAATAGGATCGTTCAAGTGCGTCTGTCAAAAAGGATTCAGATTAGACATTGCCAGTGGAAAATGTATCGATATTAATGAGTGTGATGATGGCACTCATGACTGTGATGATAGCCAAAGAGCAATTTGTGAAAATAGAGCAGGAAGCTACTATTGTGCTTGCAAATTACCTAGATACAAAGGTGATGGGAAGAAATGTGAAGAAGTACCCGATGAAGGATGTGGTAAATCATGCCCTGAAGGTTCATATTGTACTCTGGCAGATGGATCACCAAAATGTGTCTGTCGTAGCGGTTATACAAGTGTTTCAAACCCAGATGGAACAACCACATGCACTGGTAATATTTAGTAAATAGAGCTTTCAAAAAGCTTGTTAAAGTCTATTTTTTTACATTTTAAAGATATTAACGAATGCACCGAAAGTAATTCGCTCTGTAGCCCTAATGCTGACTGTGTGAACGAAGCTCCCGGATACAGTTGCATTTGTAAGAAGGGATTTGTAGGAAATGGAAAAACATGCGAGGGTAACAAAATGTTTTTAGTCTGTGTATTCAAGTGATATAAATGTATATTATTTGCAGATATTAATGAGTGCTCCTCAAATCTTCACGATTGTCCATCTACGTCAGACTGCGAAAATACTATCGGCTCTTTTAAATGTAAATGCAAGAGAGGTTACAAAGGAGATGGCAGGACTTGTACACTTATACCATCAGATGATGATATTTGCGGCTGCGGTCCAATGGGTATTTGCGAAAGTGATACTGGAAAATGTTTCTGTAAACCTGGCTATATAGACGATACAACTAGAACAACTGACAAATGCAAAGATGCTGATGATTGTTTAGTTCCCAAGCGATGCCATCCATTGGCTAAGTGCATCGATAAAATCGGTGGCTATAAATGTGAATGTCCACCAGGCTACGCTGGAGATGGTGAAAACTATTGCGATGAAGATGAATGTAGCAATGGACGTCATCAATGTAGTGAACATGCCATCTGTGAAAATACGCCTACATTCTACACATGCAAATGTAAAGAAGGATTTAGAGGTAATGGCTGGCTTTGCTACCCAATTGCTGATCCATGTGGTGATAAAAATTGTGGTGATAATGCCTTATGCGTAAATAACAACGGTAAATCTGAATGTATTTGCCAAGTTGGATACGTAGGAGATGGAGAGAAATGCGTTGATGTGAATGAATGCACCGAGGAAGGAGTTTTTGCTGATGATTGTCACGTACATGCTAGATGCTTCAATTTCGATGGAGGTTATGCTTGCTCCTGTGAAAATGGCTACAAAGGAGATGGTAAAGACTGCTCAGATGTTAATGAATGTACTGAAGATAAACATAATTGTTCTCCATATGCCACTTGTGAAAACAGAATTGGTGGTTATGAATGTAAGTGCAAACCCGGTTACAAGGGAGACGGAAAAGTTTGTAAGCCAGACGGTTCTTGCTCAAACAACGGAGGTTGCCAGGAAAATTCTGAATGTTCGAATGAATTATCAACGGGTGGAGGAGGTTACGTTTGCGTATGCAAAACTGGATTTAGAATGGTTAATGGAAAATGTGAAGGTATAATATTGAACTTAACAATAATCATTTATCAAACAAGTTTCTTCTAAAGATCATAGATCCTTTAAGAAAAAGTTCAGGAACATTATCATGTCATTAATAAGGTTAATCGCTATAACTACAGTATACTAATATATTAGCGTAGAGAATGATCTGTAGAAACTTAGTAGTATCTTAAATGTATTTTTGTTGTTCAGTTAAAAATATGGTTAAATATGTTTTTGAAATATATTTTGAATATTTACAGATATTGATGAATGCATCGAAAAAAGTCACACATGTCACTTGAATGCTACATGCCAAAATACTATAGGTAGTTTTGTCTGCGCATGTAAACCAGGTTTTAGAGGGAATGGACATGAATGTAAAGATATCAATGAATGTTGGAAACCTGAAGATAACACTTGCAATGATAGAGAGGATTGTGAAAACTTGATTGGTGGCTACGTATGTACATGTAAAACGGGCTATAGAAGAGAAGGAGACGAATGTCAAGGTAATAAAAATGACACCAACTACATGACTATTATATTTTTGATGATAAAAAATATGTATTTCATCTTTAATGTAGATATTAATGAATGTTCATCGAATGAACTCAATAAATGCCATTCAAATGCGACTTGCACAAATGAAGTTGGCAGCTACAAGTGTGCCTGCAAACATGGATACAAAGGAAACGGAATTATATGTCAGGGTAATAAAATAATTATAATACTAAATTAAAAAGCTAATAAATAGCTTTAATTAATATACTATAAGCTACAATTGTATGTGTTTAAAGATATCAATGAATGCAAACTTGGAATTGCTAATTGCCATACGAATTCATTATGTCTAAACTTACCTGGCACTTTTGCTTGCGGTTGCTTAAGAGGTTTTATTGGAGATGGTGTAAACTGCACCGATATCGACGAATGTGCAAATGATGACCTAAATGAATGCGATCCGAATGCTGATTGTTTCAACAGAATTGGCTACTATCTTTGTACCTGCAAAGCTGGATATGAAGGAGATGGAAAGATTTGCATTAGTAAGTTTTGAAAACTGTTTATCTTTCCAATGTTTTCATTTCTTAAATGCCTTTTTTATATAGAACCAAAGCCGTGTGACAAACCTAACGTTTGCCACGAAAAAGCTAACTGCTTAAACGTTGGTGACAGTGCACAATGCTCCTGTAAACCTCCATTGAGGGGAGATGGAATAAAAGAATGTTATCGTATGTATTAAATAAAACCTGATGTTTAGAACAAACTGCGTTTTGTATTAATTACGTTTGAATTTTTAAGCCGTGAATGAATGTGAACTTGGAGAATACACATGCCATCCTCTGGCTCACTGTGTTGACAAATACGAAGGTTACGACTGCGTTTGTAAAGCAGGATATTGGGGAGATGGAAAGACATATTGCAATGGTATTTTTAGTTTGTTATGTAGAATAAAAATTTACCTTATTAATTCAATAGATGTTGATGAATGCGACCCAAGTAAACCAGGAGGTGGTGGAGCTCTTTGCATTTCAGGAAGTGGAGCTATTTGTGTTAATTCACCAGCTGGTTCATATTCATGCTCATGTCCTCAAGGAAAGGAATTAGATAACAGCGGAAGACGCTGTGAAAATACAAATGAATGCAATAGCGGAGCTCACAATTGCACTCAAAACTCAGAATGTAAAGATTTAGATCCAGGATTTAAATGCGTATGCAAATATGGTTATGAAGAAATTAATGGAGTTTGTACAGGTAAATATTTTTTAATTTAAATTCATAAAAATGTTAAATCTTACATTAACTTTTGTTCAAACATCAGATAAAAATGAATGTGATTTAAACGAAGACACATGTGATAGCCTTTCAAGATGCGTAAACACAGATGGATCCTATGTCTGTGTTTGTAAAGTTGGTTATTCAAAGAGTAGATGGGGAAAATGTGTAGATATCGACGAATGCAAATTCGGAAACAAATGCGGAGAGAAAGCAATTTGTGTTAATACTAAAGGATCTTATTTATGTACGTGTCCACCGGGATATACTGGTGATCCAAAGGACAAGTGCGTTGATATTGATGAATGCTTGATAAAAACTGATCCATGTCACGAATATGCTGAATGTACAAACGTACCAGGAAGTTGCACTTGTACCTGTAAAGAAGGATATATTGGAGATGGTATCATTTGCGAAGAAGTTGACAAATGTGGTGCTGACATTGAACATAAATGTGCACCAAATGCTTATTGCGTACGAAATGAAAGTCAAGCTGATAAATATTCCTGCGCCTGTAAATCCGGTTTCCTTGGTGATGGATACAAAATCTGCGAAGGTAAAACTTTATAGATTGTTTTTCAATAACACTAATAGAAAAAATTACAATATATAAATATATAAATATATTAATATACTAATATATAGTATTGTATATACTGAGTATATGCATTATATATTAAGACACTTAAAAACATCATTTATAAATATTTCAATTTATAAAGGAGATAGATGTTTTGAAACTTGTCATGGTAAGATATTGGGAAAATGTCCATTTTCCACGGCACGGTTTAGGAATAAAACAATAAATTGATAATAAACACTATAAAAGATCATTTATTATCAATTTAATCTTTTATTTACACGCTTTAAATATCTTTTTAAAATATAAAAAGTACAGTTTTTGAAGATGATTTCCCTTATTTTAGACAAAAATGAATGTGCATTCGACCTGAAGGTTTGCAGTCCATATGCAACATGTGAAAATGTTAATGGTGGATTTATGTGCAAATGTAAACCTGGATATGGTGGAACAGGAAAAGAATGTACAGGTAAGTACACAATAGATGGGGTTACTAGTTTATTATCAAAATAATTTCTATGCACAAAGATGTTAGAATGTTAAATAAATAGAATTATAACTTTTGTTCATTAAAGATATTGACGAATGCGGCTTGGACAAACACGGATGTGACAAAGAAAACGGTATTTGTACTAATGTGGAGGGTTCTTATAAATGCCGCTGTGCTTCCGGTTACGAGGGAAATGGAAAAACTTGTACCCAAATTAATGAATGTGAAAGAGGAACTCATGATTGTCACAAGGACGGTGAATGTATAGATAACGATGGTTCATATGCTTGTAAATGTAAGCAAGGCTTTAATGGCGATGGTAAAACGTGCATAGGTATGATATTTAATTATGAGATTAAAATATTAGCTAATAAATTTATCTTAAATATAATAATGATTTTTAACACTAGATATCAATGAGTGCCTCCAAGCTACAGCTTTATGTAGCGAAGATTCAGAGTGTATTAATACTCCTGGTTCATATGAGTGTAAATGTCATGATGGTTACGTTAAGGAAGGGAATACTTGTGTAGATATAAATGAATGCTTATCAACAACAGAGCCGCCTTGTCCCAATGATTGTATTTGCTTGAATAGTAAAGGTAGTTATAAATGCGTATGTAAAGCTGGTTATAGACAAATTGGTGAGAAACAATGCGAGGATATCAATGAATGTGAGTTGGAAAAATTCCAAAAGATTTGTTCTGACAAGAAGGCCAACTGCGCTAATAAGCCTGGCTCATATGAATGTGTATGTCCCGAAGGATTCGAATTTAATCTCCAAGGAATATGCGAAGACATCAATGAGTGTCTCCTTGACGGACCAAATGGTGAAGAGGGAGGCTTTTGCGGATCTGGATCTCTTTGTGAAAATTCCATTGGTGGATGTAAATGCCTTTGTTCAACTGGAATGGAACCACCAAATGGAAAAACATGCGGCCATTGTGATGGTATATAGAATACTAATTTTCTACTAATTAACCATAATATAATAACACCTTTCATTTGCAGATATTGACGAGTGTAACAGCGTTAGATATCCACATAATTGTCCACAAGAAGTATCTGAGTGCATAAATGAAAAACCTGGTTTTAGGTGCAAATGTAGCGCCGGTTATGAAGGCGATGGTTATAACTGCACAGGTAATCTCATTCTTAAAAGATAATTAAATTTTTGTATCTAACTGTTAATCCTTAAAAACAGATATTAACGAATGTGAAGTTGATTCACACGTATGCTCTGTTGGAGATTGTATTAATACCGTAGGCTCCTATAAATGTGAATGTCCAGGTGGATATGGATTTGATGGAAAAACTTGCACGGATATTGACGAATGTCAAATACCTAAAGAGTCTGAAAATACACATAATTGTGACCCAATATCATCAACATGTATAAATATCATTGGAAGCTTCAAGTAGTTTATTCGTTTTTACTAAAAACTCTCTGTAAAATTTAATCATATTCCTTTTCTTAGATGCGAATGTAAGCCAGGGTTTACTCAGCAGGGTGATAAATGCGTTGACAAGAATGAATGCCAAGATCCTCTTAGATGCGGTTTGAACGTCGAATGCATTAATACAGTTGGCAGTTATAAGTGCAATTGTCGTAAGTATATTTACTCTTTTTTTGTTGAATGTGCATATTCTCCGGTCAAAATTTATCTTTCTCATAAGGCCTTGGACAAATTTGGAATGGAATAATATGCCACGATAAGGATGAATGTTTGGCGAACCCAGATATTTGTGGCGGCAGTAAAGCTGGAAAATGTGTAAATGTAGATGGATCATACAAATGCGAATGCTACACTGGTTATAAATTAGTTAACAATAAATGCAAAGGTTCGAACATCTAGAAAAAAATGTATATGCAACATTAATGCTTATTGCCTACTTCTTTAAATATAGATATAGACGAATGTATTGAATTAAGAGTTGTTTGTGGAAATGAGGCTACCTGCTTGAATAATGAAGGAGGTTTCGAATGCAAATGTCCACCCGGATATATCAGAGATGGAAACACTTGTAAAAGTAAGCAAACAATATTTGTTTTTATCAGATAAATGAAAAATTCTTTTTTAAATAGACAAAGACGAATGTCAAGAAGATAACACTTGTGACCCTAACGCTTATTGTATAGATATAGTTGGTTCTTACAAATGCCATTGCAAAGAGGGTTACAAAGGAGATGGAAAAACTTGCAATCGTAATTGACATTTTTAATCTTTATATTCTATTTTACACAAATATTGTATAAATATATTAACCTTTTCAGCCTAGTTTTTAATTAATTTTTTTTTCGTAGCTATTTGTGGACCTAATACTTGTCTGCCACAACAAACATGTTTAGTTATTGATAATGAGAGAGCGGAATGTAAATGTCTTTGTGAAGGACCAATATGTACAAATAAAGGCGAGGTACTGCTAATTTTTCTCTTTTTCGCCTAAATTACCATTCTTTATTAATCGTAAAAAAAAAGGTTTGTGGAGACGACTTTACAACTTATCCAAGCGATGCTAGACTTATTATTGACTCGTGTAAAGCTAAGAAGGTTGTAAAAAGGCTTTATAGAGGAAAATGCAGAGGTCAGCTTATTATTTTATTAGGAATAGCAAAAATATATACTAATTATGTTATCTGAACATAGATGGTTGCGAAGGAAATCCTTGTGGATTATTCAGATCATGTGTTATAGTTGATAATGTCCCAACTTGCATTTGTGATAAGTGCACTGACGAGGAAATAAATAGCGGTAAATTTATTATAAACAGTTTAAATGTCTTTTTCTCCATTTAATAAATTCGATTGGTCTATGTAGGAAAAATATGTACAAAGAAAGGAGATACTTATAACAGTATTTGCGAATTGAAGACTCTAATTTGTAGACTACCTCAATTGAATGATGAAGTTAAGCACTTAGGTGCTTGTAACACACCAGTTGATTGTAAATATTCCGATTGGACTGAATGGACAAAATGTTCAAAAGAATGCGGTGAAGGTACTAAGTCTCGAAGTCGTCAAATAATCCAAGAATCTAGCAACAATGGACAACCTTGTCGAAATACAACCGTAGAGATACCATGTAAAATACAAGATTGTCCTGGAGGTTGGCTAAAGAACAGTGTTTGAGACAAGACAAATATAAATTATTTTATCTTTTCAGATCCATGCGCTACAAAAGCCTGTCGATCAGGGGCGATATGTGTTGTTAGAGGCGGTGAAGCCGAATGCGAATGTCCAAGTTGTAAATTCGTGGAAAGATCGTACGTATGTGGCTTACTAGGAAACGAAACAGTAACCGCGTCATCCACATGCGTTTTGAAAAGAAACGCTTGTTTACATAACAAACCGTATGGTATATTGCACGCAGGAAAATGTGAAGGTAGAAAAATATCAAGAGTTTTAATAAATAGATTATCCTTTATTGGTTGTTTTTCTTTCTGTATTTGTCAAAATAGATGGAAAGGATGAAAAGCCATTAAATTGCACTGCTATTCCAATCTATTCCACATTGAAAGAAACGTCAACGGATTGCGTCACTGAGACATTGTTACTTAATCACTGTATGGGAGGTTGTGGAGAAAGAGCTGATAAGTGTTGTAAGCCATCAGAAAGAGAAACAAAATCCGTAAAATATCAATGTCCAGATGGCACAGCCAAAACTAAACAGGTAAAATATTCCATCATTATATTTATTTAAAAATTCTCTTTCTTCTAAGTTTATTTCCTTTTATTCTTAAAAATTAAGCTAATTGTCCCTATAATTTATTCCTTTTTCTTTTGTTTTAATTAAATTAGCTAAAGTTTATCAAGAGTTGTCACTGTATTCTGAAAGAATTGGATGAAAAAAATTTAGAGCAGGAAGAAATGGATGCCATACCACTTACTCCATAAACGATTGAAATAATTATATTAACTATCCCTGCATATATGTTTAAATAGCATTTTGGCAAAAAAGATATTTTGTCTTCTATATTGAATTTAATTATTAAAAAAAAATAGAAAAAAAAAGTATCCTAAAAGTACCCAAGGAGCGAAATCACCCCATGTTTTATTCCTTCTCTTCTTTTCCTCTTCTACCTAAACTCTGTCTCTCTGTTTTTTCTGCCATAATCCTATCGATATCCAATGTGCCCTCTTATCAATATACATATTAAAGGAAGATGAAAGCAAATATTTTTCTCAATTGATTGATTTCTTTAATTTATTTATAAGAATTCTTAAAATAATAAATTATATATAATTGTTTTTTTTTTCAAAAAAAAAAAAACAAAACAAAAGTTTGAATTACTATTGAATTATTCATTCATTAATACTTTGAATGTGTGCTTGAATAATTCTATATTGGAACAAAAAAATATAAGGAAATATGTAGTTAGATTTTATAATACTGGCTTTTTTTTATTGATTTTCTTTTTTTGTATTATCTTTCCAACGACTTCACGCTAAAACAAACCGAAAAAAAGTCATCCCTCAAAAACTTATTATCTATACGTAAGATGCATCGAGTCGATAGCATTCTTCTTTTTATGCCTCTTGGGTAGCCATTAGAGATCATGCCTTCTGGTGAATTGTAAACCCTCTTTTCTTTCTTTAAAAGACTGAGCCATTTTCTCAAAGGGAAAAAAAAGTGAGAGATCGAAGAACTTCCCCTTTTCTATAATATTTGCCTTTTTTTCCCTCTTTCTGTAAGGAGAAATACCAATAAGATTAAAAATTGTCATATTTACTCTACATTCAACGGTTGAAGTGAGGAAATTATGCGAAATGATATCAAATGTTTAAGACGAAGTAAGATTAAAGCCTATGACAGTGTGTAAAGCATGAAACATATTAAATACTATAGAAAAGTTGATGATACACAGCCCTTGACAATTCTTCATCAAAAAGAAACTAATGCTATTATTAACAGTTCGGATTACACTTTATCTCAGGGGCTATAAGGGTCCATGAATATATTTGATTTCTTAACCATCCTCTAGAGGGCCGTGTCATTGCTGCGAATAATTTTATTACAAGCCTTCAACCGACAGTGTGGCAAAGACTTTTATACTGTTGCAGTACCGCCCTCTTCTTTAAGAAGTGACCTCAAATACGCCGATACGCCGCCTTGTGGTGAAATTTCTCTAAAGAGCAATACTGCATCCATTATTGCAGTAGAGAACAAGCGTCGCTGGTAAGCCTGACACCACAGCAAATTTTCTAGGCCCACGATCAATATTCATCGAATAGGCCTATATGTGCCATAGGAATCTTCATGTTTACACTTTACTCCGAATAGCACAACTGCAAAATATTGCTACAAAAGATATTTATCGAAATCGAATGGATTACCTTGTCTAATGAATGCAAAAGCAGGTAAGCGAATTGGCTATATTAGAGAAAAAAGAGCGTCAAGAATTAAAAGAATATAATCAAGATAAAATTTTAAATATGTATTGTAAATATGAATAGTTTGTCGCCATTTTGAAGCGGTTATTAGTATAAAACATTCACCCGCTACAAAAAAATTTCCAGTTGTCAGTTGTTTTCTAATCGATAAGCCTTAATGATTTCGAGCCTTTTTAATTCCTTCTCCCGTATTGTTTACTTCCTTTACTCATCCTTCCCATCTTCCTATTTTGCCTTCTCTCAAAGAGAAAAGAAAAGAGGCGGAAGAACGCCAAATAATTCCTTTTCTGAGCCACAAGGGAATTTTTTCCTTCTCCTTTCGGTTATTCACCCCAAAAATGTATCAAAAGGAGAAGATGTAACATAGATGATAACATTTATACTCTTAGAAACATTTTAAACGTAGAGAAATATAAATATGTTTCCATTCTTCTAAGCAGTTAGAGAAACTACATCAATATTTAGCAGTATAAGAAAAGATTACTCTCAGTTGAATAACTCTCCCCTGTTCGATTTTGGCCCCTCCCCGCTTGCATAGCCTTTTTTTCCTTTTCTACCCACTCTCTCCTCTTTCTCTTTAAGCGTTTTCCCAGATGATTTAACAGAGTGACGAAACGATCTAGAGACGAATCTGGCAACGTTTGTGCAGTTCGTCGTGCGTATAATAACGTTTCCTAAATTATCCTTAGCGCCCCTGTTCACTTCGGCTTACTTAGTCTCTAAAAAATTACCTAGACTAAAAATATACCCTAATTTACTGTCCTACTTTTTTCCTTATATGTTCTATCAATCTACGGTAATATTACACTATACTTATAAACAAGTCAAAAAATATGGCTTGTCCATTCTTTTCTTACCCTTCATTCTTAAATTAGACCGTTTTTATGGCAGTAATCCGATTAAAAGCGCTAACCGCACGGTTTACTTTTACAAATCAGTTTAAGTGGTAAATGCATCAATTTCACTTATTTCGTAAGATACACTACAGCTCTTTGCGAAAAAAGCCCCTTAAAAACAGTCTCATTAAGAACGTAGCTTGTCTGCTAGAACATTGTGACCCTCTTAGGTCCCTAAGAAAGAGATTTTACCTAATCGGAATCAATCTTCTTTCCCCCTCCTTTCCTTTACTTCTTATAACCCCCTCCGTTTAGTTTATTCCAACAAATTGATTGACAATATAAGAATTGGAGGTTAATGACCCTTTCCTTGTTGTGCTAAGAGTGAAAATTAAGTTAGGTCTATTCCATAGAGACCATGCAGGTATTTATTATTTCCATGTGACGCGGTTAACGATATTTTTAGTTTTTTTCACCATTCAATGATAGTATAAGTCAATCTAACGGCTATTTCTCTCGGCTTCATTCTTACGATATTTAACTTAGTAATACAGAGCCAGTATTTGTACTTTATGTTTTTTTTTCTGCCAACAATCTTCTATTCTTATATTTCCTTTTTCCTCTGTTCTCCCACTCATTCCTATTACAACTTGTTCTATATTTAGCAATGAGACAAAATCAATAAATACATATTTAACCAGCGATAACAATAATACTAATTCCATGTCTCTATTAAATTATCAATGTTGCTTGAGCGTTTCGTTAAAATATATTGACATTGCGTGGATAATTTTCTAATCTTACATATAAGAGAATTTTTGAAACGATGGTGAAAAAAACGAAAGACGAAATGGACGTGAAACTTTGATTATATTCTCCCTTTATTTTCTTTAACAATAGAAAGAAAAAGTTAAAAGCGACAGGAGAAAACATAAATCAAAGTACACTGTTAAGATTATTTATATATGTATAAAAAGTATCTATACTGTATATACTGCATTTATTTATATATTTGCCCATAATTAAAAAGAGTGTCTCATGCTTGGCTGTTTTTACCGGAAGTCAACGCTTTAGCATTTAAGAAATCGAACCACTTATTAATTTTTTAACATTCTCCTCGTTTAGACTTTTACAATGGTGTTTAAATAGATTATTTTAAAGAATATACATTATTTGATTTACTGGTATTTAAGTATTATAAATTTAATATTCTCTCTGCAAGAAAAAAAGCTTAGCTCTTTGATAAAAAACATAAACATTTACCAGTTATACGATTGAAATAATAACAAAAGAGCAAAAAAAAGCAAACTATACCTTTTATAATTATTGATTAGAGCCTTAAAGATCTATTGCAGTTTTTTTACAGTATCATTTTTCAAAATTTCTATAGCTAATAATATAAAAGGTATTTTATAGAGTTTGACGTTTTTCACAACGGGAAGTTCAACATCCGTCTTTACACGTTATTAATCTCGACACTTAATTCTTTTCATATCCGAATTCGTTAGACTTTTCGCCAATTGTAATTACAAATGTTGACTTGCATCCATAAAATTAATTTCTTTTTCTTTTTTCTTTAAAAAAAAAATTATATTAAAGAGTTAAAAATTAATTTTAAGGGTTTAGTTTGCTATAAAATTCATTTCTCTATAAATCTATAAACGATATATCCCACTCTTAAAGCCTCTATTAAGTGTTTTACACCCTTTACTGTTTTTTTTTCATTGATAAACTAAAAAGCAAAATTTGATGTCGTCGATATATAAAAGAGAAGAATCAATTTATTAATCGATAATTTGAATGGTACTAACAAATTTCATAAAGAATTTACCAGTTAATGAATATTTTAGAATCAATAATTTAAATATGGGCAAGTAAAACGAATATAATATAAAGATATATATATATATATATATACTGTATATATTACAAAAAGTATATTATTTATAATATATATGATATAAAATATTCCATATTTTTGGTCTGAGAGATGAAATATATCTATTTTTTATAACAATCCATCGATTTTAATATTTTCCTTTACCTAGTTTGTAGAGTGTAGTACAGAAGTTGCCTCTATTTTAAGTATTCAACTCACGATTATAAAAGGATGAAAGTAATAAAATTTTTCCCAATTCCATTATGTACAGCGATATACAATTTAAACTTTTCTTCTCTTTCTATATGATAATGTAAATTATCTTTGTTTTTAAAAGAACAAGATTACGTTGATAAAGAAAATATAATAGTAGTTATATATTCTCCTATTACTATTTACTATACGTCGCTTATGACATCTTCCTATACGATTTTTTTTTCTAATATTTTTCAATGAATTCCCAAAGCGTTTACGTCAGTTCACTTTTCCTTATCGACAGAGGAATTGCAGTATATTGATAATAGATACAACAGTAGAATATATATATATCTATATATATTCAGCACACATTGCTTACTGTAAAAAGTAGAGATATATTCGTATATATCTACTAGCGTTAATAAATTAACCATCAAAATAGCCATCATTTCGGCTAAAAATAAAAATACTTTAGAAGGAATTTTATCGGTGTTATTTTCGGCTTAACTCAACAAAAGCAAATTATATAAGGTTTTATTATGAAAAAATTTAATTATTTGCATAAAAAAAGACATTGGTTATTTAGTTAATATTCATTTATTGAATTATTTAAAAGCTTACTATGTAAATTGTAATAAAACAACCTCGAAATGTATTTGGAGACAAGCATTCGAATCTTCCACTCGAATAACTACCTAGGGCTATGTATTTAGCAGTCAGACAGTAGTAATATAAATAAATAACCTTTTAAAAGAGTAACGCCCAAATACACACACATATATATATATACTAATATATACATGTATATACTCTAGAAACAGCTAACTAACGTGAAATTAAAGCCTTTCTTTCAATCATTTCTTTACCTAGTTTTATCAATAACTTTTCTCTCTATTTTCCATAACCTTTGTCTTATTCCTTTTATCTCCTAAAATTAGGGTCGAAGCATTGCAAGAAAGCGAGTTTTCTATCCTATTCTAGGATAAAGAATTAGCTATATATAAATAAATGCGACATTAAGAAAAAGGAACCAGAAACTAAACATTCGTTTTTAATTATAAAATGCTGAATTCGAATGCAGCCATATTACTTAGACGATTCGGTCCGTTAATAAGCTGCACTGACAGATGGCAGCTTGGCTAAGTCATATCATAAAATTTCTAAAAATAATTCGTAAATATGGTATCATCGACAGTTTTCACTATCCCTAGATGATCTAGTTAATACGGTAGGAGACTTATACGTTAAAAAAGAAAACAAGTTTACTCATATATATAAAAATTTATATATGTATGTACAGTATATAAATTTATATACATTATATGTTTATAGTATATGCCATGTCTGCAAGATAATAAATAAAACGACTAGATTCTCAAAGTCCATTTCGTTGATGAAAGGGTAAGGGGAATTTTTGATGTGAAAAAAATGGTTTTTTTTTATGCTCATTATTAAATTAAATGATCCAAAGATATATCATTTTAACAGAAATGTCAGTGATTAATGACAGGAAATTTAAATTAAATAGAAATAATTAATTATAAGTATGTGAAAGGTAAAGTAAAATTAAGAGTTTGTTATTTCTTTTTCATCTACAGCTACTTCTTGGAATGAAGTCGTCTGATACAGTTAGAGAATGGTCGAGTCGAACCTGTTGTTTCTTCTCACGTCTTGCCTTCGAATGAGCTTTCTCAATCAACCTCTCGTTCTTCCCCGCCCAATTCCCTACGTACCCCAGCCGCCATTCACATTCAATCGCCAAAAGCAACCTCCTCCAGTTTCTGTAACAGCCTCTTCTTCAGATAAATATAAATCGGTAATAAAGAATCAAGATTCATCAATCCTGGATCTAGAAGAGGCTATAGATAAGCGGCTCGACGAAGAGCTCGTCGACTTAGCTATTCCACCGAGTTATAAGAAATCGCATAAACGAGCCGATTCGTCGACGGCTCATATGAATCAGGCTCAGGCTTTGGAAGATGGCGCTACAGAACCGGATATTCCAGTCAACCTAACGGAAATCGATTCTGGTCCAGTTGTGGAAGATCTAATTGAAAAGAAATATCCACTGAGCTGCTGTTTAATTTTCCTCTCCGTTTCTGGCCATCTATTATCCTGCATATTTTGGTCCCTGGTAGTAAATTCCTTATGTACATCACAAATGAAACAATGTATTATATACGGAGTCCTCCTTGGTATATCCTATATAATGATCTTTACTGAAGCTTTCAATTCAAGGACAAGGGCTTTTGTAAGAAACTATATCGACTATGAAACGTTCGAAAATTTCTTGACCCATATTAAAATGGCTCCGCCCATTTGCAGTTGGGACGTTATTTGTTACGATATAGAGAGGAAGAAGAGATCTGCCGATATGGAAATTCAGAGGCATAAAGATGTAATGAGATTCGAGCATAACAGATCTACAGACTATTCCGATGAATTTCCAAGATATAAAGAGAATTCTCTGACACGGGTTAGTATTATAAATTATTCAATTAGCTAATTATTTGATTAGTTAGGTGTTAAATCAAGATAGTTAGAAAAGGAAAGTCTATTAAACTCGTATAAAAACTTAAAAAGAATTAAGGAGAGAAAAGTAGAGGCTTAAAAGAATCCTTATCATTAGAAGAAATTAATTCTCTTAATGATTTCAGTATAAGACGCTAATTATCACTTTTTATAATTATGCTTAATTTATTAATCACGCAACCAGCATTAAACCAGATTCAATGTTTAAAGAAGAACATAGATTAGTTTTACTAAATAGAAAAAAGAAAGAGATATTGAAAAAGTTGAAAATATTTGTTTGTTCTCTCTTTTCGTTTATTATATTCCCAGTAGTTTAAAGTCATTTTGATGTGTTTATAAATTTAATTTAATAGCATTAAACAATTCTCTTGCGAAATCCATTTAAAACGGATTTAAATCTATTTAACTTCGCCATTATTTGCCAATTCTATTTGTTCATTCGTTTTTACGCTGCCTTTTTTTACTGCGTTCGTAATGACTATAAAAGTAATATTTATCGACAATAATGAATTTGGATTATTAATTATAATAAAGTGTATTTATTTATATATTTATTTATTACTGTTTTAAAATAGGATTATGAAATTAATCTTTCAATAATCTCTTATGGAGTTTGTTAATTTGTTTTATTTCTTCACATACAATTAAACGGATGAAAGGGTTTTTTTTATATATATTTATATTAATACGAAATTGTTGACAAACATTATATCCACCCACGATTGTGATTTTAATTATACTAGTTTTTATAATTGCCAATAGAAATATATGTTTTTATTTTATTTCCCCCTTTTGGCATTAAGAATATGCAATAGAGAGAAACGGTGCTTTTAACAAAATTGAAGCTCAAATAACATATAATAATCGGAAAATACGCCACCTAGTGGACTAAGTGGTTTATCGAAAACGTTTGTTTATTATTAAATTCGAGATTATGAAGCTTTTTTTACTGACACAACAATATTTGGAAACTGTCTTTTATATTAACTTGACTCACTGTGGAGTTGTAGGCCTAATTGTGAAATGAAATAGTATCACCAAAGGATTTATATCTAAAAATGAAATTATTACTTTATAATAAAATTAGAAATTGTGGAGCTAATAAACTATGATAAAAAGGGAATTATCTTTCTTTAAAGAATAACGAAATAGTTAACTTGAAGATAACTTATTAGATATGCGAAAAAGGGGAAATCTAACAGATAGAGTTCTTCTGTAATTTGTTAACTAGCAAAACTAAACCTATTTATTGTATATTGAAGAGAGGACTGTACATAAATTATTTATTGTAGCATACTTGCGTAAAATAAAGGGAGGATAGAGGGAGAAAAGATTGGGGATTAAAAAGAGACATACAGAGATGTAAGTTGCTCTCAGTTGCAATAGAAATTAAATTATCAATGTCTTAAAAAAAAAAAGATGAATCCCTTCTTTAATTAGAAGACAATTTAAGTGTAAATTTCTTCCTAAACATCAAAAAAAATTTAATTATTACAGGATTTCAATGAGTCAGACATTGTAAAGAAGTAAAAGTGAAGACAAAATTTTACTTTATGATAATGGAAATATTCTTTCTTTATTATTAATAAAATAGCAATAAGAAATTCTAGATTATTATTATTATTTTCTCTTCTTGACGAATAAACTTTATCATTCAGTGATATTGACTTTTTAAAAGTCAAATTGCCAGTTATATGAAAGAGCCATCTGGGCTAGAAGTATACTGTTAGCGAAAATATTTTAATCTGGAAGATAACGAAGTAGTTAGAGACATCAGAGGATTTTCTATGCTATTTGAAAAAGGCAGAAAATTCCCTTTTTTCTATCTATCTATCTCACTTTCTTCTCACTCTTCTTTTTCAATTCCCTCTCTGACTCTACTTGCCCCCCTCCCCCCAACCCTCTCTCTCTCTCTCTCTCTCTCTTTCTCTTTCTCTGTCTTTTTTTCTTTTTTCATCCATTCAATAGGTATTATCGATTTACATCTTTTTATAAGAGATTTACTAAATTGTGCAATTTTTTCTCCTTTTTTGCAGTTGAGATTTGTTTGCCACTATTCTTTAGCTCCGGATGAGACTATTAACGTAAAAGGAAAACTGAAGAAGAAAAAAAATGCATACAAACATAATAAACGCGAATATTATAGGAAGAAAGTGGGTCGGACAGAATTTATTAAATTTACTGAGGTACAATAAACTTTTATTCATATTATTTCAAAGATATAATAGAAACTAAGGCTATATATTAAATGACCTACAAGTTCTATATATACTGTATATTTGTTATTCTACATCAATTATATCTTAATATATGATATTATTACTTTGCTACGTTAATAGTGAATATAAAATATATAAATGTATAATTATCCATTTCAGAAAATCGATTTAGAAGATTTAAAGCCAATGTTATTGGTTGCGAGAGGTTTCCGAGGTGAAAGATTTCAGAGAGAATTTTGGATGAGTGAACTTTTCTTCTGGATTTGCTGCTTATTCTTATTGTCACCCTTTTATCGAGTATTTTTCTCCAGGATGACAAAGCCAGACGTCTATAACATCAGGAAAATTTTTTAAAATTAATAATGGAAATAATGGATTATTATAAACTTTTAAATAGTTAAAAATACTCCCATTTTCAAGGCTGTTTGATCAAAAATGTCTTTCGTTCCTATATACTGAATGTTGTTTAACAATTGTACATTCTGGAAATTTAGACTTTTATTCTTTTGTCAGCATGCTCTTTCTCTCCTTTCCCTTCGATATATTTCTCTTTTTCTTTAGTATCTATCTATTTATCTAACTATCTATCAATCTATCTCTTTTTCTGACTTTATATAGATACTGCATATGTATATAGAGTAGTTTGAAATTACTAGTTTAGTAAGATTCATTGTGTATATTTTTCCTTCAGAACTTAGTATAGAAAAAAATTGGCAGATACTACTGCAGGTCTATTTTCTTGCTAACTGAATGCAAAAAAAAGTTATTCTTCTTGAATAAAATTCTGTGAATTCTAAATCAAAAGACGAAAACGAGACGCAAATAAATATTTTTATAAAATGAAGAAGAAAGAAAAAACATATATATTCATCGGTAATCACTTGTCTTTCTTCCGACTTTTCACTTAAATAAGATAATCTCTTTGGAAGAGATAAAGACTTTTCATGATTTATATCAAAGTCATAACGTACCCTTATAGTTCTTCTAAACTTTACATTTATACGTAATGAGTAGATGTCAGTATCAATATACAGCTAGCGAACGAATCATCCATTATTTATTTCCTTCAATTTTCTTTGGGGGCCATTTTGAAATTCCAACTGCAATATTTCTCAAAACAGTTGCTGTCGACGTGCGGCCGGGTGCTCCGGAGGCAAATTGGTTAGCTTTTACTGGTGAAATTTGATGCTTTAATTTTTTATTGGAGATCATCGTATTATATATTAAAGGTTTCTTATACTTTATTCAATTTTTATTTAAGTTTAAACAAAGGAAAATGATATATAACTCAGACAAGAACATTACGATAATCACGCATCCTCAAACGCCGGCTTAACATTGATAGTTGAAATGCATTGCATAATCGGCTACGAAAGTAAACATTACGAACTTGGCGACTAAACGATGGAATCAGAAAATCTGTGAGTATATTAAGAGAATTTCATGATTTATTTGCCCTTTGTCAACAAATTGTTCGGTAACAAATTTTTCTGTGGTCCGTCATTATTTTGGGTGATATTTTTTTTAAGTTTGAAGTACTTGGTGAGAAAAAGTGTCCCTAAAGTCATTTATCACTTGACTAATGATAATCTCAATAGTACAAGAACTATCCGACTGAGCTTCTTTATCAAATGAGCCATCTAACAGTTGGATTCCCTAGAAAATTTACCAATTTTGTTTCTTTAGTTTGCAAAGCTGCCTGTGCCTGGAGTCTAATTTAATTATTGCTTCATATATGCATTATTTATAATGCTTCCAATCTCTTATTGCCCTTTTTTTTCATAGTTTTCACATTTACATCTAACATACATAACTTTTTTTTTCTTTGTACAAACATATCATTTTAACATATTAGAAACGTCGAACCATTCAGTAGTAGATTTAACTTATGAATTATTTCCGACAATTTGTATTAAATGACGCTAAAAAGTTTATTCGTGCTCCCTTGATACACTAATTAATGATACACTAATGATTAATTTTTGAATATCCGTTTTTTTCCCTATTCATATATTCGTCATATTCATAGACCTTCGAGTTTGTTAAATGCAAATTTTTCCCTTTTTTCACATGATAATTTCCGGCATTAATGAAAAACATGCCTTACCTATCAACAAAATAGGTACCGATGCGAAATCCGTAAAAGCTTTAATTGTACTATTTACAGGACATAATTCAAACAATGAATTTTATGCTTGACTTAAATGGAAAAGGTAAATCAATATTAGTACGGTATTTCATTTAAATAAAGAAAAAACTTTTATAAATCTGTTTTTATAGCTTTAAGCTATTTAACCATGAAAGACCTTTTCTATCCCCTTTTTTTATATAAAAAAAATTAATAAAACTATTTAAAGAGTTGTTATTTTTCTTATGACACTGTAAAAGGGACGAATTTAGGTACAAAAAAAATCTTCAGATGACCTAAATTAGGCCTTTAGAAAGGATTTTCGTTGAAGGCTGAAAGCCTTTTGCAATTTATTTGTAACAGACTTTGAAGTTGTACAAAATAAATGGACAACTTGAAAGATTTTCGTAACAGTCCTAAAATAACATTTAATATGGACCTGAAAAATTGAATTTTTATCTGTTTGTTTATTTCCTGTTTGAACAAAACAATTGACAATGTTCAATCAATATCCTCATTTTTCCTCCTCCTATAGATTATTTTATTTAGTTTTCCTAAAAAACACAAATATTCAGCTTGATATTTTTTATTAATTTAAATTATTAAATACATATAAACTGTATATAT